GCCTTTTTAGCAAAACTTTGTAATTGCCCCTAAGTTGGTGTAAATGGCATTCCTATATATCTTGCAGAGAATGTGAACTGTTGTGATGAAACACCTTGAGTGGACTAGGTCTGATATTGGCCAAAATCCAAAGGATATAGAGGATTGACAGCGTCATATGAAACTTCTTCTTTATTACCTTTCCTTTATTCAACTTGCCCAATGCCTCAAGGATTTTCTTCAACTTTCCCTTTAATCTCTTTTTGGGCCTTTTTTAATTTTTCAACATGGTTTACATTATCTTGTTCCATTCTTCTAGCTTGGACCTGGATGTAATACTGGTGATGAGTTATCCTTAAACCTTAATTTTTCATAATTAAAGTATAAATTTAAAATGATGTTTATGAAATTATTAAATTATACATGAGAATGAATACAATAAAAAGGATTTAATGATGCAAATACATGCATATACAATAAAAGAAAAGGGTTAGTAAACATGATATATACAAAGAACAATATAAAAAAAATAACATAAAAGGTTAGAATACAAATATTATATACAACAAAAATATATAAATTTACAAGTAGAATAAATGTCCCATTTAAGATTTTCTAACACAAAGTAAGACATGGCTCTAACCTAAGTTTAAACCTTTAGGGTTTATTTACATGCTAACTTCAAAGGTTTAACAATCTAATGGTTCTTAAATTATTTCTTACATCATTGTCCATTATAGACTTGTAAGCACCTCGATCCTCACTCATTATAGGTTATAAGCAAAAATAGTTCAATTTGAAGTGGAAGATTTTCGCTAGCCCATGCGGAGACATGAAATCTCATGAAAGTAAAAGTATTTTACTCCCTTCTAAGATACAAAACTCGGGTGTAGAGTTTATGTAATGTATGTGCAAATGAATGACAGATATATAAAATGAATAAATAAATAAATTACCAACAAGAAAAAAAAATTCTTAAATTTATTATGGCTTGGATAACAAGAAATCATTTACTATCCTAACTCTTGATATTCCCAATGGAGTCAACAAACTATTATAACGTATAGATCTATGAACCTGTCACTAAACATAAATTTTAGGAGTCATCACCAACCTTTTAATTTATGTGTAATTGGCTACTTAACTGAATCTGTCATATTTTAAAAAGGAGTCCTAAACTTGATTTAGGTATCTTTAAATGATAAATTTTGGTTTACAAAATCAAATTTTAAGTTCAAAAGTACGATTATACATGAGAAAAGTTATAACACTCTTACAATGCCCATCCAAAGAATGGTACCAGTTTAATTTTAAGTTATCTAAGTCTTAAAACATTTTTATAATTTGTAAAATAATTTAATTAGCAAAAATTGATCCTAAATTTACTCAAATAGTTTGGTAGTAATTTATGATAATTTTTTTATCTTACGAGTATTCATGGATACTAGTATCCCACTCTAAAAAGACTCCATTGTCGGATCTATTAACATATTTTATTTATAAAATAAAAAGTAAAATCTTTCAATAGTTTGGTAAAATTTACTTTGATGTAAATCTCTCAATAGTTTGATAAGATTTTATTGTAAATTTAATTTTAGAAGATTCATTAAATCTTCTAATAGTTTGGTAAGATTTAAGATTTAATTTCTCCAATACATTAAAAATATTTTATTTTTTATAAAAATTGATATATGAAATTCTCTAATAGTTTAGTAGAATTCATAAATTTATTTTGAAAAAAATATTTTTTGTTGTTTTTTTTAATGAATAAAAGAAAATTCATAAAAGCATTAAAAAAATTTTGTTCAATTAATAATAATAATAATAATAATAATAATAATAAAGAAAAATCTAAAAATAAAATAAATAAAAATAAAAAAATAGAAAAAAAAATACCTACGATCGGGTTGGATTTTAGATGTGGGCAGCACGCAGGTTAGCTGGGTTAGGATGGCTCAACCACTCTGCCAAAATGATGCCATTTTTTGTGGGTATAAAAGTCTAAAAAACCTTATGCTTTTCTCATAACATACTTCATTTTCTCTCTCTAGTTAAATTTTTTCTAACTTCTCTCTATAAGCCTTGTTGAGAAATTCAACAACATTATATTCAGGTCACAAATTCTTATTTTGATGTTGAAATCTTCAAACAATCGTAAGAATCTTCAAGTTTTTTCAAAAACACCGATGAACCCATAAAACAACCACCATAATCTCCTTCGACCACTGTGAATCTTGCTGTAATCTTCAAAGCTCTATTGGAAAATTCAAAAGAAAACCCAAAATTTCCTTGAAAAACGAAAAAAAAAAAAAAGAAAAAAAAAACCCAGAAATCCCTTAAGCCTAAAAGTTTAAAAATTTTGAAAAATTAATTTAAGCAACATCAAATCAAAACTCTATACAAATTTCCAAAACTTCCCAAACTTCAAAGATCAGAACCCCAAAAACCCAAAACCAAAATCTAGAACTTAATCCCAAAATTCTTAAATTATATTCCCAAAAACTAAGAACTAACCCAAAAAAGGAAAAAGAACTTATAATCATAAAATCTCTTCATATGATTTTTTCACTCTGTCTCTTCTTTTGTGTGTGGTTGATTCTGTTCTTATAATAATTTAATCCATTTGAAATATGGAAACTAAATCAAATCAATCACTAATTTGATTTTCTGTGATTCTTGATGATTTGAATCAAATCTGCCAATATTCATTCCCTTTTTTTTCTTTTTTGGTTTTATGACTTTTTATAAAAAAAGAAATTTACTCTAATTTTTTCTTGACTTTTGACTTTTTTTTATTTTTTGACTTTTCAAAAAATAAAAGTAAAATTAAACAAAAAAAATCAAATCAAAATTAAAATTAAAATTAAAATTTCCTATTGAGCTTGAGGTTTTTCAATCGAACCCAATTTTATAATCGAAATTCATTTTCAATCCTTAAAAAATATAAGAAAAAATGGGGTATCTACAAGTAATGTTCTCGAAACCAAAGCTTTCTTGTAAAATCAAACAACCAAAGACCTTGCTAGTCTCTACATAACCCTCCTGCCTCTGGTTCACTTGGATTAATCATTACGGTGATTAGGGTTAAAATCTTGGTTGCCTCAGTTATACAAAAAATCACCAATATTGCTTTATATTTCATTAATAGAAGGCAGGAAATGCTTCATGTCTTAAATATATATCCTATGGTAAGATATAAATTGGAGTTTTACTTATTAATCTTTGATCAATCATCTGTCAGATGACTTTTAAAATCTTCAATCTCAAATTCATATGCATTAGCCTATCAGATATAGACATTCGAGCGGCTTAAAGAGGTAACTAGAATTGCTCATCAAATAGTCACTTAAATGTTTGAATTTATCAACTTGACAACTTCTAAGTGAAGCACTTTTCGTTCTTTCTTTCTTTGTTTCTTTTCTCCCTTTTTCAGTACGAAGTGGCGGTGGGTGGGTGGTTAAATAATTGGGTAGGCTTGTCAAAATCAATCTTGTTGACTATATATGCATCATCTGGATAAGAACAAGGAAACCCATCATTAGTGAATTAATTTGGAGCTAGGACCTCGTTGATTTTTTCTTCATTTTGATGAACTGGAAGGACATATCGTTTCATGTTCATACAGTTCCATTTTAATTTCGTAAGTGCAGTCAGATAATACTATTAGCTGTATAATTCGTAAATGGTCCCAAGAGTCCAACTAACAGGTTTCAACAAAGTAGCCTTTGGGTGAAAAAGTGGATTTACATGCCAAAACCGGCATCAATGTAAGAGATAGATATGTATAGCCAGACACTTACAAAAAGATATACACCCCAAAGTCGCACAACCAATAAAAATATAAAAATGATATTTTTATTCTGATGAATTTTTTTATATATACAATGGAAGCCGAAGCTTAAAAATTTTTAAAAAAATTATAAGTATTAAAATTTAAAATTTAAAAATATCAATTATTATTTTTTATTATAAATATATAAATCAAATTAATTAAGTGGTTTTATACTTATAAATCTTAGAAAGTGCCAGCTTTGAGCGAAATGACAAACAAGTATGTACATTTGCCAATTATTATCTCCTTTAAAACCACCCGCTATGATTAAAACCAGAAAGAAGTGAGCGTAGGCGAAAACAACATTTGACCAGCTCTAGACTCTAGAATCCAGCTAGGTTCATGAGGTCATATGCTTGTTTTAAACGATGTTGATTAATCAAAGAGGAATTAGTTTAATTGACAAAGTCGTTTTTAGGTTAGAGTTTTATTCCGGTCTTTGTTACTGATTTAAGAGATTGAAAAGGATTAAGAAAAAAAAAAAAGATTATTCCTATTCTTTTATCAAAACTTAAGAGATAAAAACAAAATGAAATGTAATCCTAAAAATACTAATATCTATTATATATTGATAAAGCCTAAAAGAATATGAATCAATTAAAGAATAACTTGATAAAGATTAAGATAATAACTAAACTATTGCTAAGCTACGAGTTCATAACATTGAACAATCAAATTCCAGACAATAAGTAACAAAAATACTACTAAATAGTTTTCCTTTCTTTCATGTATGGTGGACAGCTACATTGATGTATCCCCCTCCCTACATCAGTGGATACACACTATAATAATACATATCTATGCTAGTCAATTATGAATGCTATGAATCTATTGCTTAATTTAATTGATTTAGTGATATCTGACAAATATGAAATGTGTAAAAAAATTTATGTTATAAATGTATTTATATGATTGCAAATCGTTTGGAAAAGTTAAAAGAACTGAAATTAATGCATTGACGACATAAGCATGTAAAAGAACGAAGAATTGAAGGCTTAATTTAGACCACTGATATAAACAGGGCACCAGATACTAGTGTAGGCCAGCTGTGTCCATGGATTGAAATTGAACCTTCGATCTTTTCACATATCACAACCGCGTAGAAAATAATTATATGATTCGATCCAAATTCCAAATTTGTTCGAGATCAATCACTTTGATGTCATCTCCATTAGCTGTCAGGTCCCCCACTCCAATTCTTCAAGACCCCAAGTGTACCTGAATTTCTCACCAATGCTTGCACGCATGCATAATTTCTTAACAACTTCACCAATATCTTAATCTCCCTTGTTTTCCATACGTCATCTCCACTATATATATGCCTCCCATTTCAGTGCATTCAATTCAAAGATTCACCATCCATTTGCTAGCTCTTTTTGTTAATTTCAAAAATATTAATCATTTTATCTCCAAACCAAACATGACTTTCCCAATTACTAATAAGACAATTCTGCTTATTAGTGGTGTTGTTGTGTTAAATCTTTTGGTTTTGGCGTTGGCTGGAAACTTCAACCAAGATTTTGATATTACTTGGGGTGATGGCCGTGCCAAAATACTCAGTAATGGACAGCTTCTCACGCTGTCTCTTGATAAAACCTCAGGCTCTGGATTCAAGTCCAAGAATCAATACTTATTTGGGAAAATCGACATGCAGTTGAAGCTTGTGCCTGGCAACTCCGCCGGTACCGTGACTGCTTACTATGTAAGTTCGTTGTCTGTCTTCCTCTCTCGTCCCTTGAAAAATTAAGTTCAAGAATAGATAAATTTATTATTATCTGAATCTAATGATTGAACAAATAATTGGTTACCTGGTTTTCTAAAAATTTTTAAATTAATATAAAAAACTTCTCATTATAAAATGGAGGCTTGTCATTTTTATTTTTATTTTTTTTTTTTTGCAAAACCTTTTACGTAGTGGTGAATTTGATGCATGTTTGGCATGCAGCTGTCTTCACTGGGGTCGACCCATGACGAGATCGACTTTGAGTTTCTTGGAAACCTAAGTGGAGATCCCTATATTCTCCACACAAATGTGTTCACACAAGGTAAAGGAAATAGGGAGCAGCAATTTTATCTTTGGTTTGACCCCACCAAGAACTTCCACACCTACTCCATTTTATGGAATCCTCAAAGCATCATGTAATTCTCTCTTTCTCTCTCTCAAGAGCATCGTTTTATTTATTATTTTGTATTATATCTTTTTTTGGCATTATTAATATGCAAGAATTTGCTTTTATCTTGTTCCTTTCAGCTTCTTTGTTGACGGGACTCCGATTAGAGAGTTCAAGAATTTAGAATCAAATGGCATCCCTTTCCCAAAGAACCAACCGATGTGGATATTCTCCAGCCTTTGGGATGCCGAGGATTGGGCCACAAGGGGTGGCCTTGTAAAGACTGACTGGAGCCTAGCACCCTTCACTGCCTCCTATCAAAACTTCAACGCCCAAGCTTGCATTTGGGCTTCCAATGCCTCCTCTTGCTCCTCAAACTCATCCAACAACTCTTGGCTAACACAATCGCTGGACAGCTCAGGCCAGGCAAGGATAAAATGGGTGCAGAAGAACTACATGATCTACAACTATTGCACTGATACCAAGAGATTCCCGCAAGGATTACCACGGGAATGCTCGCTGGCATGATTCAAACATTAAACACATATGAACCATAATCTTCTTTTTGTTAGAAGACTTTAATAGTTAAAATCTGGGCTGTAGATTTCATGTTATAAAGCCATCAAGTTGGAGGTAATAAATAAAGATATTAATGACAAAGGAAAATTAGTAGAATCTGTCCGCTAAATCCCGAATAATAACAATAAACAGAGATGAAAACCAAAACAAATTAGAGGCACAGCCTCATTCATGAAATCAGAAAAGAAAATTGTTTGTTGGTAATTAAATGTATCATTTGTCTTTTACTGTAAACATATATCTCTTAAAATATATTTTAAAAAATAAAAAATTAATTAGAAAAAAATGAGATATGTATTAAATCTTTTAATACGGTTTTTATAATTAAAATTTAAATACGACATTTTACTGTATATACAAAAATATTAGGTATAAAAGAAAATTGTTACAAATGATATATATATATATATGCATATCTATTAATTAGGTACTTAAGCTTTTCTTTTTTTTTTCAATTACCGTTTTAAAATAAGAATTGTGAACAGTTTATATAGAACCGATCCTAAGAATATTTTTGTTATATAAAATTATAACAAGATAAGATAAAATGATATTATGAATATGATTAGATTAAATAATATTATCTTATCTTATATTTGATATGTATAAATATTACGATAAGATAACTTATTTATTGATCAAAATTATTATTTAAAAAAAATTTACAATTTAAATTATTAATATAATTTTTAAGAATATAATAAAATATATAAATTAAATCTCATGAATTAAAAATATTTTTTTTTGAAAGAATTAAATTATCTTATGCTAAAAGAATCGGCCTAAAACTGTAGTTATGCTGTGGCAAGCTTGTCCGGCTTAATAATACCATGAGTTATGTCAAGTGCAAACACAAAAAGCCATAACCCACTTTGGCGAAGGCAAAGGCTTGAAATATAAAATATAAGTATTTATATCGTTGAGGTGTTTTTTATAAAATAAAATCGTAAAATTTAATAAATTAAAACAAATAAAAGCTTATAAATTGATGTGAGATGCCCCTTTGTTAATGGCTCAATTGGATCCTATATTATTGTTTTGTTGATAAAATGGTTGAATTGTGCTGTCCCGGCCTATTTTGCTTTTGCATCGACGTTGCTCTATGCTGGCCCGATTAGTTAATGACCCTTAGGCCTTAGTCCAATTCAACACTTTATGGGCTGTGCCACATCACGCATTATTACAATTCTGTGACTCCTGCTCCCGTCATCTGCACCGTCCGATCTTTTCTTTCATTGAATGATAATAAAAATCCCTTTCTCGGTTTCTCCCCACCCAAATAATTTCTTTTTGTCGATTTTCTCCAAAATTAAATTCCAATACTTATTTTTTTTTCCTCTATTTTTCGTTTTCCCTTCATTTATTAGGGAAAAGGAACCTTCTAACATCTTCTCTGCTCCAAAGAACGAATTATTAATCTTAGAGGTATCTATTCGAATTCAAGTTTCTTTTTTTTTTCTCTCTTTAATTTGTTTTTATTTGACTTTCAGGGTTTTGATTGGATCGAGCACACCTTCAATCAATTGTTAACCTTTCAAATTTCTTCAATTAATTGGATATTTTCTGATCATTTTTATTTTACGTGAATTTAAGCACTTCGGGATTTGAGTTTTTAGGGTTTGTTAGATTTCGGCATCTTTGATTAAGGGTAAGTTGAGATTCTCGGATTGAAAGATATCTGGATAAAATCCTTTTTGGGCGTTTGAAATAGGGTTTAGGTCTAAACCATTGAATTAATAGTTTTAGGTGAGAAGTTCATTCATTTTATGGCATTTGAATGCCAAGAAAGCGCCGAGGATTTTAAGAATTTAGCAAAATTTTCTAAATCAAATCTCTTTACATCCAATCCCTTAACTGAAGATTTGGAAGGTTCAAAACCGTTGTTGGATTGTAATCCTAAGAAGGACGTTTCAAGTCTTTGTTGTTCCAAACAGTTACCACCTAATAATGTTGTTTCGAATGTGCGGCGGTCAATCACTGATCTCCCACCAGCCTTAATATCAGAAATTTTGAATTGTCTTGAGCCGAAAGAGCTTGGTGTAGTGTCTTGTGTGTCGACAACTCTCCATAATATAGCATCCGAGCATCACGTTTGGAAGGAATTTTATTGTGAGAGGTGGGGTTTGCCGATTGCCCCGGCACCTTTGGGTGCAGGGTTTTCAGACGATAAGTCATGGAAGGAATTGTTTGTGGAGAGGGACTTTAGGAGCAAGACTTTTTTAGGAAAGTATAGCATTGATGATTTATATGGTCACACGGAAGCTGTTCGAACTGTGTTTTTATTGGCTTCTGCCAAGCTTATTTTTACTGCTGGATATGACTCAGTTGTACGAATGTGGGATATGGAAGAGGGGTTGTCAATTGCATCCTCACGACCCCTTGGTTGTACCATCAGGGCAGTTGCAGCGGATACTAAACTATTGGTTGCTGGGGGTACCGATGGCTTTATCCATTCTTGGAAGGCAGTTGAGAGTCTTCAGCACTTGTTTGACCTTAAGGGTGTTGAGAAACAGAACACTGAGTTTCGACTTTGGGAACATGAGGGGCCTATAACTTCTCTTGCATTGGACCTTACTAGGATATATAGTGGTTCTTGGGACATGACAGTTCGTGTCTGGGATCGGTCATTGCTGAAGTGCACACAGGTATTGAGGCATGGTGACTGGGTTTGGGGCCTTGTTCCACACGACACAACTATTGCGAGCACATCAGGTTCAGATTTGTTTGTTTGGGAGACGAATGGTGGCACCCTGTTAAATGTTATTCACAATGCTCATGTTGGTAATACTTATGCCTTGGCAAGGAGCCGAACTGGGGACTTCCTTTTTACTGGTGGAGAAGATGGGGCAATACACATGTTTGAGATCGTAAGTGGGTCTGAAGAATCTAGTGTTGTGCTGGTTGCAACATGGATTCCTCACTCAGGTTCTGTTTATTCCCTTGCATTTGAGTTTCCCTGGCTTGTTTCAGCTTCCAGTGATGGGAAACTTGCACTAATTGATGTCCGAAAGTTGTTGAGGGCCACTAAGCACTCCTTGGGGAAAAGGGTTGCAAGGGATAAAGACATTGACCAGAATAATGTAGAGCCACCCCAGAGAATGCTGCATGGATGTGTGTACAATTTATTCTCAGTCAGTATTGGAGCAGATCGAATTGTCTGCGGAGGTGAGGAAGGTGTGGTCCGAATTTGGAACTTCTCAGAAGCTTTTGAAGTTGAGCAGAGGGTTCGTGTTCTAAGAGGAATACGTTTGGAGAACAGGATGAGGCGGCGCAGACTTCAGATTGAGATGAATAGTAAGGGTGGTCGAACTGATCAATGTTCTGTTGCTGCCAAGAAGAATCCAGTGAATGGTGATAGAAATGGTGTCTGGCATAGTAAACGTAGTATAAGCTCAAAAGGTGAAGACATAACAGCTGTCAGCTGATAATACTAATGTCATTGCTCTAGGCTTCCAACATATTCATCTTTGTTCTATTATGACAAAGTTATTCACAATATCTTTCTGAATGTATGGTAACTATAGTCTTCTCTTTTAGTTAGCCTTCGATTTTAATCTCATTTATATGATCTTGCATTTCAATCTCTTTTACATGAGTCCTGGATTTTAAACACTGTTCTTCTGGTGTATTTTTTGATAGCTGGGCCTTGGTTCTTATGGTTGCCTTTATAGGGAATCGGAGTTCATTGTTCATGGCTTTTATTATAACTACCGCTTCAATTTACATGCCTTTGGTTTTTGTGATTCTCAAAATAACAGGCGTGGCACATGTTTCCTGCAGTGACAATTGGATGTATATGCAAATTGCAATAACGAGTTCCAAGGTGCGGGAAAAGCATCCTAGTCAGCCTCAATGAAATCTTGATCGAACTTTCTCTTTTGAAGGGCCTCTGCTTCCTTCTCAAAACACCACCTCCGTTTCTTTTCGTTTCCTAGGAGAATTGTTATACTGTACAGGGATATAACATTACAATACAATGATATGTCAATTTCGAACAAAGCTCATCTAGAAAAAATTATAGATTACGCAATAACATGATATAAAAACGATATAAAAATTGTTTAAATTAAAATTTTGACAAAAATATTCCATACCCAAAAACGTGTTTTTTATTTAAAATGTTAAAATGAATTGTCATATAATAATTTTTATATTTTTTAAATATTTTGATACGAAATAAACATGATACGGGTACACTAGAGATTCTTACCAACTTGAAAATAACATTGATTCTCACCAACTTGAAAAGAACAAAATGAAAAGCCCTACCTACCTGGAAAAAGAAGAGAAAATATAAATGAAAACAAAAGAAAGCTCCTTACCAACTTGAATGCGGAAAATAGAGCAGAAATAGTTAACCATGTTGGCAAAAAAGCTCATTTGGGCCCGGCTCCATCTTGGGCACCGCCATTCCGAGTCTCCTCTTGTTTCACACGAGCGGTTTTTTGTCCATTTCCCGCTATAAAGTTAACAACGGTATTCGACTTAAGGAAGAACTCTCTATTGAATTGAACAAAAGCACAAGGGAAAAAAAAAAAAAAAAGAAGGAATTTCGACCTGAATTAGAAATCCTTAGATCAAAATAACAACGATGATGGAAGGATTTGTTTTATTTTTGGTTGCAGCTGTTTCAATGGGCGTGACCAACCTAGCGATGGGTCAAGAAATTAGTAGTTCGAATGTGTCAGCAATGTACGTGTTGGGTGATTCTTCAGTGGATTGTGGAGTCAACGCTCTGTTTTACCCAATCTTTCATCAAGATCTTTCTTTGCTTCCTTGTAATGGATCCAATTCCATTCTTCTTCCTTATCTTCTTGGTAACTAACTATTGTAATGTGGCAGAAAGATCTTTCTTTGCTTCAGTATCTTCTATATGTTTTTTGGTCGTTTTATTTCTTGGTTTCTTTTCTTTAAAACTGCATGTTATGCAATGGATTCTTTGAAGAATTTGAGTGATGAAGAAAAACTTGGTCTCGTTATCTTTGCTGCATATGTTTCATGGCATTCTTGGTTTTTTTTTTTTTTTTAAATTGAAATTTCAATATGCATTGCATAAAATTTGCTCAACAATTTCTGAAGTTTAATTTTGATTCCACGAGTTAGGCTGCGATGGATTCCGTACAATTTGTTTTCTTGCTTCCATTGTTTTTCAAGAATTTTCAGCATCATTTTCTATTTACCCAGTTCTTGAAAATTGTAATGCATTTAGAAACAAGTTGAACAATTTCCAAATTAATTTGATGGCAAATGCAGCTGAGAAAATGGGTTTACCATACACTGAACCATTCTACAGCCAGAATGGGTCCGTTGAGGGTTTGCTAAATGGTGTGAATTATGGGGCAGCACAAGCTACAATCCTTAGCCCCAGCAGCATGAGCCACCAGTCCCTGAACCACCAGCTAAGGCAAGTATTTGAGACAATTCAGCTGTTGGAGCTACAACTCGGCCAGGAAAGCTCTTACCATTTTGTCAGATCCTCCATATTCTACCTCTCCTTCGGTCAAGATGACTACATAGATCTGTTTCTCCGCAATTTTTCAGGTGTAATGGTCAGATACAGTGGTCATGAATTTGCTAAAATTTTGGTTAACCAGATGGTACATGCTATAAGGAACCTTTATGACATGAATGCTAGAAGGATTGTATGCGTGGGAATATTACCTTTGGGATGCACCCCAAGTTTATTGTTGCAGTGGCACAATCCCACAGCTAGAAGCAACATTGATGATGGAACAGGTTGTGTTGAGGAGATAAATGACCTTGTTTTGCAGTATAATATAATGCTAGAAGAAAGCATAGTTAGGATCAATGAAGAGTTACCTGATGCACTGATAGTCTTCTGTGATCTGTACCAAGGAGTCAAGAAGATCATAACCTACCCACAATTCTTTGGTATGAATCCTCCTATACTCCTTCTGAATTAGCCTGAAAAACATCACCCAAAGGGCAATGTTGACGTTTATTTGTCATCTAGGTGGCTTGAGAAATTTAATTTACTCTTTATACTTTGTTTTAATGTGACAAATACAGGATTTGAGGATGCAAAAAGTGCTTGCTGCGGGCTTGGCTTGTATGGGGCTGAGATTGGATGCCTTTCTTCAGATATGGCCTGCAACACTGTTTCATCTCACGTATGGTGGGATCTGTATAACCCAACACCAGAAGTGAACTCCTTGCTTGCTGATTCAGCATGGTCTGCTGAAGTCTTGTCTAACATTTGTCGTCCTACTACCGTCAAGAATCTGGTTTATACTTCAGTATCCCATCTTACCTGATCCTCACAGATTTCATAATTTCTTCTTTGGTTTAGGCGTTGGCTAGAGCAGTGAAACATTGGCTTGCAGGCCATTATAGATTGAAATTTCTTTGTTAGGTAACCCCTTTTTGCTTCTACAATAGTACACCATTCTCCATTTTTTCCCCAAGAACTTGCTAAGAAATGCTGTAATTGTCCTGTAACTTTCCCAAGAAACTGCAGTTCAGCCATAAACCACCGGCATTTGACAGAAATTTACGTTAATCTGCAATGGAATTTGTTTGTACTCTGAATTTGCTGTACACAGAATCGAGCAGAAAAAAGAAAATAGGAAAACCACTGATACTAGCGTACAATGAATTTGCTGTTTTTCTTTGTTTTATCCGCTCTACTATTGTACCCTCGGCCCACTATCAGAGAAACAAAAGGCGTCTTATCAGAAACATTAATGATGCATCGTTAAGTGTGAAATTTCTTAAAAGAAACTATTTAAAAAAAAACGCAAAAACTCTGGCGTAAAAGAAAGTTAAACCTAAACCAAGAGTTAAGCTTTTTCACTTTCTCCTCCTCTTCTTTCAAGGTTTAGATTCCAAAGCACAACAATGGCTGCTTCTCTACTCCAAAACCCTCTTAAAACCCCATTTTCTGAACTCTCAATCAAGAAGCAGAAACCCTGTTTCCTTAAGCCCCGTCATTTAACCATCACCGCCACACATCCCCAACTCCAAGGCCGAAAACTCCGAGCCGCCGTGATTGGTGGGGGTCCAGCAGGATCTTCCGCCGCGGAAGCCCTGGCTTCAGGCGGAATCGAAACCTTTCTCTTTGAACGCAGCCCTTCCACCGCCAAACCATGCGGCGGCGCCATCCCTCTCTGCATGATCGACGAATTCTCCATTCCTCTCCACCTCATCGACCGCCACGTCACCAAGATGAAAATTATCTCCCCCTCAAATCTCACCGTCGATTTTGGATCCAAATCCCTTCGCGCCCACGAATTCATCCCCATGCTCCGTCGCGAAGTCCTCGACTCCTTCCTTCGGACCAGGGCCCAATCCGCCGGGGCCCAATTAATCCCTTCCCTCGTGACCCATCTCGAAATCCCTTCTTCCCCATTTTCTCCTTATATTGTCCACCACACCATCAACAACTCTCGTAAAACCCTAGCCGTTGATCTAATCATCGGCGCCGACGGAGCCAACAGCAAAGTGGCTAAATTTATAAAAGCCGGGAATTACACCTGCGCAATAGCATTTCAAGAGCGAATCAGATTACCGGACGAGAAAATGGAGTATTACCAAAATCTCGCGGAAATGTACGTGGGAGATGACGTGTCACCCGATTTTTACGCATGGGTTTTTCCTAAATGTGACCACGTGGCAGTGGGGACGGGTACGGTGTGTGCGAAGCAGGATATCAAGTTATACCAGAGAGGAATAAAGGAAAGGGTTAAAAACAAGATCAACGGTGGAAAAGTGATCAAAGTGGAGGCCCACCCAATCCCCGAACATCCCCGACCAATACGGGTACGAGGACGCGTGGCGCTGGTAGGAGATGCGGCGGGGTATGTTACCAAGTGTTCGGGTGAAGGGATTTATTTTGCAGCGAAATCAGGCAGGATGTGTGGGGAGGCAATGGTAAGAGCATCGGACGGTGGGGAATCAATGATAAGTGAAGATGATTTGAAGAGGGAGTATTTGCTCGAATGGGATGAGAAGTATTTGAGTACATTTAGGTTTTTGGATTTGTTGCAAAGGGTGTTTTATGGGAGCAATGCAGCAAGGGAAGCATTGGTGGAAGTTTGTGGGAGTGAGTATGTGCAAAGGATGACTTTTGATAGTTACCTGTATAAGAAGTTGGCTAAGGGAGACAGGTTGGAGGATTTAAAGATGGTTTTGGGTACCATTGGGAGTCTGATGAGATGTAAGATTGTTGGAAGACATATGGAAGCCTTGAAGTTGTAGAAATTTTGGGCTTTTCATTACAGCAAAAAAAAAAAAGGTAGCTTGTTTTGCTTGTAATTTTCAAATTGCATGAATTGTTTTTTATATTTTAAGTTGTAAGAGATCAATATTCTATCGACGGCTCAAGCAACTGATGACGAAGTAGTTGAAATATCATAACTCTTTATTATTGCATTACTCAACTCCAACTCATCAAGTTGGAAAAAGGATCATTTCATTTCAAGTCCCACAAGGCCAATGCAAGCAAGATCCAAGACAGGATAGTGAAGTCAATTATGGAAGTTTGTTTCTAAAAGGAGCAAAATTTGCCTGTAAAAGATGTGACAAGTACAGCATGAAAACCAAATATTCTCCATCCTGATCCTAAAAATTATTGTAGCGGTAAACCTTTAGCTAAAAGAATCAAATCTCAACCACCTCGTAGACCAAAGAGATGAGTTTCTTTTGTGATTGGACGTCACTTTCAGTTTAGGGTTCACTTAAAAATTTGTAGGCCATCAGTAAAGTGATATAAGTGACAGCAGCACCGTCAGACTGGAGATTAAAACTGGAATTGCATTTGGGAAGAGTATCCAAGAGTTTCTAGATGAGCTGCCATAGCCTTGTTCATGGGAGGCGGTCCACATCTCAAAATCTGGATTAGTGGGGAAATCAATCACAGTATCAAGCATTACATAATTAAAGGCAAACGCAGAAAGTGAGGATGATTGTGAGATTACCTGAATATCTTCAGCAGGGGCAGGGCAGTGGGCTTGAATCATTTCCTTGGATATGAATCCAACACCACCATCCCATCCTTCAGGGGGCTGAACATGATATTTTAAAATAGAAAACATGAGCAGCAAGTAGGATCAAAACAGAATATATGCAGTGCATGTATGTTTGCTGAAGATGATAATAGAGTTAAGACAGCAACAAGTTCCTAAAGAGTGACAGGTTTTCATCTTTGGATTTCATGTTTTGTAAGGAAAGCGGACTTGAGAGGATCCTATGCTAAGAAACAATTAAAGACTGTTTATGCTTCATTTTATTGAATGTTGAGCAGTTAAAGATAAAATTTGCATATATCAAGTCTAGCTGAAATAAAGATGCCCAAAGGAATGTGTTGTTTACAAGGAAAGTTGAAAACAGAAATAGCTCTTAGTGCAAACAAAGCAGAATCACATTCATGCAGCCGATCCAACTAGTTTGTACTAAGACACCGAGTTGATTACTGCAGAAAAGCACACCACCCTCCTTAATTACGGAATCACCATACCCTACTCAATAGAAGGTACAATTGAAATATGGAATGTTATGTAATGACAAATTTCATACTTACGTGCAACATTTCCAATGAAAATCCAACACTTTTTGTGATAGTTAAACTTAAAAGCTTTCTTGTTTTCCGATGAAGCTTTCATTCAATCTTTACAAACACAAGGACTTCTCAAAGTCACATGGACCATTCAATTCCATCTTAGATATATCCTCACTTATGTTCCAATCAATGGTGTGTAATTCTTAATGGATATGCTTCACAATTTTGTAAGATCATTTCACTATAATTACTCATTCGATGGTCCTAATTTTGATTGTATCTGAATCAGATTATTCATAATCATTATTGGACTTTAACAGAAAAAGCTGAACAATTGCATGACAGTAGCTAATTTCTAGTTTAAATTGGAATTTGTGATGAATATGTTCTTTTACTGAGGTTGCTACCCATCAAAAACAATATGTCAAGAAACTGGAGGAAATATACCTTACATGTTGATAGACAAGGACAGGTTTCTGCCATCATATTGTGCATCAAATTGGACCAAGATATTTATTACATCTTTATCTGATGAAATTCATATAAACTTAAAAGTAAACCAGGTTTTATCAGATATAACTTCTTTGTATCCCATACGACTTCCAAGATACTTCAAAATTATATAGGAATTTCACAACCATTTCAGACATAGAGACATTTGCCTTGAGTACTATCTCCACGTTAAAGGCTGGGATAAAGCCTAAATCAAAATTTATTTTTAATTGTCAACGCATCTGATCTAATCCTCAAATGTCTTTAGATTGGTTCAACAACCTCATGGTATTCTTATCAGAATTTAGACAAATCTCTGAGCCAGTAAAACAAAACTCTAACTCTTAGCTCTCCCAGTTAGAACCATGAATATTGCTTGAAATGGTATGTATACATTTCCCATCTCTTTCTAGAAAATGATTTTAAAACTTTATCTTTTGGGTAATTTCAATAACTTGAGGAGCCAGAATTATTTCCCATAAAATAATCCTAAACTAAATACTATTAAAACATACTAGAAAAGCTGGCATAGCATGTTCTGGATTTCTCATTTCCTCATTGAAAGAAAAAGTGCAAGCAGAGAAAAACAACTCAACTAGAATAGAGAAAGGAATTAAATGAAAAAAAATAAATAACAAAAAAGGAACAATGTTTGACATGTAAACCTGATTCAGAACATGGTACACACTCATGCGATTAGGAAATTTACTGGTAAGCTCATCCAGCTCTTCCTGAAAAATAATCATGGAATAGAATTAGATTGCTCCAATCAGAAAGTTGTTCAGTCCTGGACATCTAGTTATTGCCTCAAGGTCTGAGCATTTGCGCATATGTTAAACTTCACATTTCAAATTTTTAATTAATCAAAAGAGAAAACTATTATCTGTTTATTGATATGTGTGGGTAGAGAGAAAGAGAGAGAGAGAGAAAGAGGGATCCCACCTTTAACAGAATGTCCTCGTAGGTAACATTGGCATAAATAAGATGAACGTTAGTCTTGTCATTAGGGTTTTCTAATATGGCTCTAGCAACCTGAACAACAAATGGGAAATTTTAGCAATTATTAAACTAAAAATTAAAATGAAAGTCTTATACAATGGGAAGAAAAAGAAAGTCATGCAAGGTGACCAGCTCCTTGATCTAAAATAGAAAACCTGGAACATTGGAGTGATGCCAGTGCCCCCAGCCAGCATACCAAATGCTCTAACTTGGCCAGGTTGATACTTGAAGCGCCCCTGGAAGCATCAGATGGGTATATCAATTATAAGCCATCCTTTGAATGTACATAAACCATATGCTATGATTTATTTGACATGTCTTAGGAGACACATGAATATGACACATTAGCACATGATTAAAAAAATTGCAGTAAAGTTCACCTTTGATTCACCCATGAAAAGTACTAAACAATGAGTGCATTGTGCACCAAAACCTTATGTATTGCTACAACTGCATGATTTACTCACAATTCAAGAACTCTTCCATAGCTAACACAAAAAGTCAACACAGGACAACCATAGACAGAGACATACTCGTGACTGATAGTTAAGGCACTTGCTTAAGGCCATATTCTCAAACACTTCTAAGTGCCAGGATTTTATTTAGAGTGAACTGACCCTTCAAAACTTCAAAGGAGCTAAAAAGGGAAAAATAGATAGATGTGGTTCTTGTTTTTGTGCCTGGGTTATGGCATAAGCTGAAATATAAAGCAGTCCTCAAACACCACGTTGGGGATAGAGGACAAGGGTGTTGAGACCAATGCATGTGTTTTTCTGAAAGATACAACTTCTAAAGCCAACCTATGCCACAATCAAGACATAAGAAATTTATCTGGACAAAAAATTAGACTAACAGTAAGATAATTGAAGGTGATTGCATTTCTGTGGATTAGTTAGCTAACTAGGAGGAATAGAAATTATTTAAGAAAGAGGTTCGCTGGTTCTATCGTCTAGCAAAATAAAGTGTTGCTCATTTATATGATTTTGGATTCTATAACACGTCAAATATTCAGACAAATGAAAAAAGAAAAAAAAGGTTTATAAAGAAGAGGAGAAAAAAAAACATCAGGCCAAAACAAAAAGGAAAAGAGACCAAAATCTGCATTTTACAAATGGAATATATGTAATCTGCATGTTCATTTTTGCCTCCATTCTAGCCTCTGCAAGATTTTTTTACTTTACTCAAAAGGAAAGAAGAATATATTCCAATAAGGATTCAATTGAAGGTGGGCCAAAATGGAAAGGCTTATATTGCATGGAATGTAATTTGTAAAGCTAGGGAATGATTTCTCAACTTGTGCACTACGAGCCCTTTTCCTGTCAACCCCATATCCATCCACTTGAATTGTCATATCTTAAAAATAAAAAAGTCAATGCTTTGGACAAAACATGTTGCTTTTCATTTGATTGTAAAATATGTTTGGTCATATTTCTATTAATATATTTCATCATGTACACTTTCCTTCAAAAACAATTCCCTATTCAATATTGAGCAGAATATATTCCATTGTATGGGCAGTCAGGGGATCTAAAATTAGATGCTGATCAAACAATATCAACTTGATCACTACTGTTCCTTAAAAAATCTATAGATACCAAGAATTGTCTTCCCCTCGGACCACAAAACTGGAAGGAGAGAGGTCTTACATGAAGAAAAGAGTCATATTTGGTAGCCAAGGATGACTTGCCTGCATCTTTCCCAGAGGTTCAGAATTTGTATGACCATGAACCAGAAACTCTTTTCAGGGTGCCAGGCAGTCACCTTGGCTAATCTAACAGGTTCTTTTCCCTCATGTTAGACTTTCTCTTCTTTGTCAATTATCTATTTGAATCTGTGCTATAGCATAAAATGACATATATTTGAGGTTTTGCATGGTGCAAAACAAGTAATATATTGTATTGATTTTGATTGAAATATCAAGTTTTTGTGTCTATGGCTGCATCAAAATGTTCAGACCATGAGGCCTTTGGCATTACATCATAAGAAAGAGGGTACTTCATTTGGGAACATGAATTTTTTACTATCCAAATTATTGAGGGAATAAATGCGGATTTCACGTAAATGCTATTAAATATTCAATGAATTTAGTAATTTGAAAAAGTTCAAATTTACGATCTAATACAGATTTCACATATTTACATATTTAAATTAATGTACCCAAAAATTTATACAAAAATTTCATATAGAGAGTAAGACCTTAGGGCAAATTCAACCATCTCCGAATCGTAGCTAGGGTTGGAAGAAGTTGCTTAAACTAAGGAATAATGCCCTTCCATATGTGGGGAGACTACTAGTTTAAAATTCTACTCATTACGATCATGCAGTTAGAACTTGGGATGTAATAGCGCATAAGCTTGGATGATTATTCTTGACAGGCTCCCTACTAGGCAAAGAATTATAGTCCATAGGAGAGTTCCCTTGCTAACACAAATTGTATTGTCTCTGATGAGAGTTTAGAAACCAGAGATCATTTATACGCTTTGGAAGCAAATTCTTCAGCTATGTGGAATCCAAAAGTAGGTTGGTAATTGGTCCAGTGAACTTTAATGGATACAGCAGAAATTGGCAAAGTTTTCTTTTGCAATCAAGGACTATACTTTAAGGCAGAATCTGAAACTATTAAAAGTAAAAAAATCATGATGTCACAGGGTAAGATTAGATACTACTAACTTGTTTTTGACATTAATATCTTATGTAATGAACTACAACTGGGTTTTGTAACCAACATTGAAACAAGAAGGTAGGATTTCTGACAGGATGTAAAATAGCATCAAAGAAACTTACCTTGGGTCCCTTCACAGCCAAGTAATCACCTTCGCGCATCTCCCGGAAGTGGTGGGACATCCTTCCTTGAGGATACATCTGTAAAGCATGAAAACCAAATTATGTACTGATGTAAGCAAGAAAAGAAAACAATTACTAGATGACAGAAACTAAAGCATCAACCGCATGCTGCATTAAACCTTTATGACTAGTTCAAAGTATCCTAAATCAGAATCCAAAGTCGTTGGAGTATATGGCTTGACAACATCATCACCATGCTGATCGTTTCCTCTATTTAAGAAAATAATATTAAGTATGAGCAACATTTTGGTGATAGATCAACAAACAACTTACTAGAAATATACAAATAACAAGGATGCAGAAAAAAGGGATTGGCATTGGGTTAAGATATCAGGTGTCAAAGTAAGTCATGAAGCAAACCTGCAACTCATATGCTGTCCAATTGGAAGACCCAAAACTGATGTTCGTGTGGGAAGAGCAAACTTAAACTTAGCCACATTGTGACTGAGTTGAGTGCGTTTAACAAGTTTGAATTCTTTGAAATCTTCAGGATCCAAGCAGCCTGTGAAAACTTCAGACATTAATCAATTGGCTAACAAAGTAGATGTAACAGTTTATTGATTTACATTCTCAAAACTCAGTAAAGGGTGCATAGGAGATTAAATAAGAATGAAAATCATACAGCCACTAGAAAGAAGCAAACTTAACAAAAGATGACAAATAACAAGTATAACTCAAGAAGCTCAATAGATAAAATGGAAGCGCTGGAGAGCTGCTTGGAGATGAAATAATTGCACATTATCAATTCAGAAAAGGAAAGAATGTTCCATTTTGTTGGATGCATAGACTACATAATTACAAATAGAACAAAAAAAGAAGAAAACACCAGAGAAATCTTTTATTGCATTAGATTAAAATATCCAGGAATTCAACAATTTCTATTCTAAACTACTAATCAGCAATCATCACTGCTGAAGAACCTAAGACACAGTATTTCGTCGCTCCCATCGAAATAGATATTCCTCTTACACATATTTGATCTTAAAAATATTTTCCACCACAAGTCAGAAGAACAAGGCTCCAACCTTTTTACTTATGTAGTTCTTAATATTCTCAACCAGCAAATAGCAGCACATATTCAACTACTATAACACCAATTCAAATACTATGACAACGCCTTTCCTAGTCTATGGCAAATGGAAATTATAGAAAAATCAACATCCCAATAGCACGAGCAATAAATTATAAAGCAATAAAATTGGTGCAGGAAAAGAACTTCCCATCATTTAACCTACTAAAATAAAGAAATCACATTTCACTATATATTACAAAAAGGCATCATATTTGGTCTAACACAATTTCCCAAATCAAATTCATCAAAAACACGAATGAAATAATGAAGTAAAAGCACCTTTGGGTTTCTTTGTAACATATAAATAGTAAGCAGTAGCGGCGCCAATGGCAGCCACGGCCACGGCTATGCTTACAATTTCCACCCTGTGACATTGAAAATGTTCCATTTCTTTTTGCTTGGAGACCCGAGATTTTGGAACTATGAGAAAACAAGATTGTAAAAGGTTTTGGCAGAAGCTGTTCCGTCTGACCCTTCGGTTTGTTTGGTAAGAAAGGTTTGGTCAACTAGCTGTTTCTTAAATGGTGTCGGGGGTAGAGGATTGCAGCCCTGTTGTTTCGACGCGTGGCATGTCATTATTGGAAGGAAGACCGCCATGGTGTACTTACCTGTAAATTCCACTTTTTTGAGGGGAGAATTTATTATATCAACGGCGCCCAAAATATCTGACTTTGTCTTTTGGAAGTTTGAAATTTTCATATTTGGAATATGAAAATTAGGTGTGAAATTAAGAAGCAAAACTTGTGAGCTACCATCTTTTAGGATAGTCACATTTTCCTTGTGTTAAGCCAAAAAAAAAAAATCTTGGTTGGGTAAACTCGTTCTAGATTTATGGATAATTGACACGGTCTTTTTTTTTTTTATGTTGAATAGAAAATTATTATTTTATTGTAATTTTCTTCTTTTACATATTCAACTTAGCATATGTTGATGTAATAATAAGATTATTATAAGAAAAAGAAGATAGGAATGGAACTTTCTAATTGAAACTTGGGAAAACATTGTAGCAATTTGGAAATTTAGCATTTTTTTATTGAAAGAAAATTGAAAACAGATTGAATTTTGCTAAATAAATTTTCAAATATAATTAAAACAAACAAATTATTCAATATTCAAATAAATTTATCATAAAATCGAATTAAACCCTCACACAATAAAACTTTAATCTAAATTTTTAAAATTTTAAGATCTTTTTTTCAACATAAAATTAAAATCTCATTTGAATCGATTGGATTTAACACTTATTTATTAAAAGTGATATCATTAAGTTCATGAATTTTAAAGGAAACTTAGAATGCCATGTTGCTTTCAGAATTTTTTTCTTGTATTACCTACATTTTTCGCAATTTCAGTTGTTCCCAAAAGGATACTCTGTAACGATTATAAATTATAATTAAAGTTCATCAAAAATTAAAAAGAAAAATCGAGAATTTTTAGATTGAAGGTCCCAACTTCAAATCTTGACGACAGGAGCGTGAAATTATAAAATAGGAAGGAATTATCTCCTTTTATATAGCTTAATTAACATATCCAATGAGAATGTGTCAAAAACTAAAAAGAAAGCACAAGGATAACCATTGTAATTTTAAAGCTGATGAGTCTTGATAGGATCAAAATAGTAAGCCAAATTCCAAGTTTTACAAGGATCTCTACTTGCAGAAAAAATTCAATTGCCCGAGGAAATCAAGAGTCAGGGAAAGGGGAAAAAAATCTAATAGAAAATTTGAATTTATTCAGCCACCAATATATTCTTCCAAAACAAAATCCTGCAACTTTTAGGCTTCGTTTTGCAACTGAACCCTTAGTCTGTTGAAGTATCTTCAGCAGCAGTATCAGTCTCTAATTTATCAGCAGATTCCTCTGGTTTACTTTCGGTACTTTCAACATTCTCAAGCTTTGAGACACGAAACATTGCCAAATGAATATCCCCTACAGCAAAACAGAACCATTTTGTTAGCTCTTTATATCCATAAACACGGATCAGGAGATGGCATTCCAATTCCAAACTGGTTGGATTTTGGCTAAAGCAAACAATTTCTTAAGTTTGATAATGGTTTCCAGACATCTGATAGATACCAAATCTTCTTGTTGTAATGTTCCTTAACATGTTGTGTTCTTGCTTTTCTTCTTTTCTTTGTAATAGTATCCTTGTTTTGTTGGTTTCTTGAGTGTGAAGGAAGTGAAGATAATTATTGAATTGAATTGAAGCAAGTGCATTTACCAAATATAAGAAAACTTCCCGGTGGCACCTTGGCAACAACTCCTGGTCTTAGCCTCTGGTCATTTATGAACGTTCCATTGGTACTATCCAAATCTGTAACCAGAAGATTCCCTCCTTTCTTCTGAATCCGGGCATGAATTCCTGATACTGTAGAAGTCATAGATATACATGATTTGATATCAAAGGTATTAGTTTGATAGACATAATCTGATTAATAATTGAAACAAGATAAATTTCATTCTATTGACAGTCATGCTGTTAAAAGTTAATTATCTATGGTGTTTGAGTTGAAACAATAAAAGGGTTGAAACAGACAAGAATTTGTAGGTTTAATTTTTTTTATTTTTTGGTTCTTGAGGTTGCCAGAATTTGAACTTGGTAAGTAAAACTAAGTGTCTAGCAATCTACCACCAAATCACCAGACTGCTGGCAAGACTTTGCAGGTCTAAAAGCTGTTGCAACTGGAATCACCTGTTGCAATAGATCACACGACTTTTGAGTTTTACTTTGTTTTTGGGAGTGGTGAATACCTGTTGCAACTGGAATCACCACATCTGCTTTATCAGGGAGACGGCCAACAGTCACCTCACTCTACAAAAATGTCGAAAATAATTAAAAATTGATGTTATTTCAGTGCATATAACTTGATGAACGATAAGGTAGAACATTGCTATGGCAACAGAAATTTTACTCACAGAAGCAATTTCAAAGGCATCCGGCATTTGGACCTTAAAACCTATGTGCCTTGTATCCCCATCTCCTAGTTCATGAATGCAATATAATTGCATCAGATGCAATATCACCAAAACTTTAAGTACTAACTTTTTCTTTTAATTGGAGAAAGAAAAATACTGACCAGCAGGTTCAAGAAGCCATCTATCAGTGACATCTGTGGAAGTACTTTCACTCTCAGAAGCATAAATGACCCCAAGATTTCTTTGCCTCCTTGATTTGATTCTCTCAAATTTTAGCTTACTACCATAGTTCTTAGAGGACTGAAAAGGGACTACTAAATTTGAAGCAGCCAAAGAGGCCTTTGAATGAAGGAAGAGAGATGAAAGAGAAGTTGAGCAGCTGGGGAGCTTTGCTTGGGACAAAGACTGTGCAGTCATCTCCATTTCCGCAAGAGAATTATGTGTAGTTATCAAATTCTGATTGTATTCAAGTTCGAGTAGAGTTCAGTTCTATTGGATTGTGTGGATGCTAGTGAAAGGGTGTTTTGGGAAACATGTGATATAATTATGTGGCATACATTTAATGCCTTGATAGCGATAGGAATATGGATGACAAAATTATATGCAGTGACTTCTTGTTTCCACACGGTGGACCGACAACACATTGACTTTTGTTTTTATAAGTTTTTATTCGAAATCCAAAGCAAACATATGGAATAAGAGATAAAGCTACAACAAATTTGTCTTTGTTGACTTATTATCCCAAATTTCACAAAAAAACTCTTTGTATAATGATAGTATTCACCGAAATAACAAAAGAAAAACAGGTTTTCACGTTAACAATAATCAATTAAAAAAAATCATTTCGAGTCCTCTTACTAGTTCATGTTTTTGTGAATTCCTTTCCTGCCATAAATTAACTTGTTTTCATTCTCTTCACTTCTGCACCAACCAATAACTTCAAACCCATGACTAATTTGTGTTTATAACTTAGTAGGTGTAATGGAAATGTACTAAGAACATGCAGTTTATGTGAAAAGTTAATGCTACTTCTTCACCAATTTAGACTCAATAATTGGTGGAGGCCTGAGAGGGGATGATTCTTCAACAGGCATTTGAAAATTCCCAAGAATGTTTTACTTTGAAATCACTAGGTAAACTAAATGAAAAATTATATCCAATAGATAAAGATGTCCAGTTTCTCAAATATTCAACAGTTCCTCAAACTCTATTGTTCAAATACTGCTAAATAGTAGTTAGCAGCACATATTAACATATGTAGTTGTGGCTCTAATTTAAAAATTTGCTGTCAGAAGAGAAAAAAAAAAAAGATTTCTGTTGAGGCTTTTTAATTGTTGTTGGAGTCAAATTTGTTGCAGTTTTAAGTCATTGGCTTGCCTACAATCTTTAAGAACAAAAGGAACAATAAATGATGAAAGAAAAAAATAGAAATAAATTTTAGAAGAAATTGTGAAATGCTTATCAGATGCAGTTTTAACTGAGAGCACTCAATTGGTAACTCAGTGCACCGTTCTGTATCTTTACAATAGTCATATACCAAATGCTTTCGACCATTTAAGTTGATGGCTCCTATGCCTGTTTAACCCAGTGAAAGATGGCCTATCCCACCAGAAATATCCTGATTTGCCACAATTGCCCGTAAAATAGTCTTGTTTCTGGCAAAAATTTAAATTTACAAGCATCAATAATGAAAGACCGAAATATTGAAACGGAGGCAGCATGGGTCCAGATGGTGTTCACCCTCCCTCCTTTTGTAGCCCAACTATCAGTGGCGGGTCTATTTCATCAGAAAGTGACGGATAGTGGGGGATTTCATGGCCAGAGCAGCGGCCACTATGGAACGGCTCCACTAAGAATCCATTAACGCACATCAAGGCCCATCGAGCTATATTAAACGGAGGTGTGGTAGGAAAAGACAAATATTAAAGCCCGATCAATGGCCATTTTGGGCAGCAGAGTGTTGAAACCTGACAATACCCGTGCATCACTGTTAATGCCTCCTATACCAAATTTATGCTGCCGCGTTAAAGGCCCATCATCCCATAACAAGCGATGGACAATTAAGAGAACCTGCTGGTCTTAAGTGCAGAAAATTTGAAGAATTGTCCAACCCTGCAAAACAAGCTAGATCATCGAGAAATGTACCATTCATGGAAAAAATCATAGCCAGACAAACGATAAATTTACCTTAGGAATATGCAAAACCTTCCTACCTCTCAGTTTGATGCTATGACAGGATGCCAAATACTTTTCCTCAATACATATGCCATAATAAATAGTTAGTAAAGAGGCCTAGCATGGAAGGAAGAGCCTGTCAAGAAAGCCAAGAAGACTGCCTGCGAACCAGAATTGGGGGTTTCAAGAGTTTTCTGGAACCTCTTGAAGGAAGCAGGCAAGTCATTCTTGGCTTTCAAGCAAGACTCCGATCTTCATGTTAGGCCTCTCTTCCTCTCGAATTGCTTATTCATGCATGTATTGGCAATTGCCTATTCACGGTCTTGAAGTCTCTGATTATTTATAGGGCTTTTATTCGTTTTTTTATATATTTTATTTCCGCCACTCTAAAATTAAAATAAATGTATCAATTATATGTATTCAAGTATTTGAATCATGATTGATGCATGAGCTCTTGTTCAAAGAGCATGATTCAACCTTGAGTTGGCTTCCCTCCATTATTTTTTTTGTTTGTTATTTTTAATACACTCATTAACTAATATAGGAGTCTTTAACCTATAATTATTTTTATTATAATCTTATCATTGTTCAATTATAATAAAAAATTATGTAAAGATCTATCATTTATAAACAAAAATTCTATATAAAATTTTAATAATTTTAAATTATAATTAATTATACTGTAATGATTGTAAATGATTAGCTCTCATCAATACTACTAATATAAATAAAATCTATATAGGAAGTGTAAAAATTATATTTTTGAATGGTATTGAGGAGAGTATTAAAAAATAAAAGACATAAAAATAATAGAAAAGATCTCCGCCCGCAAAGCCTTCATTCCTCAAATAAAATAATAATAATATTACTAATTTATTAATTAGATGTTGAAAAAGGAACATATTCACTTCAGGCGGAGGGACCCAATTAGTTCATAGCAAATTAATCTTCCGACCCGGCATTGTGAAAAGAGAACTTGTAAAACATGGAAATTAAATTTATATGATTAGCACGTTTAAGTACATGGTATGGAAAAGTCGGTGCAGCAACTTGCTCAAATCCATTACTTGTTAGTCCTTTTAAGCAATTTTGATAAGACAATTGATTTATATTAAAAACATAATTAACTTTCTTAGGTGAATTGTATCATGATTATCGCTATTTTCTATATCATATTTTTCATATCCCAAACCCCTAAAAGCTGGTGATTTGGTAAATGTATTACACCTAGGGTTTTGGGGGTTTCAACTAAGTTATATTTTTCATACATAATTTTTGAATTGCAACATTGTGTTTATTGTTTTAAAGGATAGACGATACATTGACAGATTTACAAGGTTAGGAGATATGTTGCAATTATAAGCTTGAAATCAGAATTAATCTGGATATTTAAGACCTAAGCCTAACATTTTCCGTTCAAATCAACATAAGAAAAAAACATAAGTTGAAAAAAAAAAAGAAAAAAATTTCCCAACATTTGATATGATGGTTGGTGTATGTTGTTTTCTCGAAGAGTTGGCTCTGAATTCTCCACCACTAACAAGTGGTAGTCTCTTTTTTACCAATTTTTTTTATGCAAAAGAGTTCACAATGTAAAATAATTGAAAAAAATTATAGATTTTGAAATTTAGATTTAATGATTTATATAATTTTATCGTACAAAATATAAAAATTTATATTTTTCATGTTTTATATAAAAATTATATATCATAATTTATATAAATATAAATATATAAAATATATTTTTTATTTTATTAAATTAATATATAATTATTATTAAAATTTTAAAAATATCATTTTTTCGTATTATATTATCATATCATATTTTAAATTATCAAATTTATTAAATTTGAATCTCAATCTTATTTAAATATTATCTCTTACTTTTAATTGCTTAACTATGATAAAATCCGAATAAAACTTAATATATTTCTAAAAGGAAAATCACTATTATCATTTTCCTTTCCCCTTTGGATTCGACTATCCATTATTTGCCGACAGAACTAATTTTGCTAAAGGTGTTCATTAAATGATTTAACCCGAAAAATCAAAACAAAATTGATTGATATGTTGTAAATTCGAGTGATTTGATAATCGAAAGCCAATTGTTAAGTTGGTAGTTCCTTTACATGATTTCTCAAATGCTCCTTGCAAGTATAGGAGAACGAGAATGATCAGTGTAAAGGGCAAAATCTGATCTTCCTATATGGGCCTTAAGCTCCCGTCCTTGTCTATAATTTTAAAAAGACTTCCACGTTTTAAAAACTTACTCAAGGGGAGAATAAATTCTACTAATAATGATTCTTTTGAATTTAGACCCTTGCAAATTCTTGGCTGGTCATGACTCATGATTTTATTCTTTTTTTTTTTTTTTTGTTTTGTTCTATACAGAGGATAGGGGATGAAGATGATGGAGTTTGAACTCCTACCTCACATGTTTTTTTAAACTTTCTTAATTATTAGATCAAGCAAAGGACAATTTTATTTTATAATATAGTCAACGATGCTACATGGCAATGCAACATATGTTCCAATATATATATATATATATATATATATATATATATATATTGAGAGGAATATGTTTGAACATCTAGAAAATCATAATATGTTTGACATTAGAAAATATTTTGTTCCAATTGACTTTTTCGTTGTCAGACTGATTCATGCACTCCATTCATCTTCGGAGGCAGAGCATATTGGGTTTGTCAGAAAAGCATAATATTGATGTTTACTCTTTAGGCCTGTCATGCAATTTCAAGCCTATTGATAAGAAAAGTAAAAGTAATGAAGGGTTTTTTTTTTTTTTTTTAGTTTTCTCTTTCTGCACTGTTAGGGGGGAATGCACCAATTAAGGAAATTTGAATTTTGACTTACTCATTCTCATCACTCAGATTCCCTTTGAAGAGGGTGGTTATGCATTGTACTGAAAACCTGTGGTTAATAGAGGAAAGTTGGTTAAATTACTTATTTCAAGGAATTCAAACATGTTGGCTGGACAAATTTTGTGGGCTACTTTGATTTGAAGCCTTCAAGGTCTTTCTGCTTTCATAGAAGTTAACCATTCCACATTTAGGATTTAGAACAGGAGGAAGCTTGTCTATGCACTGAAGAGATGTGCAGAATATATACCAAAGATGGGCTGTTTCAGGGTTTCAAATTAAGAAATGGGAGCAAAAGCACTTGGCAAATTGATTTGGCGGCGGCAAAGTTTTGTGGGCAATAAACAATTTTAATTCAACAGTATTCTTTTCATGAGTCATTACAACTAGAGAATATAGGGTCTTTATATATATATATATATATATATATATATATATATATATTCTTTCAAGGGCTCTATATATAGACTTGAGAGGTAAAATTTAGCATATAAGAGATATCGAGCTTTGACACATAAAACTGTTGAGAAGAAGAAAGGCCTTACATGAAGGAAAGAGTCTTTGTTTGGTAGCCAAGAATGACTTGCCTGTGGCTTTTCAAGAGGTTATTGAGGCTATGACTCGTAAACCCCTGGTCTGGGTCTGCAGGCAGTCACCTTGGCTAAGCTAACAGCCTCTTTTCTCTTATGTTAGGCTTTCTTTTCTTCCTCTATGAAAGGTTAATGCCGATTACTGGCTCGGATTGTGCCATTCTTTTTTATCGGCTTCCAGGAGGACGTGCAGTGCAGGATGTATGGCATAGCAGAAGCTACATATGTGCCATGCACTGAACCACTCACCTCAGGCCAAGGTAACATATGAAAGCATTTCGGATATGTTAGAATTTCACTTGGTTAATTGTAACTTATTTTCATATAGCAGTCTAGTTTTAAATTCCAGAATATTTAATTCCTAATTATATAACTTTCAACCAATTTTGCAGATTTTACTTTTGCTGATTAAAGCTGAAATATTTCCATGTTTTACCAAATTAATGAAAATCTTTCAATTTCATTTTTGGACTACAATTTTTCATTTCCTAATTCATTGTAGTACATAGAGAGTGAAATTTTAGTTATTAACAAGAGTCATATGGCAGCTATAAAATAAGATTTCCAACTCTTAAAACGGCATAAGAACATTACTTACTTTCAAATGCACAATGGACTTGATTAAGGATGACAAATTCACTCGTAATTGATAGGTTTTAATTTGATCCGATTGTTTAAGATTTTTTTTTTAAATTGAATCGGAACGAGTTAGGTAAATAATAAAAAAAAAAATATATATATATATATATTATGTAGGAACTTCATTTAATTTTATTTGAATTTGCAACTTATTTGATGTATTTTATATGTTGATTTATTGGTTAGATTTGTGATATGTTTAATTTATTTTATTGATTTTTATATAAGATATTATATTAACTGTGAATATTTGTAATTGTAATTTTATTTATATTTTTTAAAATATAAGTATAATCAAGTATTACATATATTCATATAATCAACTAAATAATAAATTATTATATCAATCAAATTATAATCACTGAATAATTAACTAAAAAAATAAACTCACATTTACACTAAATAATTAACTATATAATTAATTATTATACTATAATCAAATTATAATTACTGAATAATTAACCAATAAATTAAAATATAACTAAATAATTAAATTCACATACAATAAATCTTAAAGTTAAAAATTTTAAGATTCCAGGCCTAATTGACAATTTTTATTTAGACTTATAACTTTTTCAAACCCAAATACTTGAAATGCTTTAAACGTTCCAAATCTATACACTATATAATTTAGTGATGCCACCATGAATGTGTATACAACAATCCAATAGTTCATTCGCTCGAATTGGTTCATAATATAAAATAAGTTCTTGGATAAAACCATCACCTTCTGGCCATTACTTGGACTATTTAAAAAAAAAAAAGCCTTTCCATAAAAATTTAATAATAATTTAAATTTATAATATTTTATTATAATCAATCAAATTTTAAATTTTTTATTTCAGGTCATTTGAACCAGTAAAAAATATCTCTTCTCAACTAATTAAACCCTTAAATATTTATTTTCACCCTAATTAAGCTCTCAATTAGATAAAAATTAGTATCGACTGTTAAATAATTTTGTTTAATAAAAGCTCAATTGATGAAATTGATCTTTGACAGCTTAATTAATTATAATAAAATTATAAAAATTTAAATAATTATTATATTTTTATTCGATTTTTTTTTTTTTTACTCTTTTGGCTAAAAAATTATTGTCCAATAATGTTTGGCACGATACAAAATCTTAAGATCAAATTTCAAAAGATTATAATGTAGAATCCCCCCTAAAGTAGCTTACTCATCAATATATATAATATCAAGTAATTAAAAGGCTGAGAAATTATTAAAGCATATTGGAAATTAAGTAAAATTCTACATAACAAATTAGTAGATCTCATCATTGAATTTTTTCCAATACTCCCTCCCTTTTATAAATTATAAATTATGTCTGGTTTGATTTTTTTGTAGTCAAACTTTAACAATTTTGATCATTAATATTTTATTAAATTAATTTTTATAAAATTATATTTGAAGTCTTTCTTATTCAAGGTTTCTGGAAAGTATTTTTCTCATATTTTGATTAACAATAAATTTCTTTAAGAGAAATTATCAAATATATTAATTGTAAAATTTTTAGACTTCAAGATTAGTGGGGTTGCAATATATGTTAATTTTTTAACCTCACTAGTACAGTAAAAAAAATTCACTAACGAAGTATCAAATAATTTTTCATAAAATAAAGTAAAATCAAATTTAAAAAAAAATTGACCCTTAAGATAGTGTTAGGTATTATTTTTAAGATTATCGTGATAATTTAATTATTAAAATGGTGTTTTATTACTAAAGTGATCTTATCACTCGTGAACATGAATCACTTTGTTTTGTTAAAAATCATTACTAATAATTAAAAATGATTGTATTTGGTATTATTAAAATCAAACATTATTTTGTTTGAAAGTATTTAAATAATCATGCATATTATAATAGTTACAAAGTTAATAATTTTAATATTATTTAAAAATAAATATTTATATAAAATATTAATAATATTTTATTTACTTCATAATAAATATAATTAAATTATTAAATTAAAAATATATTTATTGATAGTAAATTAGTTTTTATAGTGTAAATTATGTAAAAATATATATATTTGATTAGAAAATAAAACTTATATATATTAAAATCAAAACATTATGTTATAAATAAATTTTAAAATTTTTAAAAATTCACACAAAATATTTTTAAACTTGTTACAATAAATATTAGTTTGAAAATATAAAAATTATAATATAAAATAATCACAATTAATTTTAAGAAAAAAATTTTTAATTAACATATTAAATTATTAATATTAACTATTGTTAATTTTACATATTATTTCATCAAAATGATAAAAGCTTTTATCATTTGAACGAAAATCAAGTCACCTTTAAAGATAATGATCTAATCACTTTTAATAATTTAAAATTATTATCACGTATAATCATTAAATGATTATAAAATATAATAATTTAATTACTATACGTAAATCACCATGATTTTTTGAATTATCATCTCATACTCATATCAAATATTACCTAAAGGTAAAATTAAATCATTATTTATGAAGTATAAGTAATAAAATTTACTATCAAGTGGGATAAAAAAAGAATTTTACTTTTGAGACAGCCTGGCTTCAAGTACCTTGCCTAGGACAAGGAAAGGGGAGCGAAATTCTAACTGCCCTACCAATTGTATGGATATGTTTTGAATGCAGAAAATCTGAATTCAGAATAACGGTTTTTTTATGCAAATTTATTCCAATTTAATTCCAGAAAAATATATAAAGGATTTGGGGGATAAATAATTAAAGAAGAAAATCCTGCGCAATTGTTTGTAATCTATCACTTCCTCTTACTTCTGCCATGCCGATATCTAATAATTATTTTGGCGTAGAATTGTTGTAGCGTTACAATTTCAAAGTTCCTAACTGTCCATTAAAAATCTAAAATATGAGTTGGGAATTATTCTTTCAAATTTTTTATTTTAGAAAAAAAAATCTTAAATAATAAAATTATTCTAGAATTTAATCATTTTTTTCATATTTTTTATACTTCACATAATTTTTTGTTTTAAGTCTTATCTCTGCATATTTATATATTAATCGTTTTTTTTTTTACAACTTGAATATAAGGTATTGAATTTTTTTTGAATATTTTAATTTTAATTTTATTTTATATGTTAAAGTACTTAAAGTTTATGTTACATTCAAAGTAAATATTATACTATATTATATTTTATTATGTTCGACATTGCATAACTATCTAAATATATAAATTTTGAAATGTCCATAAACAAATAATCTTATCTTATAATTTAAAAATATATATATTATATATAAACTTATTGATACATAAATATACTCCCACGTATCGCATATGTATGGTCTAATTTTAAACCATGTATTTATTAATAAATGTTATTTTGGATGTGAAGATAATTTATAATTTATTGACAGTGTATTTATAAGATTATATATTCTTTAGAATATATTAAATATAAATCTCACTTTTATCTATTGACATTGTTGATACTTTATTTAAATAAATTTTTTGAAAAAATAAACAGAATTTTTTCTGCATTGCAGCATTGCAATTTTTTGTTCAACCAGATTTGGTTCTTGGTTATGTTCTTGACACCAATATTATGATTCTTAGTTCTGCTACATAAATCTTTCTCATAAATTAAATATATTTTTAAAAAATCTGTAATAAATATTTAATTATTAAAAAATAATAAATCCTCATCATAAATGAAATATATTAAAAAAAAATCTGTAATAAATATTTAATTATTAAAAAATATGTAACGGTTACCCTTTCCATTCCTTTTTAAGCAATGCCTTCATGTACCTTTCCTCCTTTGTATATCTCTTAGATATGGCCCAAAATAGTGGTGATTGTAACAATGGTAATGGTGCTGCTATGAATAAGGTGCCACAACCACACTCAGTCAAGGAGCAATTGCCTGGAATTCAGTATTGCATTAACAGTCCTCCTCCATGGCGTTTGTACACTATCTCTATCTAATTATTTTACAAATGCACTCCATTTTAGCAGACAATTTTTTTTGTTAGTTACACATCAGTTTTTTCATGTTGTTTTTTCAGAGCTTCTCGTCTTTCAGTAGCTCTGATCTATAATTAGACACTTTCTGACTTTCATGAAATGTTTCCTTCATTTTCTTTCACAACCAAACGTAGAATTTAGTCATCTGACCTTTGAATCAAGTGAGACTTTTATTTGGTAATAATTTTAATGTTTTTTTTTTGAAACTTGGAAGTTCATGTATGCAGCTGAAGCAATTGTATTGGGGTTCCAGCATTATCTACTGACTCTTGGCATCACTGTTTTGATACCAAGCATAATTGTTCCTCAAATGGGCGGTGGAAATGTGAGGATTTAACTGGTTATTTGTCTTGATGCTTCTTTTTTTTCCTTTCTTTGATACATTATACAAATAGTTAAATCAAGCTAAACCTCTTTTTTTTTTTTTTTGCACTGTTTTAACACAGGCTGAGAAGGCAACAGTGATGCAGAACTTACTTTTTGTTTCAGGTTTAAGCACACTTTTTCAATCCTTATTAGGAACCCGACTCCCCACAGCGGTAGTAGGTTCATATGCTTATTTGATTCCTGTTACTTCTATTATCCAAGCAAGCAGATACAATTCTTATTCAGATCCTTACGAGGTTGGCTGCTTGTGCTATGCTTGTAAAATTTCCTTTCAATTTTGTCATCAAGTGCGGCTAGTTTTTTCCCAGCTCGCTTTAGGAGTCTTGTAAAATTTCTTTTCAATTGTTTCATTTTACAGCGGTTTGTACGGACAATGAGAGGGATACAAGGTGCACTCATAGTTGCCGCATGTTTCCAAAGTGCAATGGGATTTCTAGGATTATGGAGAAATGCTGTGAGGTAAGTTCTTGAAAGTGTATAGATTTCTAGTACTGTTTGGTACCCTGACTAATTTGTCTCTTCTTCAGGTTCCTTAGCCCTCTGTCTGTTGTTCCATATGTGACTTTTACTGGACTTGGACTTTATTATCTTGGCTTCCCCATGGTAAATTTTTCTATATGCTTCATTATTTGCTCTCAGTTATGTAGATAATTGCAGTGCTTGCTAAATGATTAGCTGATTCCTTTCCTCTTTTAATTAAGCTTGCAAAATGTGTAGAAGTTGGCCTTCCGGGCATCATTTTCATGGTTTTCATTTCACAGGTGTGTTCCTTCTTCGGAAAACAATATGTCAAATGAGTAAAATGAAAACCATGGTTTTCCTCATGTTTAATGAACTGAAAGCTTTATAAATACCCTCTTCTCAAGCACAATTTTTTTCTGTTTAGAGCAAACATATTTAACTTTTTTACTTATTTGGGAGTTGTGTGCCTTAAGCTTCATAGTTGACCAAATAATCCGAAATGTATATACTGTGTTGCCGTCGATAATTCCTTTCTCTTAGTTTCTTTCACGTGGTTCATGCTTCTGCAGTATCTTCCTCGTTATATAGAATCAAAGCAGCCCATCTGTGACAGATTTGCTGTCCTTTTCTCTGTTGCAATTACATGGTTATTTGCTCAACTTCTAACCTCAACTACTGTGTACAAACACAAACCTGAGAACACTCAGATTAGCTGCCGCACTGATCGCGCCGGACTCATTAGCACAGCTCCTTGGTGAGACTATGAGAACTAATACAAAATTTTAACATGTCAAAGACTAAAGATAGTTACTTTTATGTTAATTTTTTCCCTATATAAAATGGATTATTTTGACAAACTATGTTCCTAACTGCAGGATATATATTCCTTATCCCTTTCGATGGGGAAGCCCCACCTTTAATGCTGGAGAAGCCTTTGCAATGATGGCTCCTGCTTTTGTATCTCTCTTTGAGGTTTGATCCTTGACAACACTTCAAAGTCTCACTTCGATTTTATCTATTATGGAATCAATTCATTTTACTTTCAAAGCCAATGGTCTCACTCTAATGTTATATCATCTAAATATGAATACAACTTTATTTTCCAAGATCTGAGTCAGGAATTTGTTAAATATAGGTCAATTCTACTCATTTGGAATCAGATATATCATAGCAGTATTGATATTTTTATCTAAAATTTTGTAGACTTTTGACAACATAAAGTTATAGAATTTGATCTCAAGGGTTAAAAGCACATAGCAGTAGAATTATTGAAAATTTTCATTTCCATTGATTATCCTGTTGTTATTTGCAGTCAACTGGAACATTCTTTGCAGCTGCAAGATATGGAAGTGCGACACCCGTGCCACCTTCTGTTATTAGCCGTGGTACTGGTTGGCTGGTAGGATTTGTTTCTTAGAATTCTAAATCAACAATAGTTTGACACTAATCTCAATTCTAGACTTTACCTCTCTTGTACAATTAATGCAATTTTCCCTCATTTTCAGGGAATAGGGGTTTTGCTCAATGGCTTGCTTGGTTCTGTTACTGGCACTACTGCATCAGTGTAATAAGCATGAAACTTGTCTATTAAACATTATTGAGTTTTGGATCATTAACCGGTATGAGATATCTGTCAGCCTGACATCTACTTTGCTTTTTGCAGTGAAAATGTAGGCCTGTTGGCATTGACAAGAGTTGGAAGCCGCAGAGTGATTCAAATATCAGCTGGGTTTATGATTTTCTTCTCTGTATTTGGTAGGCCAGCAATTCAAAACTAAACTCAACATTGTTTGTTCATTTCAATTCAAAATTTTATTAATCTATATAAGCTGAAAGGGCATTCCATGTCAAAAGCAGGAGCTCAAAGTACTTTTCCATTTCTTGTTTCTTCCAATGATACTGCACTATGATTTCTTTCTCCTAATTATCGCTACTCATCTGTGGATATCTTATGTCCTTTACCAGCAAAATTTGGAGCTTTTTTCGCTTCGATACCACTACCGATTGTAGCAGCTTTATACTGTGTTCTCTTTTGCTTTGTCTCTTCTGCTGGTCTTAGCTTTCTGCAATTCTGTAACCTGAACAGTTTCCAAACAAAATTCATATTAGGCTTCTCTTTCTTCATGGGTTTATCAGTTCCACAGTACTTTAGAGAATATTATCAAGGCGGTTGGAGATCAGCTCAACCTACTGGTTGGGTAAGATTCCTGGACAAATCTCATTCAGGCCTTAACATTCCGTAATACTTTCTGTCTGTAAGCTACTTAACATATTTCTTTTCCTTCTCTAATGACTAGCAGTTCAGTGACATAGTGCTTGTGATCTTCATGTCTCATACAACAGTTGCTGCTTTGGTTGCTTTGTTCTTTGATTTAACCCTTTCTCGAGAAAATGATGAATCGAAAAGAGACAGTGGCTTGAAGTGGTGGGAGAAATTTAGCTTATACAAATCAGATGTTAGGAATGATGAATTCTATGCATTACCCTGCAGCCTCAACAAGCTTTTCCCAGCTCTTTAACCCTTGAAACTAAATATTCACAACATGTTCTTAACCTCATTTAAGAAAATAAAAAAAGAGTAAACTGCTGCCAGTTTTGCACTATTTATTCTTTGTTTTTCCATTTCCTTTTCACAGTATTAAAGATATATTTATTTTTATATTTTTCTATTTCCTCCTGCCCCGGTATTCGAATTCTGAGTTCCAAAATTTAACAAATACAAAAGAATAAGAAGATTCAACAGTAAGCCTGATCTTAATCACCATCATTGTCTGGCATTGGTCATATAATCATCACAAACTGACATGTTAAAAGCTTGCCTTTACCTAGTGATTCTATTGTATAGCAAAATAAATGTTGCTCACTTATAAGATTTTTCTGTAACATCTGTCAAATATTCAGACAAATGAAAAAAAAAAAAAGTTCATAAAGAAAGAAAAAGAGGAGAAAAAGAGACATCAGGCCAAAAAAATAAAAAAAGTAAAGAGACCAAAATCTGCATTTTCTTTTTTTACAAATGGAATATTTGTAATCTGCATTTTCATTTTTGCTTCCATTCGAGCCTCTGCAAGATTTTAGGCTTTACTCAAAGGAAGGAAGAATATCTTCCAATAAGGATTTAATTGAAAGTAGACCAAAATGGAATGGCCTATATTGCATTGGAATGTGATTTGTAAAGCTGGGGGATGATTTTCTCAACTTTTACACTATGAGCCCTTTTCCTGTCAACCTCACATTCATCAATTGATTTGTCATTTCTTAAAAATAAAAAACAGTCAATGCTTTGGACAAAAGATGTTGCTTTTCATTTGACTTTAATATATGTTTAATCATATTTCTATTAAATATTTCATCCTGAACACTTTCCTTCAAAAACAATTCCCCATTCAAGATTGAGCAGAATATATTCCATTGTATGGGCGGCTACAGGATCTAAAATTAGATGCTGATCAAACAATGTCAACTTGATCACAACTGTTCCTTAAAAAAATCGATAAATAACAAGAATTGTCTTCCCCTCGGTGAATAAAACTGGAAGGAAAGCGGTCTTACATGAAGAAAAGAGTCATGTTTGGTAGCCAAGGATGACTTGCCTGCATCTTTCCAAGAGGTTCAGAATTTGTATGACTATGAACAAGAAACTCTTTTCAGGGTGCCAGGCAGTCACCTTGGCTAATCTTACAGGTTCTTTTCCCTCATGTTAGACTTTCTCTTCTTTGTCAATTATCTATTTGAATCTGTGCTATAGCATAAAATGATATATATTTGAGGTTTTGCACAGTGCAAAACAAGTAATATATTGTATTGATATTGATTGAAATGTCAAGTTTTTGTGTCTATGGCTGCATCAAAAAGTTCAGACCATGAGGCCTTTGGCATTACATCACAAGAAAGAGGGTACTTCAATTAGGAACATGAATTTTTTACTATCCAAATTATTGAGAAGATAAATGTAGATTTCACGTAAATGCTATTAAATATTAACTGATGTCTTTTTGAGGTAAAACATTCAATGAATTTAGTATTTGATAAGGTTCAAATACAGATCTAACATATTTATGCATATAAATTAATGTACCCAAAAATTTATAAAACAATTTCATATTAGAGGGTAAGACCTTCGGGCAAATTCAACCATCTCAGAATCTTAGCTGGGTTGGAAAAAGTCGCTTAAACTGAGGAATACTGCCCTTCCATTTGTGGGGAGACTACTTCCATTTAGATGCTTATTCTTGACAGGCTACCTACTCGGCAAAAAATTATATATAGTTCGTGGGGGATTTCCCTTGCTAGCACAAATTGTTTTTTCTCTGATGACAGTTTGGAAACCAGAGATCATTTATTTGTTTCCTCTGACTACACTAAACAGGTTTGGAAGCAAATTCTTCAGCTATGTGGAATCCAAAAGCAGGTTGGTAATTGGTCCACTGAACTTTAATGGATAAGTAGAGACTCGAGGGAAAGCATTGATTGCAGTTGTGCTCGGACTAGCTTGGTGTGCCGACCTGGCTTCTTCTATTTTGTTTGGATGGATGGAAATACTAGACTTCATGGTAAAAGAGCCAATGCTTCTTCAGTAATTCTTAACTTCTATTTATTCAATAAAAAAATACTTTCAAATTCGAAATTCTATTTTTTTCTATTCTATTATCTATTATATATAGAATAAATTCTTTTATTTTATATCTATTATATCTGTATATATTTCTATGAATTCTTTATATATATATATATATATATAATATATTATTATACTAGTTTGATTAACAAAAATATGAAATTGAAGCATGTTTTTTTTTATACCATGCAATGATTGAGTGAGAGAGTAACTAATCCAATCAAATAATACTCATTTCCTTTGCCAAATCCAAACATAGAACTCCGAACTCAACTCGGAAGAGGAAAACTTCTCTTCCAAAAGTCTAGCCAGCATCATTTTGTTTTCAACTATCGCAGAATTCCTTCCATTTAAGAAAAAAAAAAAAGAAAATGGCAAATTGACTAAGTTATTCATTAATGGTACTCGCTATTGACGAAATCAAAATACCTCAAAAAGATCATATGTTTGTGGGTAACCTTCTTGACTTTCGAATTCCAGGCTCTGACAGAATATCTGAAAGCTGGGTGGCCTGTTACCACTCGAAAAATACTATCATGCCCACGTTTTGCCTCTAGGATCCGCCACTTTTCTGAGGAATCCAATTTACCAGAATAACAGCTTATTTACCATCTAAATAAACAAAGAGACCACACCCAGACAGAAAATTAAAGTTTCTTCCCGGTCTTCAAAACTGCCTGGCTCAACTAAGAACAATTGCCAATCTCACCCAAATACAAATTCAATGTTGCATATCTAACTAGCCCATCTTTCCAATTAAGAATTGGAATCCAAAAAAAAAAAGAGAGAGAAAGAGATAAAGAATTAGTTAGATTAATAGCTGTTCTATCTCCCATCTGGAAATGACAAAATTTGTTAGCAATGGTGTAAACAGAATACCGGAGCGACCGGTTAGAGAACGTTTAACACAGCTTAGTAGAGATTTACAGTAATAAACTCACAAATCTACAAAATCCCATTTACTCCTCTTACATTGATTGGCAATGCTTTTATTTCTGCCTCTTCCTTTAGGAATTTTTTTTTCCTTTTTTCAATATCATCACTTCGTTTTTTATATATTTTTGTTGGGGAATCAACCAATCAGGTGTTGATGTCGGGCATTGAACAGGTACACATGCATTTACAACTTACAAGACAACAATCATCAGATTAGGTTCTTTGCCTGACCCTCCTGCTATTGGTATCGCCACCATCTGAAAGTTGTGCCCACACACTCCTAGATTTTCCACCACTGCTACAATCCTCCTCACAACCTGCAACTGTCTTCAGGAGCTCTGACTGAAGCGAAGGGCAGCTCTCTCTTAGGTATTCAAAGCCATCTGACCGCATCACAGCTGCAACAAGAACAGCCATCAGAGATTGAGATAGAGAATATATTGCCCAAGAAAACTTTCAAGAGACACGTAAACTTTCACTCTTGAGTTTAACTTTCTAACTATCTATTATGCTCCTGAAAAGGAAGAGAATCTAGAAATATTCTAAAAAGTAAATCTTCCATTATGTCTGTTAATGTCTCAAGAACTTCTCAGAACAAGCAAAAAGATGTTAATCATACTCCAGCAAGAATAACCTTCATGCATCATCACTTGAGAGAATATAGATTATAGAAAATTCTCCAAATACATATCATGATAACTTCACAGTTGCTTCTAAAAGCAGGCAACGTTCATTAAATCATGCTCCAATGGTAATAAGTTTGCACATGGAAACTGCAGCCAAAGTGCATGCCCGATCTCTCAAGCGTATTTATTACCCAATCCACTATTTTACTTAAGCATAGGTTCCAACATGCCCTAGCTGACCTATGAAGAAGGCACAACATAAGAGTGTTACAACAATATGATATATAGGACTGTTTCCACCATGCCCAGCTAGAGTACGTAGCCTTACACATTCGGTGCTAAACACAGATAAAAAGGTAATTGTATATACAGGGAAGCCAGGTGGCTTTTGAATCTTGAGAATTTGGAAAAATTTAGTAAGCAATGTATTGGCACATGAGATAGAAAAGCCAGGAAGACTAAGATGATCCCCTCATAGCATTCAAGCTTTTGGAGAGGTTAAACAGGTTACAAATTCCAGTCTGAGATTTCATCTCACTAAAAGGGCAAGAAATAGCAAAGGAGGGTGGGGAATGCTATGTCTCATGGCATGGGATGAGAGATAATGATCTCCACAGCAGCAAAAAGGTATTATACTTTAACCAAAATAGAGAATAATAAACTCCTATCCCATCCTGTCACCTCTTATTATCCATACTTCCTCCTTATCATATGCCATGCAACACAAGAATTCAGTCAACAAATCTTACTAAAGATAATTTCAATATAACAAAAATTTACCTAATCATTTTACTGACCCAGGATCCTTTGAATCTATAATTATCAGCAAACTGTTAAATATTATCGATTCTCACAACACCTATCTCTGGTTATGGTTGGGCTGATCTAACCATGCATAAGAACTAGAGCAGCTCATCTATGGATCATTTTCCTCCAAACATGCATTAGTGCCTGGGCTCTAACAGTCAATTATAATTCAAACTCTCAGAGTTTATCAGCCAACAAGCCCTTATCAGAATACAGATTCATTCTCTCATCACACCAATAGGAAGCATAAGCAAGCTGTCTTTCATGTGCAATAGACAACCTAGAATATGACTTGATAAATTCATCAATGTTCAGATAAACCACCATACATATACATCAGCTAGCACCATTTTAAGTAAAAAATGTTGAATACTATTGCTTGGCTTTGTCATTACACCAAATCCTGAATTCATTCACCTCAACAGCCAAAAAAGGATCACTCAAGACAAATCGTAATCTGTCATCATAATTAGACAGCACAAGTATTATCATTAACACAAGAAAGAAGTTTGCTTCAACATAAAGATAAAGATCTAAAGGAGGATTTCACATTGCAGAAAAATATCAAGATCAAACAGACAGTTCAATTTTTCAAAACTATTGATTTTCACAACCCTTTCGATCTTACTGATGAGCTTCTATGTAAAATGTATGTCAAAAGAAAATATTTAAAGTGGAAGAAGGTGAACAGACCTGCAAGGTTTTCAGCAGCGAATCTGAGACATACAGCTCTTAATTCCTTAGCATGATATTCATCAGCCAAAGCTAGAATTTTGGCAACAGAATTTACAGATATATTCTTGCAGAGACAGGATTCACACATTAATTTCAGTCTCTCCAGACAATACCTATCTGCTGCAGCTAACAATTTAGCTATTAGTGTTTCAGATACTGATGATACAGAAGCTGAGCTAGACCCAACACTCTCCACTTCTTCTGAAAGAGTGTCTCTGTATATAAAGTGTAACAAGGCCTGTTTGATGCATAAGCAAAGGAAAGCAACAATAAGGAGCATAATACAATCAAAAGAAAGGTTGAAAGAAAGATGTGAATGTTTTTACCTTAAACACCTTAGGTTCTAGATTGGTGATAACTATCTCTTGCTTTTCTTCATCCATCCCATCAAAAAATTCTGATCGGAAAACAGGGGAGCGAGCTGCCAATACCAACTTATGAGAACAAAATTTTTCCCCAGCCACGTCAAATGTAATATCTGAACCTTCCATATTTTCAAGCAGCATACCAAAATGAGCTCCTATATCAGACTCTGGTACCTGAATTGAGTGTAATCGTGAACTCACTGAAACAACAACTCCAACAGTGCAATTTATTTTCAAGCAGTCATCCTTGAGGTAATCTGACGTTTCAAGTAAAGCTCGTCTGAAAAAGCGCTTGTATCCCCTAAATTAATGAGAATATGGGAGAAAGAATAACAACTTAAGTCAGATAAACTGAGACATGGACGATAAGTAGACCATTCATGGATTCCATACAATTAGCTATAGAGTAGGCCTTCCCATAAGTAAAGACTCAAGCACTGCACACACAGACACCCAAATGCACATTTAAACAAAACTTCAAAATCTACAAATTCTTCCACAAGAAAACACTTTATTCCCACCAAAGCAATAGCGTTTTCACCTTGCTTACAGAATAATTATGTTTTAAATTGACATCAAAAGCTGATAAACAAGAGATTTCAAGCAAGTTCTCACTGAAAACTCATAAAGCATCATTACAATATGACATATGCACGCGCACACACACACACACACACACACACGTATAAACATGTTAAAATGAATATCATTCCCACAACCAAAACCTCTTTACGTCTACCTAGGACAAAAGAATAGCATCGACTCCTCTTTCCAAAAAGGAGGTACAAAGAGACCCAATAACATTGAAGACAATAAATTTTCCAGAGACAGTCACATTTCTTCAAGAGTACGGAGTGAATACACAACAATGGCAAATTTAGACTCCACTGCATCGTTATATCTCCCACTTTCTTTTTCACGAATTAAAATTAGTGCTGTTGTTTACTTTTATACAAAACAATTTTATTTTAAACTCGCCTTACATTTTAGCCATACATTCAATAGCAATTATTTCACTTTCTACCGATCGCTTTCTGCACCGAGTATTGATTCAAGTTCCAAACATTTCATCAAAAAATTAAAAAACAAAATCGAAAGAAAAAGATAAAAGAAAAAAACCTACCACATACTACCGCGATATTTGAGGGTATAAGGCCCACTCTCAAGGGACCGATCGAAATGGCTATGAACCTTATGCTTCCCTTTACCGCTCTGATCAACAAGCGTAAGCTCAAACAACGCCCTAACGTCGGTACCTTCGCTAGCCAAGGCAATGAAAACGGAGACGTAAGTGGAATTATCTTCGGGGTTTTTACCGTCGGGGTAAAAGTAAATGGCCCACTGGTAGCCTCCGACAGTGAAATTGTCGCTCGCAATGTGCTTCCCCACGCCCATCCCTTTGGCTAAGCTGTAACCCTGGATCATGAACCGGTGCGAACCGTTCACTGTCTCCGTCACCGACCTTGAGCTGGTTGGAGAAACCAGTGGGCTTCGATCAGCTTTGGCTGCTGCCGTCGGCGATGTTGCTCTGTTTGCCATGGGGTTCTTATATGGTTTATGGTTCTGGATTTGAGGAAGAATTCAAGTACAAGTTCCAAAAATTTTTATGTTTTTCTTGTATCTGCTTTTTTTTTTTTTTTTTCTGAAGTAGAATTCAGATATCTATCATCCTCCCTTCTCTAGTTGTCTCTATTAGTAAAATTACAATTTGTACCAAGTTTTTTAGAAAATATATATTTCTTCCTTTTAAGGACTAGTATCTTTTTTTTTTTTTTTAATAATAGTATCCCCTTTTCTTTGTTATTTTTCGTACGTCTTTAAAAAATAAAAAGTCAATTAAGAGGTTAAAATGACATTGAACTGAGTTTTATATTTGGTTGTATCAGTCAATATTTTCATTTTAATAAGAAGTTATTAGCTATAAAAATAAATACATGAACGTCTTAAAAATAATAATGTATTAAGTTAAAAAAAAGAGTTAAGATAATGATGTTATAAATAAAAAAAAAATCATAAAGTGAAAAACAAAAAATCATACTTCACTAAAACTGCATTTGTATAGGCGTAAAATCACTCTTTCCAATAAGTCATACACAATTAAAAGCTCCATTGATTGTACGCATGTTAAAAAAGATACATTGGAATGGACCGTCACCCAAATGAACCCTATCCTATCCTAAGCAATCCTGATATGCACAGTGATTGCGAGATGAAAGTTCATTCGTTCATAAAAGACTTGGATTAGAACACTAGAATCCTACAAATTGCGCAATGATTTACTAATCAATCTTTGCTTTAATCCAATCCTATCAAGAATCCTATGTACCACAATCACAAGCCAAAACCTTGCTTTTGAAGTTCCAAAGAAGAAAAATTGATGATGCGCCAATAAATGCCGAAACCAATTGAATGTTCCTAGTCCTACTTGTTATAGCTAGACATTCACATCTTATCTAAACGACCCAATACAATTAAATACAAACTGTTATCACCTGCAATTTCCATCTTTAATGCAAAAGAGACTGAATTAAAAATGATACGTGATGAAGGTAAGGTAAAACATTGCTCCTTTTGATTTCGGCCGTCAGGGAAGCAATGCCATAATTTTTGGCTAAACTTATCTCTCTCTCTCTCTCTCTCTCTCTCTCCCCCCCCCCCCCCTTAATACTCATTCATTAGTTCCCATGTCAAAAAAAAAAAAAAAACAAAAACAAAAAGAAAACCCTACGGTTGTGGAAGAACTATGTACTCTCTTCACTCTTCAGAAGAGGACGCAATGGTCTTTCCTTTTCTATCTGATGAGGCTGTGAGACCAATGTCCATGCTCTCCTCAGTTTTTGGCTGCTGCATCTGCAGCAGTTGCAGCTGATGTTGCAGCACCTATTGAGAAAAAACAAAAAAAAAGAAATGACATATTGGAACAGTGCAAGCTAATTTTACATATTTTTAATGTTAAATGTTAGATTTTTTTTAACTAGAAAAAACAAAGCTCTATACATAGGAAAGAGACAACGAAACAAATCGAAGCTCCCAATACTAATGCAACTAGGAGGCTATCCTGAAAATAGTCATGATTGATATTGGAATGTCATGCCAAACTAGTGCACGAGAAATAAAAGAATGCTTTTCAAAATTTTGAAACATAGTAAATGAGAAAGCAAGAATAGCACCAGTAGACTACATAACTGATACCTCGATCTGCTGCTGAATAATCTTCTCCTGAGCTTCTAACTGAGAATCTGGAATATTCTGATTACTCCCAAATCCTTCTCCTAAGCTTCCACTGGCACCAGGTAATTGGAAAGTACCAAAAACACAATGTGGGAATTGTGGAAAAGACAAATTTGCATGTCCACCAGGAATGGCAAACTGTTGTTGTCCAATGGATGTGCTTTCCCCACTAGATTCCACCTTCGTGGAGTCAGCCAATGATCCATAAGCCTTGGGAAGTAAAGCATACCCTGGAGAGCTGCATAAAAAATGCACAATATTGTAACATGTAAATGGGAGTAGCAGTTGGGATTACCAATCCAATGCACTCTGATCATGTAAAAAACTGACACTAATAGTTGAATTAGAAAGAGAGCATATGAGGGTCTAAATATCTTGAAGGTCTAGAGAGGCCTATAAACCAGTGAACCACTTATCAGCTTTCGAAAACTAGCACTCCAATGCAACATGCTTTGCATGTATTTAAAGTGCTGCCCTTCTGTAGGGGATAGACATTTCACTTCTCAATACTTGTTAACAATCACATAACTCCTCTAATAGGTCTCAGTTCAAATAATTACCTTCCTATATATATATATATTTTTTGATACTATTACCTTCCTATATAATGATCTACATACACACACGCACACACACACACACACACACACAACTTTCATACAACCCGGAAGCCAAACGAATTAGGTCTCAATGTCACATTCTCTGGTGCTCAAAGATTTAAATATGCCCTCTGAAACTGCAATAACTGATAAATAGTGCACAGCAATTGGCATATAATAAAAGAGGTGAGATTATAAAGCTGGCAAAATGAGGAAACTACAAATGTCATTGACAGACATGCAGTATTACAAGCATAAAACTACCTACCAAACTAGTGTGTTTGCAGAAGGATATACATACGATTTCTCATATATTGACGCTGCAGAAGCAGCAGCCTGGAGCCTGGCCTGATGCCGGGTCAAATTTTCAGTGGCCATGTCACCACCAGGACCTTGTGTAGGTGAATTTGTGCGCGCCCCAGTTCCCACTTTAAACAATTAGCCCATGTTTTCCAAACAGTAAAGTCAGTTTGATTACTTGCAAAATAAAGTTAGAAGTGAAGCAATATTGCTGCAGAACAAAGTAATACTTAATATTCACATTCCAAATTCTTTGCAACCTAAATCAGCTTACCAGCTTCTATGTGGTATAAACAAGTCTATATGCCATAAAATAACTGGGATAGGGAACATGTCATCCCCAAAAATTTGGGACCAAAAAAATGGAAAACATCATCAAGATGAGGTAGAGGAGGAAAAGCCTTCAAGTAAAGACCATGCTAAGGTGCATGCCTTGAAGAATGGGTCACACCTGTGGACATTTTGCATTTATGCACCTAATTTCAGGAGGCACATGCCTTAGCTAGCTTACATGCAATTCAACAAGGCAGAAATAATAGCAACTAAAAAGACAAAGAACTGAATTTCAAACTAATAATGGATTAAAAATTTTAAAGGCCCCAAATTTAGCTTTAGCTGATACCTAGGAGAAAGCAACAAACTTTCAAAAAGTTTGTCAATTTATTCATGCGTGATCCAGATTATCTCAAAACCAAATAGCAGAACTAACAGTTGGCAAACACCGTTTAGATTTATCAAGAAAATCACAATGCTGACATAACGAGTTCATTTTATCATATAGATGATGTTAAAATGAGGTTACCTTGTTGATGAGCATCTGACCGAGGTTCATGTTGCCCTCCAGATGAACTTGCTCCGTTTTCAGTTGGTACAACCAGTGCTCTGCATGTAGGGCAGGTATGCTGTCTCTCCAGCCATGATCGAAGGCAGTGCACGTGAAAAAGATGTCCACAAATTAACTTCTTTGCTGTGGTCATCTCTTCACGACATATAATACAGGTCGCATCGCTTCTGTTCATCCAATCAGTAAGCAAATTTAGGAATCAAGAATAAAAAATCAAAATGCAATTCAAAGATTCTTAGAAAACAAAATAAAAAATGAGTTCATAAACAAATACTATTTGACTCACGCAGTGAGTTCTTCAGGGGTGGCATCTGGGAATCTCTCGTTCATATTAGAAGTGATTTTCCTATAACGCATGTAATCAGCAACACGAATTTTGAAATTCCTAAAGGTCTCATAAAGCTCCCGTATTAAGTGCAAAGGTACACCATAGTTCCTACAAAAACCAATTAAAATTAACAACCATGCAATGAATTCACTTACAAGATATATATATATATATATATAAGTAAAATTAAGAGATCTGAGACTTTGGTGAAGACAAAAGTATTCTTTTTTTCTTTAATTTTTCCTATATTTTTATAACATTTATCATTAATATCCATTCTTTAATTATAAGTTATCCTTTAAAGAACTTGCAGTGCCCAACCAAGCCTCTTCTATTTTAAAGTTGGCAACTGGCAGGCATCTAAATACCTGCAGTTCAGTCTTAGTTCCCATAACAACTGCATTCGACTCTTTTTAGGATCAGAAACTGATTTCTGTCTCATAACAGCCAAATGTAATAGAAGCCAAGTTTTGGTACTACCGATTCATGTATCAGGAAATTCATGACAGAAAAACAGAAGAACTAACAGGAGATATTTATGCCAGTTGGCAATTACCCATTGCTTAGATTCCACCTGACAATCCCATTTTCATGTCTCAAGAATATGAAACAGTTTACAAAGCAGCTATAAAACTTGGCCTTTTCTCTCTAGATATGTGACAAAACAAGTCTCCATGTTAAATGTATCATCTACAGCAATTCAGAAAACCATATAGCATCAAATGAATATGGATATAAAATTGCTCTGTTTCTCCATCCAACATGTGCAAGTTTAGAACCCAGTAAATACAATCTAAAAAAATGTAATTCACTACCAGGATTTGAGCTTGGTTTGATGTCTAATCAGCCCAATGCATCTCTAGATGTTAGAGAAAACCACATGCCTAATGCCACCTTTGAACTTTAAAACCTAGTTATAAGATATCAAGAAAACTGAAGGGGACATGAAGCCTGATAAAAACTCCAAAACGAAAGTGTAGAATTCTATCTAAAACGTGAAAAATTGACTAGAAAAATTTAGAGCACTCATTATAAGATTGCTTTAACATGCATTAAGTATTCAGTTCATGTAAGCCAAAAAGTTTTAGAGAACCTCATGCACTAGAACATTATCCAACAACCAAAAATTATTTATGCACATGAATAATATAAAGATATATGTGATGATGCAGAAACTAAAAATACATATTTTACTTACATGAAAATCACAAGAAAGAAGCATAAATACATAGACAAGTGAAGCAAATCCCGGATGAGCTCCAAGTAGAAGGTATAGACAGCCTTTTTTTCCCATTGTCCTTCCATAAGCATGTCACTCACATAGAAAACATATTTTACAAAAGTTGAAACTGTAGTCGTTGCCAGTATCATGTACCTAAAACCCAAAAAAGTCGATATGAATCAGAGAAAAAACAGATAAACTAAAAAATATAATAATATATATCTAGAAAACTCCTGAGTCGACCGTAAAACATGTTTTTAGTAACTTTGCAAACTCACAAATAGCAATTAATACATGTTTGAACACATAAAAAGAACAATGGCACATGTGAAAGATGAAGATACACACACAGCTCTTGGAAAGAAACAAGGGGGAGGGGTTAAAACTAGTCAAAATTATGTAAATTGCTGTAAAACAAAGAACAGTTGGATTTTTTACAAGCCTTTTTCTACCAGAAACCTTAATAATTTGATTTGTGGTGGACTTTATAATGTCAACTTTATTTATCATTTAATTGCCAACATAAATTACACATTTAAAGAGTTTCTTTCTTATCTCTTTATACTCTAGTGGTCCTTCGCAACATGCATAATTTTCCAACCCTTATTAATCATGATCCTAAAAATCTAAGATCCCAATGCATATAAATCAAGACCTTAGTAAAATAACAAAAAGAAGAACTATGACTTCAAGCAACATGCTCATCCGTCCCACTTTATTAAATATAAAATACTCAGGACAAGTTAAATAGAAAATGATTTCGAATGATGACCCATACAGAATGACAAGCACAAATGAATTTAGAAAATTTTCAACTGGTATCACAAAAAGAAGAAAAGGTGCTAAGTTAAATAACTTACTCAAATGAAAAGAAGAGGGAAACTGAAGCTTGTTGTGTTTGGATCAGAAACTTGATCGAACTGTACAAAAACAGAGAATCTAGAAGAAAAAGGAAACCCAGAAAAGAAACTATCCGAACATGAGACAACATGGGAACAGAAGGGGTTGTTTCAATGTACTCAACCCTCTTCTGTGCCAACCAATGCAAAGCCTTGATTAACAACAGAATTGTAACCATTGCGAGAAACGTAACCGAGAAGTCCTGCCGAAAAATAGTGATTGCAAAGAGGATCTCCATAACCTCTCTCCATGACTGCTCATTCAACCGCTCAACCTCAGCTTCACGAAGAGAACCAAGGAATAGCCGTTTGGTTACTTGCCATAAGATACACATAGCAACAAGTCCCATGTTGAGAAGCAGCACCAAGCTGATCTTAGAGGTTGATAAATAAACCATAGCAGGATAAAACTGGCCTCTACTGTTGAATGCATGATAAATAACAGCTAGTGTCGCAACTAAACTGAGACCAGCATACGTCCGCAGCCTCATCATTCCGCTCTACCAAATTATCGCACCACAATAGTCAACCGACAGATGGAAATCAAAATCTAGAATTAACCTTAAAGACTATATCTTCTTAATCAGATTAACCTTACTCTTTCAAAGCATGTAATTCGTGATGAAACAATAATATAGGCACTTAGATCAAGTGAAACTATACAAAAAAAAAAAAAAACAACAACAACAACAAAGTAAATTTTCATAAAATTCATATATTCTGTATCCTAAGGAAAGGAACTTTACTAATTCAAATACAGTATCACGCTCAAAAAAAAATAATCCCTATTTTGACCAAAACAAAAGAAAAAAAATCTGTAAAATTATTTTCCTCCGCAACCAAACAATCAAATCCAGAAACTTCCACAATAAAAATTTCTATCTAATAAGAGGGGAAAAAAAGAAGAGGGAATCAGAACTGACCTGCGAGAAAATTCGGTGGGGTTTTCGAGGGAAAAGGGAACCGACAATGAGAGAAGAGTTGTTTGCCTCCTTCGGTCCTTTTTTCGGGAGAGAGATTCTTTACCTAGAAAATTAACAAATTTTACCAGAACCCAGAGAGCTTCAACAAAATTGGGTTCCATTTGTATAATTTGATAAATTTATCCTATATTCTAGGCATTTTGTAAATTTGTTTTGAGCACTTTTTATTTGACGCAATTGCGGTCTTCTTTACCAATCAGTATAATCCATGTGGACTGTGGCCCCTTACTTTTTCAGATTAAAACAAATTTTTAATTGAATATATCTTGACTGAGTTGTTTAATTTAATTATAGAGAAACGTTTAGTAAAATGTTATAATTTTAAAATTTTTTAATATAATATTTGAATTATAAAATTATTAATTAATATAATATTTATTTTTAATATTTTTATTTTTAAATAATGATATGTGACTAAAAATAATTTTTTAAATATTATATTAATTAATAAATTTATAATTCAAATATTATAATATAAATTTTAAAAATTTAAATATCATTTTAAATATTTTATTATAGTGTAAGAACTATTCTTATCATTATCTTTATTTTTTTAATCTACTTTTAACCATCATTTCTTATTTATGCAATTCATCTCAAAGTATAATACACTCTTAAATTTTCTTAAATCCATAACATTAAAAAAGTTTGATCACTATATCATCGAAATTAATATTCAATTGACAGTTAGAGTTATTTATCACCTATTAGTGAAATTAGATTTCAAGTAAATATGCTTGTTAGTTGGGACCAAGTCGAGTATAATTGACCTCTTAAAAATTTTATCTCATATTTAATCTTAACGTTATTAAAAAAAATCAAATTTTTGTTAAAAGATAATTAAAATTTTAAACATATTTTAAAAGTAAAATAAAATAAACATAATTTTTATTAACAAAATTATATTTTAAATTATATCGGATTGAGTTTAGATTAAAACATTATGTACATTGAGTCATCGTAGATATACTTAATTCTTATCGTCTTATATATTATAACAAATTTAAATTATAATAATATTATTTTCTATTGAAATATAAAATACTTAATTTTTTACCAATGATATTTTGGTTAATGACAAAGAGGAAGATTTAAAATTTTGATGTTTTAAATTTAAGTTTTATTGTATAAAGTTAATTGTTTAATTATGTTATAATTTATTAGCTAATTATTTAATTATTATGATATAATACTTTATTATTATAACTTTAAAATGTTTTAATTTTAAATAATATTATCTATAACAAAAAATATTAACTAATCATTTATTTGTGCAATGTATAATATGGGATTAAATCTAATTTTACTAAAGGTGAAAGGATAAAAAAAATAATCAAATAAAATTTAATAATCATTTAAGTTTTATTGTAATAAATTAACTTTGAATTTTTTTATTTTTAATAAGTTAAACCTTTAAATGTTTATGTTTATCTTAATTAAGCATTCGATTAGATAAAAAAGAGTGTTTACAATTAATCAATTTTCATTTAATAAAAATTCAATTGATAAAAGTAGATATTTGAAAATTTAATTAATTACTATAAAAAGATAAGAGTTTTGTTGATTATTAAATTTTTATTTTGAAGATTTTTTTATCTTTTTATCTTTTAACTTTTTTTCTTAATTTCTATTTTACTCCTAATCTACCTTTGATCCCATTTAACCCCAATATTTATGAAAATTTAGGTTTCATTTGGATAGAAGTTGAGATTAGGTTTGATAAAATTGAAAACAATGATAAAAGTGAGATTAATTAATCTAGCGTTGAGATTAAAATAAATAATAAAAATATGTGTTTACCAAATAAATCGATATTGATGAAATAAATTGTAGTGAGAAAAAAATACTATTAAAGGTATTAAATTAAAAGTTATATGTAATAAAATTTAAATTATTTAATATTTATAAAATTAATAATTTATTAAAAATTTATTAAATTATTTTTATATCAAATAATAAATTGTTAATAATTAATAATATATTAAATAATATTTTTTATTATATTAAATTAACAAAATTATTTCTTAACAAAAAATTAACAACTTATTTTAAAAATTTTAAATAAAAAATTAAAATGAAAATAAAAAAATAAAAGATTAAAATGTAGGAATATTTTAGTTTTTATAATATAATTGAAAGGATAAAAATGTAACAATGAAATGATGCGTTTTGCACTAAAACCTTCGGTGGAAAAAAAATGTTTTTTCTCATCTGAGGCAATGAAATCCAAATAACATTTTCATACCATTTACAGATTTTTATACAAAAGTAATCACACTGGAGGTGTATTTATATCCAAATTACCCTTTACTTGAATCGGGAGGGCATTACAAGTGTCATCACCTCACGACGTAAAATATTTATAAAATTTAGGTTAAATATAAAATAATTTTTGTATAATATGTTTTTTATCAATTTAGTATATAAACAAACAAATTTTTATTTTATAAGTAATTAAATACTTTAATTTAATATTATTAGTTAATTTATTTATGTAATATTAATATATAATAAAACTATGACAGGTGATAAAATATTTAATTATTATCATATAATTTATTTTTAAAGGTAATATTTAAATAAAACTTTAAATTTTAAAATATATATATTTTTAATTCAAAATTTAAAAAAAAATTAAGAAGAAAGAGGAATTTTTTTTTTTGTTAACGTAACAATAAATAACGTGATAATGATTAAATATTTTATAACATGTGATATAATTTTATTAGATATTTATAATATATCAATCATTTAATTGATAATGAAATAAAAATTTTATTTATTTAGATATTAAATTAACGTAAAATGTATAATATGAGTGTATTTTACATATTAACCCTAAAATTTATAAATTTGTTATTATAGCTTACCATGCACTGTTGTGGTTTTTATCGTCCGATAGCCCTCTCGGCTTAAGTACGTCGTTAATTTCATTTAGTAAAATTAAGCTCTTAATTTAAAAAATACTTTATGTATTTAAAGGTATTTTCATAATTTCATTATAAAATTAAATAAAAAAAGGATGTGTATTTTGGGATAGGAAAGACGGGAGAGTGAGAAGTGAAGACGGAAGCAGGTAGAGATCGAGCGAGCGAGCGAGAGAGAAAGAGAGACAGGTGGAGATGGCAACGACGGTGGTGAAAAGCGCGTTGCAGGCTATCCGAGAGAGAGGTCTCCGCACCTTCTTAAGGGAGCTTAAGGAAGAAGGCTTCACGTTCGTAATCCACTCTCTTCCTTTTTCTATCATTTGGATTTCTTCAAACTTCCACTAAATCTTCGATTAAGAAATAAAAAGCCCTTTTTTTCCATTATTCTTCTATTAATAATTCGACATACTTGCTGATTATTCATTTCTTTTCCTTCAGGAAATGCATCTTCGATGGAAATCTTGTGTAAGTCAGATTCGCTTTCTAAATAATCTCCCAGCTCTTTCTTACTTGAAAAATGAAATTCTTTTGTTATTTTCGTTTTATAAAAAAACAGAATTAAGAGGTAATTGAAATTGAAATTTTAATAAATTTGTAATTAGGGTTATGCTGCCAGAATAGCAATTGGATTTAGCAATCCGATTCTTTTTTTATTGGTTTCAGTAGACTTGAATAATAAAAAAAGATATATGAAACTTTAAGAATTGTTAACTAAGAATTGTTAAAGTTTAAGTTACTCCGTAGGCGATAAGAACTTGGAAATGACTGGCAATCCATTGATTTCTGGAGAAAAACATGGAGCTAGCAATATTATCCAGATTCCAAAAAATGATTTTGATTCGAAGATTCTAAATCTGCTACTTCAGAAAGACATTCAGTGGTTGCAGGGAAAGGGAAAAAATTTTGTTCTTAGGAACAGAATTCACTGATAGACCATGTGTGATAATTTTCTTCTAGCCCTTAATTGTTTAGAAATGTTATGATTTGAATCCCAGCTCCCTTGGGTGTATTCCATGTTACTTGCTTCACATATGATGGGAAGAAATGAATTTTTCCCTTGTGAAGAAGTTTTCCATGCTGACTTGAATTCAAGGTAGGTGATGAGTGATATGGAAAATTTTTAGTGAAATATTTTGCATTGGCATGAAAGGAAACTTGCCATGTTGTGCTGGCTTTGAATTATGATTAACCGTTTCATCAGTTACGAATAAATACAATCAGGTCCAGACTCTTGACCCGACATTGTGTCTTGGCTTTTCATAGCCTTGTGAGAATGATAAAAAAATGTTTGCAGCACTTTCCAGTGTCAGCTATTAAACCTTCTGTACTTTATCTGATGTCAGACCTAAGGGCATTATATTTTCGTCCATCCAATAAAGCCTCAATAAATTAGATCAATTTGGCTTCGCCGCTGCTAAGACATGAGTAGAAGCTCTTTTGCTCTTCTATGAATGCAACATGCCACATTTGAGACATCTTGCTTCCATGGTCTTTCGTTGAAACTGACATCTGATGTTGCTTTTGTATACATGCATTTACGTTAGTCATAATACCGATATTGGCTTGCTAATATGCAAATTAGCATCATTCTTGTTCTGTTGCAGTTTCATTGCCCTTAAATTGGACAATGGCTTGTTCATCATTTTTCTCATCAACCTTGGTCTCACTTTTTGCTGTCTAGTTTCGTGCATGGCATTTTCGGGAGAAAGCTCATAGAATTCTAATTAATCTTTTTTATTTGCTGAGCTCATAAGACATGTTTGTTTGCTGCAATGTAAAGTCAAAAAGCATTGCTTGTGAGTTGTGACCAAGTGGAGCATGAATGGTTTTTGCAATTCTATCGGGCTAGTTAGGTTTCTTCTCCTCAAGCTACATCATACTTCACTTAGAACCCTTATTAAATATTTCTTTGAAAAGACATTTAGCTATATGTTTGTGCATATATCAGAAGGTTTTGCCCTTATAGTGAGTTCTGAATGACAATTGCTTTCTTTACCCTTTACGGTAGCAAATGAATATGATGGTGAAAAAAGGCAAAATAATTGTGAGGAAAAGCTATGTGACCTAAATATCTTCTATCGGTTCCAGGAAAGTTGTCAATCTGAAGAGGAGTGATATTTGCTGCCTTTTATTTTTGAAAGATGTGCTTGTCTTTGTCATGAAGGTCAAGTTCCCCTAATATTTAATGATAGACCTGCTTGTGTTCTAATTACGGGGACAAGCTAGATTCGAATGAAGCTGAGTCAAAGACAAGCATAATTAACTTTGTAGCTGGTTGATTGCCTTCTATTTGTTACCAGCTGAAAACTAGATAGAAGAAGAGAGCACTAAGCGTTATGGTTAGGTTCTATTTTGTATGTTATGTTATCTTTCATATGCTTATATGGTCTTGACAGGCATCTTTTCCTATAGATTAGCTGCTCTATATTTTGGTATTCTATTTTTACTATTTTTTTCTGTTTTTTTTCTTTTAGAATATAATGATTTTAATTTTATTTTTACCGGTTCTCAAACCTCAGGAGTTCTATATATCATTTTCTTATGTCCAAATAGTCCTTGAGTTCTGAAGTTATTTTGCATATATTCATCATTATTATCTATTACATCTTTGATAGCAATTTGCTTGATTGATCCAGGCAAACCAAAATCCACAACATAGGGGCAACACTTGTGGGTGTTGATAAATTCGGCAATAAGTATTATGAGAAACTTGGGGAAACACAATCTGGTTAGCTTTCCTTTCTCTTTTTATATAATGTACATGTTGAAAATGCACTAGCAGTTCCAATTGAATGGTGAAAAAGATGTGTTCTGGAAATAATTGCTAGAAGCAGAATTGGATGATTTATTTTTGCAAACTTGAGCTTTAAATACTTGAATGCCTTTGATCAATAAACAAGATTGTCCCTTCAGCTGTATTCTTGAGATTATCGGTTTTCATGTTTCCTTGTCTTGCATGCATGGGTGGATGTATTTGCTTATAACAATCAACTATATGCAAGCAATAAAAAAACAGTCTTTATGAATGTACTTAACAAGAGGTCTTTGTCTCTATTTATGTTTATTACTGATGCATACTATTTATGGCATTTGTAGGAAGACACAGGTGGGTTGAATATGCGAAAAAGGATCGTTATGATGCTTCTCAGGTACCACCAGAATGGCATGGTTGGCTTCACTGCATAACTGATCACACAGGAGATGAGGCAAGTCCTGTTTTGACTATGTTTTATTACATAACGAGGATTATGTGCTTAAAAAATTTTGTTTGTTTGTGTGTGTGTGTGTGTGTGTGTGTGTGTGTTTTTTTTTTTTTTTTTTGCAGCTGTTGATGTTAAAACCTAAGAGGTATGGGGTTGAGCACAAGGAAAACTTATCTGGTAAGGGTAACGAGTTTATCTACCATTCTAAAGGACATGCACTTAATCCTGGTCAGAGAGACTGGACAAGGTACCAATCATGGCAACCCACCAAGGCTAAGTAATCTCAAAAACGAACCTCTTTTTACTTTGCTATCTCTGGATATTCCGCTTTGTATTTGATGAATAATGTCTTGTAATTTTCTCAAACAATAACTTTTATGTGTCTGTTTACCGCAAGAAACTGTAAACTATCAACTTGATATTTGATCAACTGAATCCAATTTGGGTGTTGCCAATAAATTTTATTTATCATGTGATATTGTTCCGTGGTAAAGCATATGTCTCTATTTTATTCGTCCAACTTTTAATCCAAATTGATGTTTAAGTTTAGACTCCGGAGTGTGGATGGATGGCGAAAACTGAAGAAGGAATACTGTGGTTACCCATGTCATTAGCCCTTCGTCCCCTTGGATGATTGTAAGAAGAATTGATTGCCATAGATGTCTTAAAAGTATTTCTGAAGCATTGGTGCGAAATCCACCCTGCTTCTCACTAGCTTTTTCTAGTTGGGAATTAACCAAAGGGTTCACGGATTTGGATTTCGATTTGGCTTATGTGGATACTATATGTGGGAACTGCATTTGTATATTTAGCTTGGCCGTTTAATCCACTCGGAGCTTTAATAACTACATTCTCATCAACCCACCACGAGGTTTGGAGTTGGATTCAGAGGAATTAGAATTTGGAACTTCGGAGAAGATGAAATTTCTTAATGTTAAGATATCATGATACTATTATCCAAAATTCCAAGTTTAAAGAAAATACTGATTTTATTTTCATGTTAATTTGCAAAACCTAACCAAACTACTGAGTTTTACCTAAAAATTATAATTTTAAGATCATTTTAAAAGGAAAATTCATCCCAGTTCCCCAAAATCAACTTTAACAATTTGAAACATTTGGTTCTAAACTTGAAGTTCCAATTTACATTATTAATCTGTTTGAAACCTGAATGGTGCTGTTATTCTCCTATTTTCACGTATACTATTTTTTTCACGTAAATCAATCAATTTATTTACATGTAATTTCACTTTTTTTTTTGGCAAAAAAACTTCACCAATGTAAATCACAAGATTTTGTGTAAAAGTAATAAATTTAATGTCAACACGTTTGTTCTACTGGTAGGGTAGGGTTTGCTGATGAGTGTTAAATTTTTAATTTTAATGACAATAATAAAGTTTTGATAACTTTAAAAATATTAAAATAATTAAAATAATTTATTTAGCTACCAGCCCAAATGGACCAAACCAAAACATTTCACCAATACAAAAAATTGGGCTGGGCCTATCTTAAAGTACTATAAGATGCCGAGTTTTAGGGTTTTGGTGGAGAGAAAGAAAGAAGAAAAACAATGGCAAAAAGTTTCAACGTGGTTCAGAAGCAGAAGAGAGCTCAAAGAGCAGAGAGAAAAAGAGCAATCCATGGGGACCCAACCACTAAGAAGCTTAAGAACAAGCCCCAACCCCTCTCCATCTCTGGCAAACGCAAGCGCAAGCTTCTCAAGAAATGGCGCAAGGTATGTATTTCAAATTCTTCCTCGGAAAATCTCATTTGTTTCTGTATTTGATAGTTTCTTTCTTCTAATGGATTCTTTGGGTTTTTACTTTTGGAAATAATTGTTTGGGTATTTTTTTTTTAATGATGGTAGGATCAAAAGGAGGCTATAGAAAAGGGTTTGGTGACTATGGAAGATGTGGAAATGGTGGCTGCTGAAGGTATTTTTACTGACTCATTTGCTTGGAATTTGTTTTTCTTTTTTCAATTTTAATGGTAATTCTAGCTTTACTGGTTATAGCTTAATGTTTGTAATTCTACTAATTCTGAGTTAGTTTCTATAAATTAGTTTCTATAAATTACAACGGAACTTATTTTCTATTTTTAAGCGGAAAGTTTAAACTATAGTGTGTGTGTGTGTGTGTATATATATATTTATATATATCAAGTATACTGGCCAAGTCATACCATAATTTTTCTGAGAATTGGTGATATTGTGTGTTTGATACTTTAATCGAGTCAGCTTATCCATTGTCCATATCCATGCTGGAATTTCATTGTTTGTAATTGTGCCAAAGAGGGTCTATTTATGCCCCTGATATGATATTTTCAGTCAGAACTAATCTCTAGGAGTCTTCCATGCTATATTTATTTTCTTCAATCTAGTAAGCTGTCAACTCTTCCCCATTGAATCTCAATTAACTTAGAGAAAGCAGAGGTACAAATACGAGGGTAGCAAAGTTTCACTACCATTGCGATATGGGTTTCAAAGCTTTAACATCAAACTATATATGAAGCTGGATTTTCCTGTTTAGAAAGAAGCCTCTTCATGCTTTGTTAAGGCCAGTTTAGTAGCTGATTACCTCTGTGCTGCATTTAAATTTGAAGTCGGTTCCTAAATACAGGTACAACTAAAGATGCAGGCACATACCAAGATGCCAACAAAGTGCCAACAAAATTCCACGTGAAGAAGAATTTTAAGCTCAAACGTTTAAAGCGAAAAGGTTGGCTGATATTCTGAAATGATGCAACATTGTCACTGCCAATGCATAGTTCTTTGCTTTATGATTTGAGTTCAGTTTTGAGTATTTTTCCTCCCACACAAATATCTACTGACCTTATTTCACTCATTGTACAGGAAAAAACAAGGGTTCTAAGCCAGCCGTTGAGGCTTCAGTGGATGCCATGGTAGAATAATTTTTTATGAAAAAATAAAGGTCTTATAATTTTAAAACTCAAGCTATATTTGGGCTTGAGGACTCGGTGCTGTACCATTTTGTTGTGTAGAAATCAGCTTGGCAATGATATTTGATAGCTAATGCATGGTGTTTCATTTCGAACAACTATGTTTTGCTTACAATTGTTCTTACAGTTACCAGTAATGAGCCCTTTTTTCAAATAAGAATTTAAGTAGAAATAAAGGAAAGATTTGGGTTTCAAAAGTCCAAAAATTTAATCAAACCTGAAAATCCAAAGGCCTTAAGTTCGTTTTTGGGTTTTTGGTACTTTAAAGCTACCTAGATTGAATCTTAATCACCAAGACTAGATGACACACCTGGCTGTTGATGAATCAAGCTCAAGTTCGATTTTGATTTATAACGAATTTAAGTCTCTAAAACATTCATTAGAGGTATCCAATTATATTGCATCCTACAAGTTAACGGAATTATGGGCTGATTTGTGTTGTCCAACATGCAATATGTAGCACTCAAATCATATTATAAATAGCACTTCATTAACAGTATCTCCAAGTTTCAGATATCAACAACCCTGGAGTTTGCAGAATAAAATACACTACCATTCAATATTTTGCATAATAATTTGGAAACCTGTCGTGAATTTCTTCGTCTCCAATTCAGTCAAACATATTGGGAAGGGGTCTCACAGCCATAAATGCATCCACCGTCTGGAAGAAGACAACGAAAGAAGAGTTCACTATCAGATCTTGATCTTAATGATCGAACTACTTGGAGTTAGAAGATCCATCTATCAAGGGAGTAACCCTTTCAGAGCAATGCAATAACCTTACCTCATCCGTTACTGCTGCTCGAGCCGTACGATGTCTTTCTACTAGTTCAGTCAAAACTTCAATAAGTCGCTTTTTCACCTCACCTGTAAGCATGCGTCCCGCACCGTAGTCCTAGCCAAAGATGACAATAGAAAGAACCAAGTATTTATTTATTTATTTCAAAAATATAAAACTTGAAATATTAATGCATGAAAAACAGCAGAGATGAGGGCAGAATTCAATTATAGAGGCAGTTAAAGCAACCCCTCCACCACCCCCCCCCCCCCCAAAAAAAAAAAAAAAAGAGAAACAAAAAGAAATAACCTGATAGTTAAAAGTAACGATCAGAGCAATAGAGTACACCAGAAGCAAACTACATGAAACCGCTAAAGGCAGCACACATACCTTCTTTATGTGCTCAAGTTCAGCATCATCCTCAAGAAAAAAACTAAGATATTTGATTGGTATATCCACCTGAAACCCAACAAAACAAAACAAAATTTTACCATTCAGTATTTCAGTTACATCCTAGCTACAAAACAAAGACGAAAACATAAATCAAACAAAGGAAACTAAAATTATTTTATCTTCTGCCAAGTTAAATCCTAAATGAACATCTGAATAGATGCGTACATCTCTCTCTCTAACATGCGCACGCACATATATAGACACACATCCGCTAATCCTAGCTCTAGACGAAAGAAGGAAACCAGAATATCAACAGCTTCTGCAAAGCCAAACAAGGACCTGAGTGTTTGTGTGCATGTGTCAGGAGTCGAGACTCAACATTTAGGTCTACGAGGCTTTAGGATTCAGGCATACATTCATTCGGCGTCTTAGATCAATTTACTTATCACGATTCACACTCTTGTAAGATATTATCCGCTCTAATCTCACAATTATATCCCACAAAAGACGTCTCACAAAGAGAAAAATGTGTGAACCCTTATATTTTATGGCTAAATCTGATACATAGTCGATATGAAATTCCTGACCATGACATCTTCCTCCACTCTAACGGATCCTCACCGTCTTCGGTCACACATCGTTTCCTGACCATGATATCCTCCTCCACTTCAACGGATACTCACCGTCTTCGGTCACACATCGTTAGTACCCCAGAGCCAGACTCTAATATCACTTGTCATGGCCTAGACTTAATTTTTAAAGCTGCACAACTCTAGGACCCGGACATACACTCATCTAACGTCTCAAATCAGTTTACTTGTCACAGTTCACACCTTTATAAGGTATTATCTAATCTGATCCTTCTGGGTTCACGGTTTTGCCCACAAAAAGCATTTTACAAGGAGAGAAATATATAAACCCTTATATCCTACGACTAACTCTGGTACATAACGGATGTAGGATTCCTAACTTCACTCGAGGACCGTGATACATGCATCTGCACTTGCATCAATATATGTGAGTGTCTGCAATTTCTATGCAGCTAATGCATCTAATGAGGAAGTCAAATTACCATCCCCTAATGGTAATAACATTATAAAGAGAAACCTCACTGTAATTTGTGATACCTAAAAGCTAAGCACAAACTGGCAAGAAAAGTTCATCTGATATGTTAGCCAAAAAAAGGAACAACAAACACAATACCTCAAGATTTGCTCCATATTGTCTGTGTTTTTCCATGGATTCTTGCCCGCCAGTGTATGCATGCTTGTTTACCTAAGATCAAATGCAAATTACAGTCTGTAGATAGATCAATCAGAGCAAGTAATTAAACAGTAATCTATTTGATCTTTCTGTTTGCTGTAAGCTTTCCTCATAATTATTCCTCCAGTCACAAAATATGTGCAACAAGTACAACACCACATGGTTTTCACTCCCTAACACCACTTAAAATTGCTAGAAAATGAATCGAGAAAAAAATTGATACAAGTAAAAGAAAGCGTAGTGCAGAATTTGCAATAATGCAGCCAAACTAAAGCAAGAAACAAGCACAACATGCTAATCTGAAAGCACCACATGAGACCCAAGAGCAATTGGATTGACAATCTGCTAACAAGTACTTAAGAATAGAATGAACAAAATATTATACCAAGTTTTAGAGAATAAAACATGACTAAAACTTCTCTTAATGAACCATGAAGACATAGAAAGTCTTGTGATATATCCATGAGGCTCAATATGCATCTATTTGAACACAATGACAATTAAGTCAACTTTCCATCACAACAAATTTGAAAGGTCTATCAGTTCACTAATAAAATGCAGAAGGTCAAACATATACCATTGGTGTCTAGGAAGTAGCCAAGCAGAATGACGAGGAATTTCATAAACAAACCTTGTAGTTGATGTCCTTTGCAGAATCAGTCACGTAAATCGCAGAATTAGGGTCACTAGCTGACATTTTCCCCGTCTCTCCCTGCAATTATGCAAATGTAGAAAAATGTTGTGGCTAAATGTTTCCACTAGAGAATTATAACAAGCATTTGAATCTATAAAGCAAATGTAGCATATTTTGGATTGAACATGGCATCACATTCAATATTCCGCTGCCTAAATTCATTTCTGAGGTATCTCATATAACTGACATATGAAGTCAATGAAATGGTGAGCAAAAATACTTGATAGTAGCGTGCAGACTGCAGACAAATGTTCCGCAATGAGCCTAGCAACAAAAGCTCTACCATATGCTCACAGAATTTGAAACATAAAACCTTTTACAGTAAATGCTATAACATAACATAGAGAATATGCACTCTTTAAGCTCCCAACCTCAAACGAAATGTCAAACAAAACTAATCAAATGAAGGAGCTCAGAGTTAAACAAGCATGATTGCTTTAAGAATACATACAAAAATAAGCTATAGTGAATACTTCTTTGCTTTAAATTGCACAATAACCGAACAATCCCTAAACTTTGATGAACTATCAATGACAAAAAGAAAAAGAAAAGGCAAAATAAAGCAATTCAAACCAAAACAGAAGGACATAATATCAAACTCTGGCCACATATATCCAACAGACCTTGTTTGCAAAGTTATGGGCCATAATTTCTAAATTTTATGTTGCGGGAAAAAACCCAATTGTCATTAATAGATCTTTATCCAAAAACCGCAAACTTATGATGAATTTTTATATGCATAGCATTATCTTAAGAATGCTACTATGCCTACAAAGAATACCTGGAGTGCAGGGAAGAAGGATGCTTCAATCAATGCAGGCTTGTGATACCCTATCCGAGGAGCAACATCCCGTGTCATTCTGAAATATGGATCCTGAGCACAGCAACAATCATAAACAATAAAAAAATTGAAAAAAAGACCTCACAGTTAGAAGGAAAAATCCAATGGGAAAGGAATGAAGAGATAATCATTTAAAATAACCAAGGTAAACATCAGTTTTTACCAATCATAGACAAATAATTAAATAACGTATTTTGGTAAATTTTATAATTACTTGGCTTAAAGTTTACTTTAAGTTGCACGGTAAGGAGGCTAAAAGACCCAACATCCAAAGTTGCACCAATCATCACTGTTTAACGAATGAAAGCAAGCACAGAAGGTCATTGTAGTATATTTTTCAAGTTTGCAAACTACTCACAGCCGTAATAAGGCGCATAGATACGATGGAGCAATACATAAAACTAAGAACTAACATTTGGAAGTAATGGTTATCACCTACACAACCATTTACTCTTAACTATCCTTTGCAGTAAGAGTTAAGATGCTCCAGTCATTTAATAAAACTAAACAGAGCCTAAACAAAGCATTGGACCTGGTCAATTGCACATGGAATTAGACAAAGTAGGTCATCCTTTCCAGAGAATAGATGTGGGAATGACGAGGGAAATGATGGAGCAGCCTGCATCAACAGAATATAAGCATAATCATCACCATAGGCATATATTTAACACAAAGAGGAGCAGTAAAATAAAACATAGTGTCTTTGTAACCACACACATAAAAGTCATCACTAACCAGAAAATGGTGAAGCAAAGAAATATACCTGCACAGGTGGAAAGCTAACTTTTCCGATATGATCCTCACCCGTGAATCCAAATATGCCAACAGCCTAAGTATCACCAGAAAGGAATACAATCTCAAACAATTAGGTCAAAGGTCCTCCACCCACAGAGATAATAGAATAGAAAAAAGAGAAAGGAGGTGAATAAGTGCCTTGTTGTATGTGACACACTTTGCAACCTTGACCATATTTTTGTAGAAGGCACTGCAAATAAAAACAAAAACAAAAAAGGAGAAGAAATCATTATAGCCTCCAAAGGTTACTCCATAAGAAAGTTAAAAACAAATGCTTACAAATCCTTTGGTCTTTTCTTACCCTCCAACATAATCAAAGTCTGAGAATATGAATGTCCTAGATATGTCAAAACCACAAGCAATAATGTCTTTAGCGTTCTCTCGGGCAAGTCTTTGGCTCTCCTCCACAGAAAGATTTTTCCACATGCACTTCTCATCATCAGTCAGTTGTATAACAAGAGGGACCTTGAAGGCATCTTGAAGGTATCTGCAAGAAACATCAAGCACGGACCAAAATTAATAGAATTAAGTATATGATCAACATTCAGAAGCATAAAACAACAGATTTATGTTGCGACAAACAAAAAAAAAAAGCACTTTATTTTTTCCTTTCAATTCTCGATGAGACTACAAAAGCAAGTACAGCTCACAGCCATGCATTTAGGGCAACACCTAGAATCCATATCAAGAATCTTGCAATAAAATTTCGCTTTTTTAGAAATGATAGCTCAAATAACAACTGAAATTAAGCTGAAAGGACTAAGCTTTCAGTATTTTAGTTGCTACTTTTATGATCTAATAGCAAAAATATCAACCAAATAATGCAAAAATTTCCGTGTTTGAATTGAGGTCTATATTCAGAAAAACAGTTACTTACTAAAAGACAAGCAAATTCCTATGCATAATTTCATTTAATCATATTTCTAGTGACCCTTCAATTCATTAATCATACCAAGAACAGAAAGTTCAGTTCCTTTTTCATTTATACCAACTGATTAATGAAAAAGAGAAGAAAAGAAGTTACTTGGTAAACATAAAAGGAACCAAATGGCCCAAATGCAAAGCTTCAGAAGAAGGTCCTCGGCCGGTATACAAATAAAACTTATCCCCACGCTCGTAGGCATCCAAAATTTCATTGAAATCCCGATGGGCGAAGAAGACGCCACGGCGGAGGAAGACGTGAGGAGGACGAGAAGTAAGGCGTTCGACGCGGTCAATGAAGGATTGGTCGAGCTTTTGGCAGCCGAATTTGTCAATGAGCTTGTCGTAATCGATCTTTCCTCCGTCTTTGCCTGATACTTCCCACGGATTCACCACTTGCTCTTCCTCTTGCTGATTATCCTCTTTCTTCTCCATTGCGGCTTCGCTCACTCCACTCCAGAAACCAAGAAACTGAAGTTTTTACTATAGTAGTATATGGCAATGATCACTGAAGGATGACAAAAATATATTTGCAAATGTTTTAATGCATGGATTATAGTTGTTAGTAACTCATATATATACATACGTGAACTTCTTTAGTGCGTTGTGACTGGGAGTAGGCAAAATATATTCTTCACGGCGTTGGAAGTAAGCAATAAGATAGGAATAATTGGGAGTAAGCAATAAGATAGGAATAAGTAAATTAAGATCATGTCATTAGGAGTATTGATTCTGACCCACATATCAACTTTGATAAAAAAACAATATAAGCTTTTCATTCTACCTTAATGCAAGGCCTATAAAAAAAGTTTGTCAAAAATTTGATTAAAAAAAATATTATCAAATTGCAACGTGAATTTACCTAATTTTTATACAATCTTTTTATCATCAATTTCTAACAATAATTTTGTTATTGTAAAATAATTTGTAAAATAATATTGTCAATTTCTAACAATAACTTGATATTTTATGAGAATTATTATTTCAAAATATCAAATATATATAGGGAAACTGAAAGATAAATTATATGAACAAAGTTTCTTTGGGTTAAGCTATCAAAAGGAGCAAACAAGCTTTTCATTTAAGCTTCCAAAAGGGAGAAAAGACAATATAAATAGAGAAATGCGTGAAGTTTGAAAATGCATTGTAAAAACAGTGAATAAGATTTGTTTAAAATTTACAGAAGCAAATGGAAGTCTTAATTCCGATTCCTTGCAACTCATTTGTATCAAATACAAGGACAGAAAGTTTTGAAATTAAAAGAAATCAAATTTTTACTTTAAAGTTTTAAATTATGCTCTGATACTATTGTGTTTGAACGAAAGAAAAGAAGAATATGACAAACCCTAAAATACTATTTGGAAATTCAGAATAACACCTCATAACATTAAAAAATGTTGAAATGATAAATTTAAGATAGAGAAAATGGGAACAGTGGCACGGCTAAGCATCATCCCTAAAGCTAATTGGCTTACCATTGCTCAATCAAAGTCTAGCCCAAGTTCTGCCTAAAAGTTTCTTTGTACCAAATAATACCTTTCTAGATGCAGGATATTTTTTAGGTGGGTTGGTCAATCCATTTTATCCATTGGAGAGGTACAACGCAGCGAAATATGAGCACCATGGCTTTTTCTTTTCTTTTGGAAATCTCCATAGCCACTTCATAAGAAGGGCCAGCTAGGTTAAAGTCCATATAAAACCTTTAAATTAAGTCTAAAGATTTTTGAGTAAGAATTATTGGATTATCACTTATTTAATGAATAGAATAGATATAAAAAATAAAAATACAAAAAATAAAATGGTTTGTCATTTGATCAAAATTTTAGCGATTTATAAATAATAAATTCTCTCGATTTATAAATGAAAGTTTGAAAGAAGAAAAATTCTCTTGATTATATAAATAATAAAATTTTTTCTTTGAAATCCTTTTTAAGTCCCGTCATGAGGTTTGAATATTAAGTATCAATTTAGAAAGGGTATATAGGCACTGAAACGGGCTCTAGGAGTCCAAGCCAGGGATTAGGTTCGACAGTTTTGAGACAAGCCTAGGCATCCACACAGGTGTGAGCCCCGGTCTGGGCCCAATTATAGATCCAGGTGTGGGCATTGCTGAAGCTGGACCTAGAACCTTCCAAGGTAAAGTCCTACCTGGTTTAAACTCAATTCTGATAAAGTTCTTGTAAATTTGAACTCTTTTTTTATAATCTTATGTAATATTTGGACTCTATATGAATCATTACATAGTATGTATCTTAGCTGTTGATATAAGGGGAACTCAATTGTAAATAGAAGGTTCCTTACCCTTATTACATACACCATAACTTGAGTAATACAAATCTTACTCTTGCTTATATCTTTATCTTTCTCTTTAGACTCTCTTTAAACACCTTATATGCAGTGTTGTTAGTAGCAGCTTGGATAGCTAAACCCTAGAGTATTGAGTGTCTGAGCACATGTTTGAATGTTAAGTTGATCTTGAACGGTGGATGAATCCATTCCCAGGTCTAAGAGTCGCACGAGCTTGAAGTTGAAATCTCAGCCTATGATAGGTGGTAGGTTGATCTTGGACGGTGGATGAAACCATTTTCGGGTCCAAGAGCCACATAAGCCTGGAGTTGAAGTTTCAACCCATGATAGGTGATATCAAAGCCTGGTTCAAACTGGAGTTAGTATTAGAGTCTTAGTTCAAAGTTGACAGTGGAAGCTAGTCCAAAAGTGGTGATCAGTGCAAGGTGTTACTAGAGCTAGAGTTGGCTTTAGAACAGGTTTGGATTACGTGGTGCTTGGCATCCTAAAGTGTTATTGTGCTCATATGTTGGAAAAAGGCCCATTGGCCTGATGTGTGTGGGCATGCTAGAGTGTAGAACAGGTGCTCGATAGATTCTTACTGTGGTGTTATGGCTGTACTGGTTGTGTTATGCAAGTGTGCAGACTAGTGCTTGATAAAGTATATAGGGTATACTGAGCCAATGTGCAGATTAGTGTCGACGATGTGTGCTATGCTGACAAATTGCTTTGCTGGTGTGTTGGGGGACTAGAACTAAGATCATTTCAATGCCCACTAGAAGATTGATGTAAATCTTTTGGTTTGTGCATTTGTGGTTTAACAGTTTGTTTGGGTTGTGGCATAACTAGAGAAAGCCAAGCAAAAGGTCAAAGTATGGGCCATGAGAAATGCCCATCTATAGGTAGAGAAAGGAAGGCTAGTTTCATATATATTTTGATGTCCATAGACATCCAACTTGAGAAATGCAAGGTGGCCATTGTTGACATGATGGATAAGTTCAAGAACAATGAAAGATCATTGAACGAGGTAATAGAGGTGCTCACACAACAGAATAAGGTGTTGGAAGTAATGGTTACAACCTTAAGAGAAGAGCTATAGAGGTTTAGGGTTGATCATGTTGTGTTGTGAGTTGTCATAGTTATTGGTGTAGGTTTATGACTTAAGGTGGAGGTTCCTAAACCAAAACCATTCACAAAAAGTCACTCAGCCAAAGATATGGATAACTTTATCTGAGGCATGAAATAGTACTTTCGAATGGCTATGACAGCATATGATGCTAAGGTAAGCCCAGTTGCTATGTTTTTTATGATAATGCTTTGTTATGGTAGCACAGTAAGTATGACAATGTCAGGCGTGGTGAATAAGCAATCACCATATTAGATCAATTTATGAAAGAACTTAGACAATAGTTCAAGCTAGAGTATACGAAAGATAAGGCTCAATGAGAGCTTTGCAGGCTTACTCAAACTAGTAAAGTTCAAGATTATTGTAAAGAGTTCTTGAAGCTGTTGTTGATAGTCCTAAGTATAAGCCAATAGAAGGCTCTACTTTACTTTATGGATGGTCTATAATTGTGGGTAAAGATCGAGTTGTAACATAAATGTATGCAGAAGTTGAGTCAGACCATTACTGCTACAAAATCGATGATTTAGTTTGAACGCATTATGTCTCCAAAACCTAGAAGTAAAAGTAATTCATAAAGGCGGAAGCTAAGACGGAAAAAAAGAAGCCTAGATTTTGCAAAGCCAAGACTAATAGAGTCATTGTGGATAGAGGTAACCTTAAAATTACTTTTTGTATGCTAGTCTGAATTAGGTAAGGGAGTGCCCGAAGCGTACGAAGCTTTCAATTATTAACCAGATAGAAAGGCTATCTGAAGGCAAAAATAACGGAGATGAACAGCACCAAGAAAAGCTCAAAGTGATATGGCTAGGTGCTATTCAATTTTATCGAGAGGTTGAAATCTCTTTAGAAGCTGAAAGGAAACAGAGTGCCATAATATGAGTCCCGATAAGCAGCTTGATCCTTCTCGAGAGAATGTGCAGTAAGCAACTCAAAGGAAGAAGAGGAAGCATCAGTTACACAAGAGAAAGATACCATTACAGCATAATGCTCAGGATACTTGGATTGAGAATACTAAAGACCAATAGCATAGGTGATCAAAAATCAGTTTAAGTCGACTAAATCTACCGAAACCAAGTGAATTTGGTTGATTTGATTTGATTTATTTAATTTTAGTTATAATCAATTTTTTGGATTGATTAAATTGGTTAATTTAGTTGATTTTTTATTTTTAAAATTGATAATCAAATTAACCGACTTTTTAATAAATAAGGATAAAAAATTTGAAATGAGTATATTTATTTTTTTGTGTAAAATATTATTGAAATTAGTAAATTCTATAATGATTTGGTTTGAATAATACTTGAATTTGAGTTTTATTGGATTGAATTTATGACTAAATAATTATTTATAATAAAAAAAAATGATGAAAAATTTGATTATTTAACCAAACTGATCAAATTGAATCAAATCAATTTTGATCGATTCGATTATTTATTGAATGAAAATCGACTAATTCAATTATTGATTTTTTCAAATTAAACTAACCGAATCGATCAATCGCTCACTTCTAACCAATAGAGTAATTGTTCAAGTATAGGATCATGAAGAAAAAAAACTAGTCGCATGGAAGAAGATGAAGTCAATGTGCACAAGAGCGTGTAGTCCGGGCACAGCATCTTTTTAGCAATGAAGTGTTATTAAAATTAATGGGGGAGATTGTCACAGTCAGCGAGATAGATCAAGCCCAAAGGTTTTTTATGAGACAAAATGGAGTTCTAGTTCAATTAGGACTAAGTTAGACCATAAAAAAGAGTAGGCTTAGAGATGCAACGGAGGTTTTGAGGGCAGGACCATAACCTAGAAAGGGTATGTAGGTGTTAAAACAAGTTATAGAAGCCAGGCCAAGGGATCAGGTTTAGCAGCTTTGAGACAAGCCCGTGTGCAAGCACAGGTGTAGGCCCAATTACAAATCTAAGTGCGAGCACTACTAAAGCTAGACCTTGAACCTTTCGAGGTACAGTCCCACATGTTTCAAATTTCTTTTTTGATAAAGTCCTTGTAAATTTGAATTTTTATTTATAATCTTTGAATTCTATATGAGCCATTAGATATGATGTATCTCAGCCATTGATATAAGAGAGCTTTAAATATAAATAGAAAGTTCTCCCACCTTCATTATATATATCACAATTGAGTAATACAAGTTTTACTCTCATTTTATATCTTTTTCTTTCTCTTTAGTCTTTCCTCAAATACTTTGTATGTAGTTTCATAAGTAGTAGGTTGGGTAGCTAGGCCCTGGCATATTGAATGTTTGAACATAAGTTCGAGTGTCAGGTGATCTTGGATGCCAGACAAGTCCATTCCGAGGTCTAAGAGCCACAAAAGCTTAGAGCTAAAAGCTTGGAACTAAAGTCTTGGCTGTTACAGGCCTGGAATTTATGCCAATGCTTCGTGCAATCTTAGACCAGAAATCCCCTTTCTATATTCCTAAGTAAGCCTAAAACACTCTAAAAGAATGAGTACTCAAAAGAACAATTGAAAGGTACTCTAAAATAAGAAAGGCTAAAAAGCAAAAAAAATGTTGAAAATGCTAGAATTTTATTACTCAAGTGTTTCTGTACAAGGATGAAAAGACCTTTTATTTATAGTTGAAGCCCCCAGGAATCAATTACTAGGATTGACTTATTCCAATAGCTATTACAGAGTCTAAGATTATAAGAAAATTACATGAGATTTACGTAAAAGAGTTAAAATTCTGCAATGAACTATCCCAAGGTTAGTTCATCTCTAGATCCTTGTAGAAGCTTTAGTACTTTGGGTTTGTTAGGGCTTGGTAAGCCCGCATCTGAGACTAGTCTGCCCACACTTGGTGTGCCTGAGGCCTTTTTAAAAGTGTTTTCCTCGGCCTGGGGAGTTTAGGCGGATGGCTCTCATACTTGTTACAAGCCTAGGGTTCGAGCCCTCCTTACTGATTCTATTAATGGTGCATGGGCCTTAGAAGCTTTAGTACTTTGGGTTTGTTAGGGCTTGGTAAGCCTGCATCTGAGACTAGTCTGCCCACACTTAGGCTTGGTGTGCCTGAGGCCTTTTTAAAAGTGTTTTCCTTGGCCTGGGGAGTTTAGGCGGATGGCTCTCATACTTGTTACAAGCCTAGGGTTCGAGCCCTCCTTACTGATTCTGTTAATGGTGCATGGGCCTTGGGTGGACTTGCATGGATTGTGACACTACATAAGTTTATGGAAGCCTTAGCTAGAACCCCTAGTCAGAAGTAGTTCAGTTATAAGAAAAGAAGAAAGTTTTTGAGCTTTGGGGACTAGAGCTTAGCTTTGAGCATAAATCTGTTGGTTGATATTCAATATCTTTCAATACGATAATTATATGACAAGTGAATTTTTTTATAAGATAACTCTGTCTTTTAGCTCAAGGTTTTAGTCTTTTTAGTCATTTACTACAATTTGACTAATGACTAAACTCGCTTAATTGAAAACTCTATTGTGACTAGCATTTGCTATTATAGAATAAATCAATTTAAAAATGGATAACATGCTCGATAAGGCATGAGTTCTAGAATCATAAGTGATTCTTCATAGGAATGTCTACGAATTTGATCAATTATTCTTCATGCTTTGTGAGCAGACATACATATATGTTAACCTAAAGTGTATACTTTGTTTGAAGTTGGATATGGTTCCTCCTTACTTTCTTTATATTTATCATAAGGTTTATCTTTCACTAATGAATTCACTAATTAAACCTATATTTTATTTATTAAATTAATATTAATGACAAGATTTATTATCATTTTTTGTGTGTTTACGAAAATTTATAATAGATATAAATTCTCTCAATTTATGTCATAGTATACGATCCATTATATAAATTAGCAAATGCTCTTTTCCATTATGGATAGTGAATAGCATGGCCGATCATTATGGTTATAATGATAGATACTCTTGACCAAATTATTATTATTCCTTTTTCTGCTTTTGTATTAAGCCTTTTGATTATTTCTATAACTGATTTGCTACAAAAGGAATTTTTTAGTGACTCTGTAATTTTTTTTAAAGCCTAATCTGAATTTGGAAGACAATACCTATAGAGGTCTGGTAATTCAAAAAAATACGAATAAGCTGGTCAAGTAGAAGGAACTCCCAGAGTGTGAAGCCCCTTGGAGTAGGAGATGAGACTTGGTCTGGGGCAATTGCACCGTTCTCTCCCTCCGCACATAACTAATCGAGAACGAACTTCGCAATTAGAGTTCCGTGACTTCCGGGCTTAGCTCTGCAGATGTTTTCAGGACGAAGAGAAGACGGTGCTAGTCTTTGAGGGGTGTTCGTTCTTGCTGCTACACAAGTAACTACTGTTGTCACCTTGTCTGTCGTTACCTTATCCGCTTGAATAAGCTCACTCTTGGTTAGCTATGAACACGGAGTGAGGAATCGCTAAGGCCAATCATTTCCTGGTCTCTTTTGACATTTTATTCGAAAGTTTAACGTCGGTTTGATTGTTTTTTCCTCCAAGTTTGGTTGATTTTTTTTTTGTTACTTTTTTTTAATTAATTTGTAGTTTTTTATTTTAAAATGACAAAAAAAAAAAAAAACTAATTGAATTTGATAAAAAATAGATTCGATTTTGATAATAATATATTAAATAAAATGATTTAATAGATCAATTTAATTTATTTTTTATTTTTAAAATAAATAATCAAATCGATTAAATTAATTAAATTTTTAATAATTTTTAAATATATTATAAAATATATAAAATATTTTATTTATATTTTTAAGAATGATATATATGATATTGGTGGCTTATAACATAAATTTTATTAAATAAATTATTACATAATTATTGTTAGAAATTGATGACAAATAATGGTATAAAAACTAATAATTAGATTCTCATTGCAATTTGATAATATATATATTTTTTGTGATCAAATTTTTCACAAAGTTTTAATAGATCTAGCATTAAGGTAGAATAAAAATACTTATGTTGTTTTTTATCTCACTTGGATATATAGGTCAAAATCCATACTCCTAATGTCATGATCTTATTGTAGTAATTACTACCGAATTACTTACTCCCAACACACTAATGAATTTCACACACACACACATGTATATGTATATATATATATATATATATATATATATATGGTTACTAATAATTATAATAAATATATCATTAATCCATGTATTAAAACATTTGCAAATATATATAGTCATCGTTTATTGATCATATACGTATACATATATGATCTTATACATATAGGTAGGGATAGATATTTCAAGAGAGTTATTATTTCGAAATATCAAATATATATTAGGGAAAGTGAAAGATAAAATTATATGAACAAAGCTTTTTTGGTTAAGCTATCAAAAGGAGCAAATGAGCTTTTCATTTCAACTTTCAAAAAGGGAGAAAAAGCAATATAAATAGAGAAACATGTATGGTTTGGAAGTGCATTTGCCAGAACAATGATTAAGATTTGTTTAAAACTTATAAAAGCAAATGAAGGTCTTAATTCCAATTCCTTGCAACTCACCTGCGTCAAATATAAAAGAAGAAAGTTTTGAAATTAAAAGAAGTCAAATTATTTGCTTTGAAGTTTAAATTATGCTCCAATATTATTGTGTTTGAACGAAAGAAAAGAAAAAAGTGACAACACCTAAATATGAAAATTTAGAATAATAATACCTCATAACATTAAAAATTTTTAAATGATAAATCTAAGATAAAGAATAAGAATAAGATTTTGAAAATCTTTTTTTTTTTTTAACCTTGGATTGCAAGGGATGGATCACAATGATATCAACAACATTTGTGTGGTTAGCTACTTGATTTTATTGAAAATTTGGGAGAATTCAATAACCATGAATTGAGGCTATAAATGCTTGATTAAGGCTTGTAAAAGGGAATCGGAGATTTAATCGATTAAAATCGTTGGTGTTTTGTTTTTTTGAGAAAATTTAACAATCAAATGTGAGTCATTGCTAGTATTTAAGGAACTTGAAAAACTAAAAGGTTTAATTGATGGTAAGGACGTTAAGAAGAACGAGGTAGAATAATTAGAAAAACACCCATTAAAATTCCTCTCAAAACAAAATAATTTTTTTTTATAACAAAAAGGTTGAGAATACCCATTAATGTTCTATTTTTTAAAAGAATTCCTTGAGAGTTATTAACATGAAGTAAAATAGAAAGAGCAAAAATTGAGAAAAATTATGTCGAAATTTTAAAAAAATTGCTGCATGTCATCGTTTTAGGCATCGAAGATAAAAATAATAGTGGGTTAGATTTAGTTTTTGTTAATATAAATAAATTGGTTGATTTTTTTTTTAAATTTGATTAATTCGATTTTTTTGTTTTTCAAGATTAAGTTGAACTGATGGAATTAATCTATTGCTCCTGATCCTAAGAAAGTAACAACCAATCAATCAAAGAGTTTGAAGATTTTAATTTAAAAAATTAAAATTAAATGAAAGAAAAAAAAAGTTACAAAAAGAAAATTAAATTATATACACATGTAATTGGAATCGCTGTTTGGTTACGATTAACGAGTATATACGTAGTCCAGCCTTGCGCCCGTGTCCAAACAACCCGTCTCAAATCTGGCCGTCTCGCTGCCCTTTGACTTTTAGGCTTTACTATAAAAACGTTGGAAATGGCGGAGAGCGGCAGCATCACTGCGGTAGCACCAACCAGAAGATGATCTCAGCCGACGAAGCTCTTCAAATTGTGCTCAGCGTGGCCCGGAAGCTGCCACCTGTCACCGTTCCACTTAACCAAGCTCTCGGAAAAGTTTTGGCTCAAGATATCCTTGCTCCTGACCCTTTGCCTCCTTATCCAGCTTCAATCAAGGTTCCCTCAAAATCCAAGCTTTTCTTTGTTTCTTCTTTCTTATTAAAATTTATCTTAAAAAAAAACAATTTTGAAAAGATTAAATATGTTGTTTTATTATGCTTTGACTGGTATTTTCAGTTGTCTAGATTGAATAGGCACTTGGGTATTGGTTAATTTTTTATTTGAAGGGCAAAAGATTGACTTTTCGAGTCAAAGTTTTCTAACAAGCAATTGGGTGTTATGGTTTTTTAACATAAAAGCGGCAGGATTATCATCTTGGGTTTTCCTTGCAATTTCTATGCTTCTTATATAAATGTCTTTGCATTTTGTTTTTTTCATTTGGATTTAGGATAAAACTTCCTTGGCAGGGTACGTAGTGGATAAAAAGGGGATGTTAGGAATGCTGGATGAGGTTATACTTCTGTAACAAAGCATCCACCCTTGGTTTTAAGAACCTAGTTTAGAGAAGAATACAAAGATATATATCTCATAGTTGGATAGATTTGTAATGTGAATTATGAATATACTGAGACTTCCGTGGCATATATGTAATGCCTTGCAGGATGGTTATGCAGTGGTTGCTTCGGATGGCCCTGGTGAGTATCCTGTAATAACAGAATCAAGAGCTGGAAATGATGGGGTTGGTGTTACAGTGACTCCTGGAACTGTGGCATATGTGACAACTGGAGGTTAATCCGTTCTTCCTGTTATTATCTGGACATAAATGGTCCTGTTATCTTTTTCAGTTTTGAGGACAATTGCCATTCCATGTGCAATAATTTAGGGCATGTTTTGTAATGTGGCCTTTAATCACTTTCATTAAGATCATGGATTGGTCTGTCAAATTCTTTTTGAATAAATTTAAATAACTTAGCTCTATAATTGCTTGACTATAGAGGTTTGTTTATCCAAAGTGAATGAGCTTTGTGAATGTGCAAGCTAGCAGCTGAAATAAGTTTCTTTAAATTGAAAAACAAATTCAGGCCTGCAAAATTAGCCAATGTAAGCAGATGAAAAAGAAACATGCGTCTAGGATATTTGTGGATAACCTATATATGTCATTCATCTTGAATTAATCTTCATTTCTTGATGGGGCATATTATTCATTAACAATAGATAAATATGTCTTAGCATAACATTGCTTCTTGAATGGCCAGTCAAGTGTTGTTGTCTTTTGCTAAATGAGCAAGGTGTCAGAAACATAATCTTAAGTGTGATCATACATTTCCAAAAATGAGATTGGCAATAATTAAGTTTAAAAGGGGGCTTCTTCTTCTTCCTTTAGGGCACCGTATGGTGTCTTTGAGTTTCAAATATGTTTAAATCGTGCTATTAATACTTAACTAATTTCAGCATGCCGTTTTTAACTTTCCTATTTCTCAAAATTTTCTCCTTTGTGCACTTTTTTTGCCCCTTAGGACCAATACCAGATGGTGCTGATGCAGTTGTCCAAGTTGAGGACACTGAACAGGTTAAAGCTCCTTCTGAATCAAAGCGTGTAAGGATATTGGTGCAAACTAGCAAAGGTGTTGATATTCGTCCAGTGGTATGACATCATTGATTCCTCTCTCTTCATCTACTTTCGTCTTCTCTTCACTGCCTTGTCCACCCTTTTCCATTTTCTGCTTCAAATCATCCCTCTTCTCTATGATAAATTTTGGCTGTTTTGCTACTTCCTCAAAGTCCTAACTAGAACAACCGAGTCAATGATTCTGAAGATTGAAGTAATATGTTTGCAGTCAATATTTAGTTACAGCACTCTCAAACTATTTAAAAGGATCATGAGAAAATTGGTTCTATTGCCCAAGGTCTGAGTTGAAAAAGTGCACCTACTTGAGTTCTCTGAATGTGTATGTACGTGTGTAGTGGTTTGCAAATTCCAGATCTGCCCTACTTAGGTTTGTGGTTTTGGCCCAAAGGTCTTAAGTAAGCTTTCTGTTTAGTTAGAAGTAATTTAAGGCTGTATTTGTTGTTCAAAATTTTGAATCTTAATTTTGAAACTGAGAGCCCTATTTTAACATGCTAGCAGCCTTTGTAAAACTTTATGGTCTCTTCGCTTGGTGGAGAATAGGAATGAAGTTAGACTTCTCTGGCTTCTCACTTTCTGTATAAGCGAACCTGCCTTGTTTATCTGTAGTGAAATAAAAAATGGAGAAGAAGCAGAACAAGTGCACTTGACTACGATGTCTGGTCTTGTGTAGTTTCTAACATTTTCTTTATAATGAATGAACTGGATCTGAGATAGCTTCACATTGGCATGCTTTCTTTTTATTTCAAAAGCTCTAACAAGCATCTGTTTTGCAGGGATGTGACATTCAGAAAGATGCAGTAGTTTTAAAATCTGGAGAAAGAATAGGTGCTTCAGAAGTGGGACTACTTGCTACAGTGGGCGTTACAATGGTGAAGGTACCATATTGCCCACTATTTTGGTTTTGATGACCTTGCATTATCTTAAGGATATGGCTGATTTGCAGGTGCAACCTACACCAACCATTGCTGTACTTTCTACTGGAGATGAACTTGTAGAGCCAACAACGGGTTCCCTAAGTCGTGGCCAGGTATCATGCGACTATCTGAGAAGTTCAATGTTCATAGTGTGGATTATTCAGCTTCGGAAATCAAAATTTGCATAAGTTTAAATTCTCAAAACAATTTAGGCTTGAAGGTTGCATGGTCTTCTCCAAGTACCTCTGCCCCAAAAGGGGGAAAGAAAGAAGAAAAGAAAACTGAATCTGAAGGAGGCTAGTATGATTGGATTAATAATTTATAAATTTTTTTCTTGGTGCAAAGGGTTGGAGAGTTTGAGGATATTGAAATATTGGGTGATAGTGAGACCATACATAAGTGCACATGGTATGCTAGTAAGGCACCCGAAAAATAAGCCTTCAAGGCTTGAATATGCTAGTTGTCACACTTAATCTGCAGTTATCTTAAGATTAGTCGTTATTTGATAAAAATGACTTTACATGGTTTACAGAATCTAGGAGAGATAACAATCATTCTGTCTTTGTTGCTCCCTAAATCTCTTCCTGTTACCCCCTTTTTTGACCTCCTTTTTTTGTGAATTTCCGTTGAGGTTGCCTGATGTCTTGTGCAGATTAGGGATTCCAACCGTGCTATGTTATTGGCTGCTGCAACACAGCAACAATGCACAACGCTTGACCTTGGTATTGTTGGAGATGACACTGAAGAACTTGAGAGGGTCTTGGATAGTGCATTTTCTTCAGGGATTAATATTCTTCTGACCTCTGGGGGTGTTTCCATGGGAGATAAGGATTTTGTGAAGCCACTTCTTGAAAAGAAAGGGACAGTGCACTTCAACAAGGTCCTATCCATATAGATTTCTTTGTGAGAAAATTTGCTTTTGTATAATTAGGCCAAAATTTTCAATTCTATGTTCCTAACTGTGTCTTTGAGCTTTAAATTTTTATATGATATCCTGAGCATCATCGAGTAGACATAAGACATCTATGTTAACTTTGTTTGAATTGATTTCCTCAACAGGTTTGCATGAAACCGGGGAAACCATTGACATTTGCAGAGATATATTTAAACGGGGCAAAGAATGCACCAATGAACAAAGTTCTTGCGTTTGGTTTACCTGGAAATCCAGTTAGCTGTCTAGTTTGTTTCCATCTCTTTGTGGTCCCTACCATACGCCACCTAGCAGGATGGACAAATCCACATCTTTTGAGGTTGCTGAGACTTCCAGTAAATTGTTCTATTTCTGTTGCCTGTTTATATTTCTGTTTTTCTATTTGTCAAAATTAAATTTAGTGTAAGAGAGTTCATTTGCGACTGTCCTGTTTTCCTTCTGTCTGTCGTATAGAGTGCAAGTTCGACTTCAACAACCAATAAAGACAGATACAAGCCGGCCAGAATTTCATCGTGCCACTATCAGATGGGAAGTTAATGATGGATCAGGCAATCCGGGGTAAATTTAGGGTTATAGTTTTCTTGGATCACTGGTCTCTTCACTTTTTGGATTTGTTGTTCAGTTAGATCCTTCTTGGACCTAATTACTTTATAAGTATCATGTTTTTTGGTATTTTATTCTACTTTGAGCACGATTATAATTGTGTTAAGAGGCAACATTGTTTCTTTTCAATTTTAGATTTGTTGCTGAGAGCACTGGCCATCAAATGAGCAGTCGGCTTCTGAGTATGAAATCAGCTAATGCTTTGCTGGAGTTTCCGGCAACAGGGAAAGTTATTTCTGCTGGAAGTTCTGTCTCAGCCATTGTAATTTCCAATTTAGGTGGTACTGCATTGAGCAAGGCTGCTTTGTCTTCAGCTTCAAGTACAAGTACTACACTACATAAAAGTGCGTTGAATGAACTGATGGTAGATGGATCTCAGGATGTTCAGTTCAAAGTAGGTGTTCTGACAGTGAGTGATACTGTTGCATCAGGTGCAGGGCCTGATCGAAGGTATGATGTTTCATATTGTTTTTCAAATATTGAATATTTCTGGGGTTAAGTTCCTCATGAGTTTCCTATAGAGGAATGTGAAAAGTCTTAAGAGATTCCTTCTTTTTTCAATTGAAAACCAGATTCCAACTGATACCACCATTGACATAGAAAACTTGAATTAGGATCATTTTCATATAATTTTTTTAAAATTTGATTATGGATCTTTTGCTCGTTGGAATTTGTTGTTCACTTAAACGCCATCGGTTTGAAATTAAATGTGCTAGGGCTATGACCGCTTGCATTTGCGATTTGTGTTTCTAATATTCTTCCTTATTTATATACTTTGAGGTCATGTCACCGTTAACCTCAAGTCATCCACTGATTCTTCAACAACTAATCCTTCTACCCCTGCAATCCCTGTATTCTGAAGTGTGAGATTAAGAAGGTTTATTGTTCAACTGAAAGCATCCAGATACACACATTTTCAGAATGGTTACTTTATGGATGCTAAAGTGATCAAGCTGAGTCAATGTTCCACTGTATTCAAGTTATGTATGAAATACGTGAAAGCTCTGCCATCATATAGAGCCAAATGTTTGTCTTGTATTGATCATGTACATCCCTGGCTAAGTTTATCTTGTGACTTTTCTTTTCTAACAATGGCCTTCAAAATGGAATGGATTAATCAGGCTCCCAGTTTAAACGCATTTAGATACACCTTTGAATAATGGTTTCATAAAGGTCACATATTTGATGCTAAAGAAAACAAGCAAAGTTGATATTGTCCCATGACTAAGTGAGACTTGGGAAGACTGAATGCTTTGCAACAACATTTGGAAACGGCAATAGTACATTTTGCATTTGGAGTCTTAGTTTTTCAGTTACTGTCTTCTCTAATTTTCTTCTATCTTTTTCTTGGGTGCATTTCACAAATTTGACCTTAAGCTAATCATCAATGTCTTAGCACTTTTCACTCTTCCCTTTAATGGTTTTATCTATTGATCTCAGACCAGAAACCTTCAAAATGCAGCAATTGCAGGTTGTCTATATTTGCAACTTGGCCCATCATCTATATGTAATTACCTGATTCTTAACAATTATTGCAAGTAACTTGGTTGAAGTTGAAGTAAATAAGTAGTTGCTCCCACTGCCCACTTCCATCCTTTTATACTTTATCACTGGGCCTGATTTCTAAATAGGGAATTTGTTATCTTCTAGAAGATTTTTCTTCCCTCCCTATCCCATATCCTTAATATTTATTCACCCATACTTTGTCTAAAAATTTGTAGAATGATTATGAATTGCAGTGGACCTAGGGCAGTATCCGTTGTAAATACCTCATCGGAAAAGTTAGGAGGAGTGAAGGTAGTTGCAACAGGTGTGGTTTCAGATGATGTGGGAAAGATCAAGGAAGTTTTGCAGAGATGGAGTGATATCGACAAAATGGATCTTATTCTCACACTTGGTGGGTTTCTTGTCCTTGCCAGCCTCCTTTTTCTTGGTTGGATGTAGACATTTCCTTTTGGGTTCTATTTATTTTCACCCCTCTCTCAAAATTGTATTCTCTTCATTAAGGTGGCACTGGCTTCACCCCAAGGGATGTGACCCCTGAAGCAACAAAAGAGTTGATTGAAAAAGAAACACCTGGTCTTCTGTATGTCATGATGCAAGAGAGTTTAAAGGTACTAAACTAACTTATAGCACAAAATTACTTTAGAACTCTTTTAATTTTTTCTTCTATATAATTATTTTTATGAGAGATGGTTTTGCCTGTTGACTTTATTTTATAATGACTTGGTCTTGCAAGTAGAGCTGTCCATTGGCTGGGCCGGGTCTATCTCTAATATTAGCAACATTTTATGCTTTCCCCGGCCCAGCTCAGCTTAAAGTGCAGTCTATACCAATTCAATCAAAGCTAAACCAGCTCATTCATGAGAATATTTGGTAGATCTTGCTGAAAGATTGAAATTGACATACCGATTTCAGATCAGAAAATATATACACATTGAATCAAGCAAATCAATCTGATTAAAAAAAATAAATCCCACAACATTTGCTGATATTGGATTGCCCCTACAATATCTTATGATAACTTGTCAACTTTCTGGTCATGGCTTTGTTTATTTCACAAGAGATTCGTAATTCCACATGTGATTTGTTGCCTGGTATCCTAATGAATTGACTATGGTGTATGTCTTATAGGCTTCATGAAAGGCTTAATATGCATACCATATTTTTATTTGTTTGTTACATATAATGAGAGAATGCAGACTGTCTTTGCAATTATCCGCTTATCGTCAAATCTTCAGTTTCTTGGGTATGTTCGAAAAAATTAACCAAAAAAAACCCTTATGAGGGTGAGCTGCTATTTTTTCCCATCGAATGCGGAATGTGGTTGATTTAATCAAAATTTCATGTTGAGGATGCGTATAATTGCATATATCTATATGTTTTTCTACATAAATACATTACACACAATGTCATACAACATTTTTTGTGTAGTCTTATGAGAATGTCACCGGTAAACTGACTTCTTTTATAGATTAATGATTATAAGCATTTCTAACCCATTTTCTTAACGTAAATAGGTAACACCATTTGCTATGCTCTCACGCTCAGCAGCTGGAATAAGAGGGTCAACATTGGTAAGAATTATGTTATATTTGTTATCTTTGTAGTTGAATACATATTTTATTTTGCTCTGTCCCACAAAATTTATATTTACACTTCACGTATGTTGGTTTGATAACTGTTTTTCTGAATTATCACTTAGTAGGACTGGGCTATGTTGCTCGGGACTTGTGTGAGTGTTGGGTGTGCCATGCTTGTGTAACTTGTTGATTATCTTAAACTTAAGATGCAAGGGTAGAGCATAAAGGGTCCAAAGACGTATGTTATAAAACTATAAGGCTTTGTTATAGTTGAAATTTTTGTTTAGCTCTATGAATTTAATTTACTCGATTATAAGGGTGGTTTCGCTTTAGGTGATAGAGATGATTGGCATTTTGATATGCTTTCCTCCGACGTGGTTAATTCTCTATTGGGAATTTGCAATTCCATCGTGTGTGCTTAGGGAGAAACTAAAAAATCAAGCCATATTATGTGAAACAAGGAATTATTATCTGTACTATTCTTGTACGATACGTGTTTCTAATGCTATCATGTATCTAGATCATCAACATGCCCGGGAATCCAAATGCAGTCGCGGAATGCATGGAGGCTTTGTTGCCAGCCCTTAAGCATGCATTAAAGCAGATAAAGGGTGACAAAAGGGAGAAACACCCCAGGCATGCCCCTCATGAACAAGCTACCCCTGTGGATACTTGGGAACGCAGCCATAAGTTGGCCTCTGCTGCTAGCATAGAACCCACTTGCTCTTGTTCTCATTAAATTGTCTTCTTCCTTTTTTTTTTTTTTTTTTTCAGGTGAAGAAAACAATCAACTTTATATACATAAACAATGCTACTTCTAAGTTTTATAATTAATTTTTCAGAAAAAATAGAAAAAATAATAAAAACCCTTGTGATTTTCTAACACAAAGGAGGAGCTCCTCAGCCCTATCAATCCCATAGTTTTCTAAAGATTTTAGTGATTTCTATGTAATTTAACATAATCTTTTGAGAGGGTTACAATATCTTCATTAACATCTTAGCTAGAAAAATCAAATTTATCAATTAAGCGATTCCTATAAATAAACAAGAAACGATTGATTGTTCTGCACATTTTGACTAAGGCCTTCATTAGGGTGTGTGGTGTCTCATCGATGTGGTTTACGAGTGGATCCAATAATTTTAGTAAAGTTTATTTTTCATAATATTTTAATTTGGTTTGTAGAATATCTTAATTCAATTTGTGAAATTTAAAAATTTTATTGTATAAAAATGATGTATTTAAAAAAGCACAAAAATTTTTAAATAATAATTAAAAATAAATAAGTTGGCTTGTACAAAATTACCACATAATAAAACATCGACAACATACACACCATAAGATTTAAGCGACAGCTGTTATTGTTGAAGCAATAATTCAACATTGTCCCATACACACCCTTCCCATACCAACGGAAGCTTCTTCTAAAATTTCAATGATAGAAAAAAAAGGTAGCTTTTTGGAAGGATCATTACTTGTGCATTGCTGTATAAGCCTAAAATTTGCAACACCATATATTACTAATCAAGAATAAATAAATGAATAAAAATTAATAATTTAATACCCTTTTGCAAAAGAATGAAAAAAAAAAAAAGAATATAATTACTGTTAAATTGAAACTTGAAATAGTTAAGAAGCATCATTTTTTTTTTTTTTACTTACTGTTGAATTCTTTTAGGGCATCGGCTTATTGGAAACTTAATATCCACATCAACTGAATTTAAATGTATGTAGTCAAAGTTCATGTCGTTTAGGACATGTCTTCCTTCTAACATCTGTGGCACAATTATATTTCAAAGATCAAAACTTGTTCTAAAAATTAATCATGAAAAGAATTTTTTGTTTTCTTGATCTCAAACTAGAAATTATAATCCTTATAAAATTCATATATATTGGTTTAAATTCTAATTATTTCCTTTTTTTCCTCCCATTTTCTTTTTTTTTTATTTTTTTATGTCCTAAAACTCTAATTTTTTATATTTTAAACTTAGTTTTCATGATTTTTTTATTTTTTGATATTAAAAATCATGGATATTTATTTTTATAAATAAATAAATAAATTTTACTATTATATAAACTAAAGTCAATTTTTGTTTAAATTTCATTAAAAGGAAAAAAAAACAAATAATTTAAGACGGAATAAATTAAAATTTTTCGAACAGACAATCTTTGACATAAACAAGTATATCATATGTATGTATATACTTTAAGGTCTTAAGGAACAAACCTGATAAAATATGAACCCAAACGCACGTACATCTTTCATGGTATCATTGGGAAGGATGTTTGGCATCCTAGAATTTTCATTTATTTGACCTGTGAAAAGATTAAAAAAAAAAAAACAAATTTTAATTAGATTATTACATGTAGTACTGATATTATTATCAACCGACGAAATTAAAACATGTAAAGTTGAGGGAATGGAAGGATTGTCCGTACAATTTTCTTGATTTGGTTGAATTTGTTCATACAGCATTTGAACCCAGTACTCCCCAATTTTTAAGTGCCCACTTTCATCTTGAAATAAATTCCTACATACAAAAAAAAAAATGGAAAAAATCTAATTACCAGTCTATAATCCTTGTAATAATAATTTAACGATCTAGGAAAATGTTATCCCATCCGACATTTTTTAAATTTTATCTGTGTTTAATCTCTTTTTCAAATGATTTTAAAAACAAACTCTTGTATTAATTTCATACATTTAAAATTTTATTTTCGAAATTTTCGTACAAATATCAAATCCAAATTGAAAAAAAAAAAAAAAACTATTTCTTATCAACTGAACTAATATAATTTTTTTTACAAATTTTTCTTTTTCAAGTTGGGATAAACTTGCCTCGGATCCAAATTGTTGTGCACTATTGGATTTGGCTTGTGCTCGTGAAGATAATTCATTCCCCTATCAAACATTTTAAGAAATTAAATCAAGCCATTGCAAAAAAAAAAAAAAAAAAATCAATGTTTTTGAATTACTATGTTGACAAATCAAGAGATACTCATATTTGCACCTATCTTTTCCTTTGAGATATATTCCATAATTTCTTTAGCATCTATATCTTTAAAAAAAAAAAAAAGTATTTACCTAGCAATATCAAGTGCATAGCGCAAAGCAGTAGGAAAGTCAAGCCGAACTTTCTTCCTCAGTATAAGATCCAAGTTATCCTAAGTCGCCACCATAAAGTAGTATAATGTGAGAGAAGAAGAAGAATTTACAAAGTTTGATTGAAAATGCACTTTTACCTTTTGTAGAACAATGCTAATTTGTCTTATCTTATATTTATTGTGTGATATTGCATTTGAATAACTATAATAATATGTTTTTTTACAAAAAAAAATCTTAATTTAAAAATAAAAAATAAAATTGTAAGCGTTGAGACGATTGAATTTTAAATTTATTTGATGTTATTTTATATAAATTAATTAAACTAAATTTTAAAGTCAAATACTATAACATATAAATAAATATAATATATGCGGAGAATCAATTCACTAACAATTTTTTTTTTTTAATTTATGAAAGGAGCATGCACCTTGTTATTTTTGGAGTCTCCTAGAATTTAAAAACTTCTCTATTATATATCCCTCTAGCATATCATTCTTGGATCATAGATTAGAATCACAACTGAAATTTATGATTGAGGCTTCTAAGTAGTGAAGCATTTATCAATTTTTAAAATCATTATTAATAAAATAGTGCATGGAAAATTCATGTAAAAATAAAAGAATATATATATATATATATATGTAGACACACACATACTTTGGGTAGATATTCTGTAATCAAAATCATCTCTTCTCCTTGCACAATTGAACCAAGGAACTGTAAGATGTTGGGATGTCGAAGTTCTTGTAAGAGAATATTATCCTTGGAAGACAAAATCCTGAAAAAAAAATGCAATTTCTGAAATTATTCAGACATAATCTCAGACTGGTTGAATCTGTCTAAAAAAAACAGAAAAAATATATATATATACATTTTCACAGGGTGCTGAATCTGTCTTTTGATCACTGTTTTGACAACCCATGTTCCTCGCCATTTCACCTTTTCAGATTCACCAAATACACCCTACCACAATCCAAATTTATTCAACCCATGTTCTTACTTCATACATTTCAACACTGAAAACTATAGATTTGCAAAAATAATGTATGGCAAAGTGATGAATAAAACTTGAAGGTATATTCAAGTAACCTGCTGCTCAATTATTGATGACTGTTCTGTGTCCAATTCCGAGATATCAATTACTTCATTTGAATCTTTCTCATTTCGAACTGTCTACAGTGCAATCAATAAACAACATATCAAAAATAGTACACAAATTACATGATTTAAATCATTTGAGTTACAAGTTTTTAAGTGTTGATTATATTTTTTAATTTTGAAGGTTTAACGTGCCTCTATGTTAAGCTTGAAGATAAATGATCACGTAAATACTCCACCGATAGAGTATAGAAAACAAACTCCAAAAAATCTAACCATTGGTGCCTGATCATTTGTTGGCTGATCATTGATGAGTTCTTTGTCACCAATATCCTTGCCTCCATTTACTTCTAGGATTCTGCAAATATCTCGATGTCCATAAAGTGTTGCATCTGTCAAAGGCTTCAAAAATGAAAAAAAAAAAAAATTGAATATTACATGCACAATTTTTTTTTTCATTATCTTTCCATCAAAAGAGAGAACTGCAAGCAATGGAAAGGGAAGGTGATGAAGTCGGTGCTTACAGTACGCTTCCATCGGTCAATGGGGTTAACATTGGCCTTATAATGTAGAAGAAGCTCGACGATGGGGGCATGGCCTTCACTGGCGGCAAGATGTAAAGCAGTTCTCCTGTCATAGTCCTGCACGTCAGGAGAAATACCATTCCTTAACATCTGATTCAGTCCAACCCTGTCGCCTCTGGATGCAAAACTCAAAAAATTTCCAATCGATTGCATATCAAATCCACCTGAAACATTGTAATCACCCTGCCTCTGACCCATTGTTATAATTTCTCTCAATAACCCTTAAGATTGGAGTGAAAGAAAGGGGTGAAAAGCAAATGTAAAAACTTTGGTGAAGAGGGAATTTTTTTTCTTTTTATTAGACAGGCGTTCATGTCTAGGACAAAAGAAGGTTTGATTTTAACGTCAACTTATGTTTTACTGATTGGTGAAATCTTCAACGGTATGTTTAATGTTTATGCCATTGATATTATAAGCAACCTGAAAACGTTTTCGACTTTAGTACTTGTACTTTGCAACAATATCAACCTAATAAAATTATCTTGGGATCAAAAAAAGATAGACAAAAAACCTTTTTTTTTTTAAATAACAGTTTGAAAATAGACAAAAACAAAATCTAATTTGGGCTAGAGGTATCCTTGAACTAAGGTTGCGTGGGTTCTAAAGGTATCCTTCAACTAAGGTTGGGTGGGTTAAGGTTGAACCTGATTCGGCTTTTAACCAAAAATTAAATTTCAAAGCGATGCAATCCATTCTGAAATTTTTTTTGGTGGAAATATGTAAATTTTACTTGATTAACTAGTATGCAATCCATGAATTTGATATTTGTTTTGCTTTGGAATGTTAAAAATTATACTGGTCGATTGGTTAATTTATCTCCTGTGGGCTTGTGAGTGGTGAATCTGTGATAATATCCCACATTTCAAGTCCTCAAAATATTTCAGGCCTTTCTGCTGAACCTAGAACAGAAAAAAAAGGAAAAAAAACACAGTAAAATTGTTGCATCTTCAGCTCTTCACTCAAATTCATTCATGCACATTGCGATTTTCGAATAATATTTGCACCCAATGATATATGTTTGTGTTCCAACTCCCAACATTGGTATAGCCTCATATGTCTTGATTATTAGTTGAAAAGTTTTGGAAAATCTTCATCTAGTCATCTTTAGCTCTTGTTCTAAACACTCAGAATGATCAATGGTGGAGGCAGAGCTCCTTGAAGGAATGAGGAAATCATGGTAATAAAATGTCCTGCTTCTTTCAACTGTCACCAATGGTAGACCTTCATATTCCACCACATACCCTCCAACCTGCTTCCATCCAACAATTTTTAAGTCACCAAAGCAGTGAAAAAAACTGTTTAACTCTTCTCTGGTAAATGAAAGCACAAACTGTTAATATTTCCCTTTTCTTTTACCTCTTCATTGTTGGACCATGGACGCCAAGCAGTCTCATAGGGAGCTTGAGGGTGTTAATTTCATACCTGGTTGAGGTAATTGGGACAACTGCAATATACCAATATACAAAAACAAAATCAAAATTATAAGTTTCGTACTTTTAAATGCCTCACTATTCTTAATCTAATGTTGGGGAAGATGAATTCATCTAACAAAAGAAAAGTGGAGAATCCTTGGATTTGAAGTCTTCATGAGAAAGTGCTAATTTGACTTCTGTTTAACATGATACTTGGTGGCAAAACTATAATTTTAAATGAATGGTGATTAATAATGTAACTAAACAATTTCATAAATCTTGTCCAAGCATGTAAAATTGCATGCAAATACTCCATATATTATAATTGTTGTCATTCAGCTTCTTGATGCTGCTAGGAATTTGAAAAATCTTCCATTGTGACTTGAAACTCAAGTTTGATCCCAAATCAATTAATTTTACAGTCACTATGTATTGGAAGAATCTTCATGTCTTTACAAACAACGATCCCTGACCATCTTGATACAGAACAATTAACTTTACAGTGTCTGACTGTTTGCTGACAGAGCCATCACAAACTACAGTCAGGCAACTTAAATTTATTTAACCTAAACTATATATATGTGTGTGTGTGTGTGTGTATACACTAAAAAGGGATTTTCAAAGTTTTTTTTTTTTTGGGGGTGTGGGGGGGGTATGGCCCTTGGGTCGACAGACAAATCTGTTGCTACATAGGTTTTGGGCAAATTAAATGATCTAGCATTTGGCAAAAGAAATCTACATAACTAAATTAGAGCATGGTCTAATAATTGGTCTCAATACAGCACTTTTTCCTTGGATTACTTTTGCATTCTAAAAGAGTTTTGCAGAATAGCATTAAGTTGTTAGTAATGGCAATAGCTGTACAGACACAATATTAAAACTTAAGACATACCAATGTCACAAAAATGCACATTATCAAAAAAAAAAAAAAAGGAATAAAACCATCAATGGAAAAGAAATCATAAATTTTTTTACCAAAAATAATGTATTAAACTGGAAATACTGACCTTGTTCTTTTTTTTTTTTTTGTTTCCTCTTCTTCATGACCAATAAACTTACTGATCATACCATTCATTGACGAAATCCCATAACAAAACGTTGGATACCAGCAAAATCGGATACTATATTAATATTGCAGAAGCTGCCTGGCTTATCATTTTCAATGTAGTCCACAAGAAACTTGGACTGCTTCTCTCCATTTGTCTGTATCAAGAGAATTAAAAGAAGGAAAAATAGATAGAAGTACTCAGTTCTAACCTGGTTCAGAAGGACAAGACTTACCAAAACATTACTAAGACAGAAACTCAGAAGAAGAAACTTTTTTCTTTGAATTGCCAAGATTTGATTTCTATGTTATAAGATTATCATCAATGATTTGTTAAATTTGTCTCTGTTACAATTTCTTACAGCATCAACTTAGAAAATATCCTAAGAAACCTACTGCAGCAGTAGCATCGTAAATGTGGAAAAAGGGAGCAGCCATATTTATTTTGGACACAAATTTGGGTTAAAGTGCTATAAATATTAAATTAAATTAAATTATTATAAACTGAATCAGCAAACTCCCTAAAATTTGTCTTTTTTTCCCCTTCCCTTTCCTTATCCATGGGATATATCATGACATGAGGCATGAATCATGTTAATGAAACAAATTCCCCTACCAATTTTTCCTTATCTACAGAGCATTTTAAAGAAATCAAAATTTCATCAGGCATGGACATAAACTAATTACTAACAAAATTCCAAAAGAAAAAAAAGAAAAATATTGAAACATATTAAAAGTTTGGCATTGGAGGAAAACAAGATAGTATACCTCCAAAGCAAAAAATCCTCCAGGTTTCAACATGGAAGCAGCTCCGTCAATGAGATGGAGAAGATCACTGGTTCCACTAATGCCACCATCTAATGCAAGTTTTGGTTCATGTTGACCAACTTCAGCTTGTAGGCCAGATATATCACCACTTGGTACGTACGGTGGGTTACTCAAAACACCAGCAAGTTTACCTCGAACATCTTTCAATGGTTCAAACCAAGATCCTTTCCTCACCTCAACCACATCCTAATTCATAAACCAAAAGCAAGTTTTAAAATTGAAAATCTCAGTACATTCAAGAGATATGTGCAAAGGCAAGATGATGGAGCTATGATTTTGCTTGATGTGATGGGCAGTATAATTTGTTTATTTAGGTATACAAAATTAAATTTTCTTGAATAAGTTGTTGTTATAAGTCATATATTCTAGCATAAATCATTCAAAACTAACTTATTTAGTCACTACAAATGCTCATCCTATGTCTTGTTCTGCAACATAGAATTTCAGACTTACATGCACAAGACTTTATGTGGACCGTAGTGATGATTGGACAGGCACCATAAAGGCACTGATTTTTTCTTTTATTTGTTTATTTATTTATTTTTTTTGTAAAATTAAGCTATTGATATTGCTTTTGCATAATACAATTTTAGGAAGTATTTTCAGTTTGTCACTAAGCCCTAAACCATAAAACAATTTCTAATTTCTGTACTAATTGTGAATTAAATAGTTGAAAATTGGAACGAAAGGCAAGAAATTTACCTGTAGGCCATATATTTGCACATTAAAAGCAGCCACAGCAATTGCCACCGGACTTAAATCAGTGGCAATGACTCTACCATGAGCATGAGCATGAGTTGATAAAGTCCTTGCAGTGGCAATAGCAATAGCACCGCTACCGGTCCCCAAATCGGCCCAGAAACCTTTTGCCAATTCTGGGAATTTGTTCAATGCCACATTCTCCACCAAATCAATAATCATTTCAGTTTCAGGCCTAGGAATAAGAACCCCTTCTTGCACACTCAACACCAAATCCCTCCAATGCTCACACCCTACAACGTATTGAAAAGGTCTCCTCTCTTCAATCCTCTGCCTCCAAACACAATACAGCTCCTCCAAAGGCGCTCTTAACGCAACGCTTACATCCACGTTCTCACTGTTACCCGATTCCAAGTGTGATAGTATTGCTGAATGATGTTGGAGTTCAAGTAAGTCTTGTAGAAGCCAGTTGAGCTCTCTGCGGAGGAGAGTGGAATCGGGACCATTGTCTAAGTGAACAAAAGAGGAGCCAACTGAAGAAGCCAGATTTTTGGCCCATTTATGCCATTGGGTCAGCTCTGATAGAGACGCAGAGAAGGAGAGTGGCCTTAGATAGAGTGGAATTTTGGGTTTTACCTCTGCAGAGGATGATGATATTGAATTTGAATAACAAAGTGAAATGGGTCTCCGGAAATTTGCACAAACACCACAACTCAGACCAGACAACCTTAGCTTCATCATATCTCTAAACAGGTCTTCCCAATATGTTCTAACTCTAGATTGTGCAAAATTTTTTTTTTTTTGAAAAGTTTAAGAGACAAACCTACAATGGGTTTCTGATAAAGTGACTTTCACTGCTCCTTATCTCAAATTGGATGAGATTACCACTTGATTTCCTTGCTTCCCATCCGTCAAGAGAGATATCGAGCAAAATAAAAAAGAAAGAGGCTTCTACAGGGAAAGAACAAGTGAAATATGTTCGTAATGTGGTTTTCTGGGATTTCCCAAATAAACTTTCAAATTTTATTTTAAAAAACGAATTAGCCCTGGTACATGAAATTAAGCCCTTATTCAAGAAATTAAAGTTATAAATTTTTATTTTATTATAATTAGAATAGTTATAAAATATTTAATTTTTAGTTTAATTTTTTAAATGAAAGATTTAATTGATAAAATATACTTATTTAAATTTATTTGGATAAATTAAATGACAAATATTTGAGAGATATTATTTTAAAAATTTATTAATTAGATATATTTATTTAATTTTAAGATTCAATAATTATAATTACAATAAAATAAAAATTTATAATTTTAATTTTATGCAATAAAAGATTCAGGACTTATTTATATATAAAGTAAATTCTGAGAGTTTATTTATATATGTTAAGGATTGGAATTTTTTTTCTTGATTAAATTTCAAATTATTTTTATTTTTTAATTAAAAGTTGACTTATTTTATCTACTGATTTTGGATTAATTAATTTATTATCAAAATTAATATTTAAAAATTATGAATTAAAAAAAAACTAATACTTTATTATCTTCTTAGGACAACCTAAATATTAAAAATGTTAAGGATAGATTAAAAAAAATTTTAAAAATAACTTAATTCTTTTATTTGTCCATGGATTTGATATTTTGTTTTGCTTTGAAATGTAATTTTTTAACAATTTTAATTAGGATAATGATGTAATGATATATTACGAAAATAATATAATTTAAAATTTTAATAATATCATTTATAATTTGACAAAAATATATATATATTATGTTTAAAATTTTAATGTAAATTATAATACAATAATTTTTATTTTTTTTAATATTTAATATAAAATAAATAAATATAAATACAAGAATTATCAAACTTAATTACATAATAAATTTTTTATCTCCTCCATTTACTTTCTTCCGGACTCGTGGATCTTTGATCATATCCCATTTTTTTGGTACTTTTTTTCAAGTCCACAAAAAAAAAAAAAAAATTGCAAACGTTTAGGCTGAACCAGAACAGAAAAAAGAAAAATACACAGTAAAATAATTGCATCTTCAGCTCTTCACTTATATTCATTTATTCACATTGCATTAGTGGATTTTCAAACACTAGATTTGCATCCAGTGCTGTACAATTTGTGCTCCAGCTCCCAACATCGGTATGGTCTCATATACCTTAATTATTAGTTAAAAGATTTAGAAAATCATTCATCAAGTCATCTTTAGCTGAATGAATATGATCATGGTGGAGGCAGAGCTCCTTGAAGGAACGAGGAAATCATAGTAAGAGCACGAGCTGGTTGGTAGCTTGGAACAAAATGTCCTGCTTCTCTAACTGTCACCAATGTCAGACCTTCATATTCCACCACATATCCTCCAACCTGTTTTCATCCAGCAATTTTTAATCCCTGAAGCAGTGAAAAGAACTGTCAACTGTTTCTCTGGTAAATGAAAGCACAAATTTTTACCTCTTCATTGTTGGACCATGGACGCCAAGCTGTCTTGATAGGGAGATTGAGGATGTTTATTCCATACCTGGTTGAGGTAATTGGGACAGCTGCATCTACATCACCACTGCCAAATTGTTCCATCTTAGTTACAACTATTGCATTTCAAATTGATTCTTTGAACTTATTTCTTAAAATTGCAACTAATTCTCAATACAATACCCTACATAGCATTGCTCTTTCTGATTATTTTCAGTTACTTAATAATTTTTTATGCTGGTAAATTCATCTTTCTTAGTAGATCTGTTAATTTTAAACATAATACTAAAAAAGACACAAAAATAACAGTTTAAAATTTTAGCAAAAATTATACATGAATTAAAAAAAAAAAAGATGTTTTCTAATATATTGATACAAATTACGATATGATAATTTTTGTGTTTTATACATGTTTAATATGAAATAAAAACAATAAGAATATATGAACTACCAAATCTATTTTGCATAGCAGTTAGGAATTTGTGTTGGACTTTCATGACCATTTTAATGTGTTTACTGTGTAGTTCCATAAAATGTTACGAAATAGAGCTTTACCTGTATAGCCACACTCTGAGACCACTTGCCATGAGACTCTTGATAATAGGTAAGACAGTAGCAGGGCTATCACTCCAGTTAAATCCACTGGGGTATAGTGAAATACATTATTTCAGTTACATTAAAACAAAACAAATACTAACCAAATATTTTAATGAACTTAATATAACACCCAGGACAACAGCAAAATGGCTATAACCTGCATTGATCCCACTGTGAAAGCTTAGCATGGAGAGCTGTCTGCACCTCTGCTCTATTCAGATAGGATATCATATAGTTGCCTGAGCATGGATCAAAACTGTTTACCTGGAATGAGAATCAATATGACTATAGAAGTTATTCAACTTGAAAACAGATAGTCTAACTTGAATATTATGTTTCGATAAAACTAGTCAAAGCGGATTCTAACATCCAAATGCTTTTGCTGTGTTTAAGATTGACCTTGAAGGATGGATAAAGAAGAAACAAATGAATTTCAAATTTCATTAATTCATAGAGTTTCTTGGATAAATCTGGTTTTTTAACAGTGAGTTATTAATAATATTGAATGCAGTATGACTTACCGAACCAGATGAACCGCTTTTAGATGATGAAGAATATTCTTGACAAAGTGGGGCATAAATGTTGTAACCATCTATATCACCAGGCTCATTATACCCCTTTTCCATGAAGTCATAGCATTGTTTTGGATCCTTTCCATTAAATAAATGGCAATAGGTGTGGATTCCTTCGTTGGTTTCATCTGAGTTTAAAGCATGCGTCGATAAATAGTCAAATTGGCCCAAAAAACCAGTAGGATCATCAATCCACCCATTCCCAACCTGAATGTTTTATCATCACTCATCCCCAAAGTTAGGAGAAAATTGTTACAGAAGTAAACAAAGGTACAGACAGAAAGTCTACATATTTAGATATTGAACATACCGCAATGCCTTTAAGATTAATCAGTGTTTGATTTGAGGTTTTGCTGTTGAGAAGAATGCTGTGAGCAAGCTGAGTCACATAGTGACCAGCGTAACTCTCTCTGGTTACTTAAAAGTCCCGGGATTTGTATTGTGGGAACCTCTCAAGCCAGTTTACTAGGAATGTGTAGTCATCTTCTGCAGTACTCTTGTCACCTGTACGGCCATAATCTGAGGTTGTATTCGAATAGGAAAAGCCTACTCCAGCTGGGGATTCCAAGAAGATCACATTCGCCACTGGCAAGCTCAATCAAAGTAGTAAGAATACATGGTTAATTTCATAATAAGTAGAGGAAGAACAGATTAGCTACAAGTGACAAGTCAAGTTTGCTGACCATTGTTCCATGCATAATTGTTCCGGTAAAGTGTTTTGCCATCGCTATTTACTCTGAAAGGTCCTAATTCCGTCATAGCTCCAGTTAATGAAGAACATCCTGGTCCTGAGATTGCCAGAAATTAAACCAAAGTGCCAAGATGAGAATGACAGGTAGGGGCCAAAAGCCTAAAACTATGCATCATATTGGTTGATACACACCTCCATTGAGCCATAAAACCAAAGGATTTGTAGAAGACTTCTCTGGGGACTCAGCAAAATAGTAGAAAAGTGCTCTGCCTGCCTGAGAATCAACAGTCACATATCCTGAGTATTGGTTAAAATCCACAGCATTAGGTTGTCCAGGCAATGCACCAATCTTATCAGTCACCATAGAGCCATCTTGAGGCTGGATGTAATTGGGAGAATACCCTGTTTTTTTATGGAACCATCCCACAGAATGTGATGGAGATGGTTTTTGTGACAATCTGGATTTGAGAAAGCTACTAAGGGTTTCAGCCTGATTGGCTTCGCCACAAGTGAGAAGCCCCAAAAGGCACATGCAGAGCAGCATCCACACAAGTTTCATGTTTTCTTGCCTACTAATTTGCTATTATCTGTGAAATGCCAAGGAAATTTATAGTTCTATATAATACTTTAGAGGGCGTCAAGATTGAGGCAACTAGATTTTTTTTTTTTTTTGTGATTGGGGCTTTCAAAGAAAAATGGACGATAGTTCCTTGTCCTCTCATTTTATGCAATTTTTAACAAAAACTTTCGACCAAACCAGCTGTTTTTCGTCTACTATATATACACATAGTAATACTCTGTAATATTGGATTGTTTTGGTTTCTTTACTTTCAAAGAAAAATGGTTCATCATTCTCATGCTTGGATTTATTGAATAGGATATCGATTCCCCGAGTAAAAATGAAAGGGAGACAGCTATTGATCAGCAAAATAGAACAATCATATAGGAATTGTCTCAAAATTAGTGAACCATCTATTTGGACGTTTTGAAATTTCTAAAACCAAGTTGTCTTTGTCATTATTTCAATTGGTAAATCCAACAGTACAAGTTCCTAAGAATTTCCCAGCCAGAGATCAAAGATGGAATGGAAGAGGCAGTTCTTGGTAGTGAAAGATTTGTCAAGAATGAATTCTCATGAATATAGAAATAACAAGAACATGAGCTTGATAAAACAGCAGGGATATAATGCCAAACTTGGCCTGTTTTCTCTTTAATCAAATAACCTAGAAATATGCAGAATAAAGAAAGAGTATTAGGAAACAACTATAGATTAATTGTTGCATTCTTTTGCACATCATTTTCACCAATGATGCAATCGTTACTCGAATTGCCTTGAAAATATTTTCTCAAGAACTAAATAATTTGAAATTTATTTGCAAATGAATTGGTAGTAATTAATTATTCCCTCTCTTATAAGGATGAGCACTAATAGGTTGGAACCCATATAAGCGATAAAAGCTGATTATTTTGATTCAATTTATTTGATTTTGATATCAATCGATTAAGAAAATAGATTTATTTGATTAGTTTGATCGGTTAATGGTGTTCAAAATTATAGCCTAATAAATCAAATTAACCGACCCTAATAATTTATTAATAAATACTATTTTTTATATATAATATCAATACAATATATTTTAAAACCATGTATATACTATAATTTATTTTATATAATATAATATATAATATAAATATAAAATAACTTTTATATAATAATTATTTTTTGAATAGTTAAAATCAATCAAACCTATCAACTTAAGTCAGTTTAAATTATTTTGATTAGTCACTTTAATTTGATTTAATGTGATTAATTATTTTAAGTGAGATTAATTTAATGCCCTCTACTCCTTTGTTCTATATATAATGTACAGTTTTTCTAGTCAATCTTTAAAAAAAAAAAATTGACCACTTATCATTTTCAATTTAATTCCTTTGAGTCTCAACATTGATGTAAATGGATGAATGGGCTATTTCATCTCCTTCTATCTCTAATGTGTAAAAATTAAATTCCAATTATCTATCCTTCCTCAAAATAGAGGATTTGATTAAACAAAACAATAGCACAGCTGAATACAAGAATTAGAAAAAGTATCTCCAGCTGTGTCTCTATTTTCTTGTTGGGATTTTCAAATGCTACGGGTCAATCATGGTGTGGAAGGAGGGAGAGTCCCTTGAAGAAATGATGAGATCAAGGTCAGTGCACGTTCAGGCTGGTAGCTTGGGACCAGATGCCCTGCTCCTCTAACTGTAGCTAATTTCAATCCTTCATACTCCACCACATATCCCCCAACCTGCATTAATAATATCACATTAACTCTGAATGAAACTGTATATTTGAGTGAGTGCTGCAGGGCAAATGAGGGCGGCTCAACTTTCTTATAATCAAAATTTTTTCCCCTTCCTACCTCTCTGTTGGTATACCATGCATGCCATGCAGCCTTGATAGGAAGCTTCAGAGTGTTCAAGGAATACCTAGTGGCAGCAACCGGCACACGTCCATCGGTGTCGCCACTGCAATTGCAATCACAATTTCAGGTGTAATTACTGTAGTACTTGATAAAGTAAAGTTTTCGCTTAATTTCCCTTCATCGACTGATCAGTTCAATTACGATGAAATTAAAAACTTGCCTGTATACCCAGACGCTCACTCCACTGGCCATGATAATCTTGATAATAGGTAGAGTGGTAACTGGGCGATCTGTCCATGCATAATCTCTGCAAAGTCATACATAATGACCAGATCTATATGTTTAGTTAATCTAGATGATTAAAGCTATATATATATATATAATATTCAAGGATTAATGGAATAAAACTCAAATAGCAATCATTTTCAGTACCTGCAATGGGTCCATATAATCTGATTTGCGTGGAGGGCCATTTGCACCTCTTTAATGTTGAGGTAATTCTCCACGTAATAGTTCGAGCAAGGATCAAAGTCGTGCACCTAAGAAATTTTTTTTAACAAAGTAAGAGCAATTAAACTTTTCGAATTTAAAATCACTCTTTGAAATAATTGGAATTGATTTTTTTTTATATATATAAAAGATGACATGGTCTGAAAATAAGACAAAAAATTATACTTAAATATTTGATTTACGGGATATCATTTTTTAAAAGTGAATTTATGAATTAATTGATTAGAGATGATGATGAATTAAGAAATTTTGTTTTTGTGTTGGATATATATATATATATACTTAGAATAAAGAAAAAATATTAGAGCATTTCCAAAAACTCTCCTCTCTCCTTGTGATTTCTTTGTCTTTTATGTTATGTTTGCATCACTGATCTAATAGTTAGTTACACTATAAGAAATTAAACTGGTTACCAAAAGAACCACGAAGGATTGCTTAATCAGAGAGACATACTGAACCGTTTGAACTATTTTTTAAAGAAGTGTCAAGGCAAATTGGGGCGTAAATGTTGTAGATATCGATATCTCCTCTCTCATCCAGGGACTGACGGATGAAATCCGAGCATTTTTCTGAAAAAAAATCCTTGGCAAAGTCGCAGTACTTGTGGATTCCTTTGTACGTTTCGTCTGAGTTTATAGCATGGGTCCATAAATTATCATATATCCCCCATAAAGTTATGGACTCATGCAGCAACGCATTCCCTACCTGAAACATAAATCACCATCATCATCATTCAAAAAATGAATTAGCCTAAAATTATCTTAGGTAATGAACTAATTGATATCTAAGTGAATTGAACTTACAGCAATGCCTTTGAGGTTGATAACAGTTTGATTTGTGTTGTTGTTGTTGAGGAGAATGGTGTATGCTAGCTGAGGCACGTAGTGACCGGCATAACTCTCCCCTGCTATGAAAAAATCCCTGGTTTTATATTGAGGGAACCTCTCAAACCAGTTGACAAGAAAGGTATAGGCATCAATTGCAGTGGTCGTATCGCCAGCTTTGTCATAGTCAGAGGTTGTATTTGAATAAGAAAAGCCCACACCGGCTGGAGATTCAAGGAAGATCACATTTGCCACTGCCATCATTTATTGGAAATTAGTCCCAGCAATTTATCTAGTAGAAAAGGAAACGAGTTACGGATGATGTCAAGCTGATGCTGATCATCACGCACCATTGTTCCATGCATAGTCATTCCTGAAGAGTGTTTGGCCATCACTATTTACTCTAAATGGTCCTAACTCAGTCATGGCTCCCAACCCAAACGAGGAACATCCCGGTCCTGCAAATCCAACATTTAAGAGTTTGTAATTAAGAGTTTGTAATAACTGTCATTTGTAAGAGCTAATAATAATACCTCCATTGAGCCACATGACCAAGGGCTTAGTTGAAGAATTCTGGGGCGACTCGACAAAGTAATAGAACAACGCCCTACCAGCCTTTTGATCAACAGTCACATACCCTGAGTATTGATCAAAATCCACACCCTCAGGTTGTCCAGGTAATGCATCAATCTTGTCAGATTCCATCTTCCCATCTTGTGGCTCAATGCCGACGGAAGAGTACTCATTTAAGGCATCCAAGCCAGCCCAAGAATGTGAAACATGAGAATTTTCAGACCTCCTAGACATAAGCAACTTGAAAAGGATATCCCCTTGGCGGTCAGCTTCACCAAGGCTAAGATACCCCAATAGGCAAAAAGAAAAGAGCAGCCATGCAAACAGGGCTAGTTTCTCCATTTTTGCTGCCATGCATGCACCTGTTGGCTTGACTTGAGCTTGTTTAGCAAAGGATATAAAATTATAAATAGCAAAAAGGGCGGGAGAACTAAGGCGGTGGTTTGGCTTTCGGACTTTGGAGTGGTCGTGTTTGTACAAGAACCAAATGGACACATCAAAGAAATCCAGCCGGTTAATTGAATTCTCTTGGAAATTGCATTTAACATATTTAGAAAATTGTCCTCTCTCATTGTCCGTGTATATGTAGAATTTTAATTTGTTACGATCATCTTACAGGGGGAAACTATACCCTGGTCTGTTTGAATAACTTTTTTCGTATTTAAAAGAAAAAAAAGTACTCATTAAAATCAAACCCTTTGTTTTTTTTATAAAAAAAAAGGAATAAATAAAATCAGATTTAATTGGATTTGGTAGTGTGTGTTCAATAGAAATAGTAATGGTCAGGGTGAGACGGATTTTTATTGGTCTCAATCTCGACTTTATACTTATAATATTTGAATATGATAAAATTTTTTTATTTTGACATTTGAATTTGGCCGGATAATGTATAAAATAATATTCGATTTGACTCAACACAAAATTAATAAAATATTATTTTTTATGTAAATATAAAAATAAATAAATAATATATATAATTAAATAAATGATTAAAAAATAATGCAATATATATATATTATATTACAACATACAAGATTATATTATCAAAATTACTTATGTGGATGCCTAAGTTGATAATCTCTTTAATGACACATAACATAATATTTATATTATTTTATTTATCAAATAAAATTTTTAATAAATTATTTAAATTAAATATTTTGGATAATTATTTAAATTGAAATTGATATCTATCTACGATTAAAATTTTTGCATAAGATTTGAATTCAAATAAATTAAATCATAATTTATCTTTTTTTTTTTAAATTTAATGACAGTTTCAAATATATATACTTAATAAAATTTTATTTTCTGTCAAACAATTATATTTAATATATATTTTAAATTTAATATTTTTAGATAATTATTGAAATTCAAATTAAAATCTATTAAAAATTAAAAATTATTTAATAGATTATTTAAATTTAATACTTTTAGATGAGTTAATAAATTATTGACTAAAAAGCACATATTTTAAAGTAATAAAAACTTATATCTTTATATGAGAATATGAGATATTTGAATATTGATAAAAAAGTTAGATAAAAATATGTTTTTACTTTGAAAACAAATATAATGTTTTATTTATGTTCTACTTCAAATATTTTTATATTATATATTTGGTTAATTTATTTAGTTTTCTTTAGTCCATAACTTTTTTTTTTTATTTTGTTTAGATTGATTATAATTAATTTTTTGAATTATATATTTTTTGTTTTATTCATTTATTCAATATTTTTATTCTCTGTTAATTTATTAACATATTTATTTTTATTATTGTATATATTCAATCTTGACAAATTAATATGTAAATTTACATTCTCTTTTTCCTTTTGCTATACTTTTTATTATTGAGTTTTTTTTTATCTATAATGGATGATATGAAAAGAATGATTATCACTATCATATTTAACTCACAAAAAATGTTATCAATTATGTTAAAAAAATTAAAAATAAAAAAATATTTCAAAAATTTTTTTTTAATCATAACATAAAGAATTATTGATTCTCTTTTATCTAAAAAATAACTTTATTTTGTTGACATATATAGAAATAATTGTTAGCCCAATACATTTGTGTAATAATTACTTAAAATATGTAAAAAAATAAGAATTAATAAAAATAAAATGTTTATAACAAAATTAATAATTGTGATTTGTTGATCAATCAAATATATAAATATACATACACCACCTAATTAACATTACGATAAAAATAATTATTAATTTTAACTATTTAAATATTGATTCTTGATTTTTTATCAAACAAGAAAAAATCAGTAGCAAAATTTTTAGTATTTAACAAATAAATTGAAGAAATTATTTTTCAATGAAAAAAAGGATTTTTATAATTATTGAAAATTTACAAAAGTTTAGATTTTTTTAAGATGAACAGTATCATTTATAATATATTATGTATAAATTATCATTTAATTATAACTTAGCATTTTATAAATATATGATTATATATTAGATAAATAATTAAAAAATAAATTTAAAATTACGAAAAATTTAATAAAAAATGCGATACATTGTATAAGTTAAAAAAATTGATTTTATATATATTGGATCGAGATGAGATAGATTTATCTAAAATTTAATCCAATTTTTTTTATTTTATCTAATTTGATCTGATCCAAAATTTATTTTTTTTTCAAAAAAATAACCTTTTGAAAACTGGTTGAATCGAACTGAAAACCGTTGAAAACAAATTGAGCTCAACGTTAATTTCTTGCTGCAAAATTACAGAAACGACATCCTTTTTCTCTTCTTTGAATGTCTTTTTCTTCGCTCTATCTTCATCCTTTCGGGGGTGGATTTCTTTCTACGTAGTAAAAATTACTATCACAATCACATAATTTTCGATATGTATCAAAATAATACATTATCAGAAAAATTATTAAACAAACAAACAAATCAACATAAATTTAAACGTAGTAAACCCACATATAAAATAAAGAATTATATATATACAATTAGAATTTTAATAATATATAACTAGAATTATATAAAGGATAGTATGAGTCTCAATAGATTTCAATGAAAGTAGGATATCAAATTAATTTTTAATAACAAATACTTATTTTACAAAGAATATTCTAAGAGTAAAATACGATAAGTGATTATAAATATTGAAATTTAAATTTCAAACATATTAAATTTATTTTTTAAAAATGGTTGCATAAATTAAATGAATTATATTTCAAATTTATAATACATAATCTTTTGACTTAGCAAATTAATTGATAATAAAAATTAAGAATAAGAGTATGCAACAATTCAGAATAATTTAAAATTATCTTAATTTGACATGAAAGAGAGGCTTTTATAAGAATTTCAATGGATTAAAACTTTCACTTTACCTACTTACCAACAACAATTCATAAATGCTTATTATCGATCGGGGAAAAAAGGTAATATGTTACAATCTTGAAATTTAATTTTTTATTTTTTTTTGCTATGAGCAATTTGTAATTGAATTTTAACACTAATAATTCTAGCTTTAGTATAATATTGCCACAAGAGTAGATTCGATAATTTAAAATATGACATGATAATACGATATAAAAATTATATAAATAAATAATACAGAGATAATACGATTTAAAATTTTTAAAAAAATTATAAATAAATTTAATAAAATAAAAAATATATTTTATATTTTCATATCGATACAAATCATGACATGTAATTTTCATATAAAATATAATTAAATATAATATTTTATATGATATAATAATATAAATGATCAAACCTAATAATATAAATTATCAAACCTAAATCAAAGCGACAATGAAGATGACAATAAGCAATTGCTTGCTTACCAAACCCAAAATGATTATAAAATAAAAAAAAAATTAAGCATAGTTGTTTGGTCATGATCATGTTTGTTTAGATATTCATTCCCCTAAAAATCTATGATGACTCACATTCAACTCAAACTCAAAAGTTAAGCAAGAATGGACCATTTGTAGCCAGAATGAAACATGATCATATCATTATTAAAAAAAATATGATTATATATATATTTTCTTTTTAAGTGACAAAAATTTTACTTTGATCGGATGAACATCATAATATAATCATAATCATAAATTTTTAATTTTATAATAAATGAAAATCATTTAAAATATTTCATTGAACAAATTTTTTTAATAAAAATTTAACTGATAAAATTAAATTTACAATGATAATTTCTAAACTTAAACATACAAAACAAATATCGTAAACATAAATAAAAAAAAAATAACATCGTAAACGCTGAAAAAAGAACACATTTTTAACATGCTGTATCATAAGCTTAAAAACCATCTCAAAGATCTTTGAAGAAAAAAAAAATCATTTTTTATCTATGCTTCTCGCCCTAGCTTGACTGCCCAACGGTTGAGTAGGCTGTGAAATTTTGCGGGATTAGCTTTCCTTGGATCTTGAATTGTGATTCAACCGCCATTTTTGGCCGAAAACAACCTTTTTTTTTTTTTTTTATCAAATCAAATTATAAAAAGTTAAAAAAAATAGTGGTAAGTGAGAGGATAATAATAAAGGCCTACAAAAGAAGCGGAGGGAGAGCAGAATGGAAAGGTGATGTGTAAATGAGCCAAGTCTCTCTTCGCTCTCTTGCGCCGTTCTCTTCTCTTTCTCTTGCCCAAAAGCTCTCTTTACCTTCTCCCTTGTTTGGCTCTCTCCCTCTTTCCTTCTCCACAAACTCTCCTCCCTCCTTTCTCCGCTTCTCTCTCCGATCTTTGTCTCTCAGGTAATCTCGTTTCTTTCTTTGTTTTTGTTTTTTTTTTTATTATTGTATTTATGTTTCTGTTTAGAAACGAAAGCCGAAAAGGAAAAAAAATTGAGCTTTTGGTGATACAGTTAAGCGAAATTGAAACCTGTTTTGAAATTCCTTACTTTTAGGATCTAAAAAATGTTTATAATTTGATCCAAACACTGCCGACTTTCTTTTTATTTCCTTTTCTGAGTAACCAAACAGACTAACAAGTCAGTTCTTTTCCTATTTCGTTTCTATGTATTTTCTCTACTGATTTTGGATTTTTTTCCTGTCTCCTGTAATGTGGAGTATATAATTTTTCAAGTTTATGAGGTCTTATGGGTATATTATTTTACTTATTTAAATATGTAATTCAAGTTTGTTGGATTCGAATTTTCTCCCGTCCAAAATTGTACCTTTTAAAAAATTCTTAATTTTTAACTAGTTATGCTTCAATATGAATTTAATACTTTAAATATAGTTTTAAATTACTCCTTTCGATAACAAAAGGAAATACTTTGTTTGATTTTACTTGCAAAGATCTTGGCTTTTGGTTGAATCTGAATTTGATATCATAATACAACTCTATATTCTGAAACAGAGCAATGGCATCCCACATTGTTGGCTACCCTCGGATGGGACCAAAGAGGGAGTTAAAGTTTGCATTGGAATCTTTCTGGGATGGTAAAAGCAGTGCCGAGGAGTTGCAGAAGGTGGCGGCAGATCTTAGGTTATCCATCTGGAAACAAATGGCTGAGGCCGGAATTAAGTATATTCCTAGCAACACATTTTCATACTATGATCAGGTGTTGGACAACACGGCAATGCTTGGTGCGGTCCCTCCTAGATACGGTTGGAATGGTGGTGAGATTGGTTTCGATGTTTATTTCTCGATGGCTAGGGGTAATGCCTCTGTGCCTGCTATGGAAATGACCAAGTGGTTTGACACCAACTAGTAAGTGGCAGATCCTTTGTATAGAGTACTTTTCGCAAATTTTGTCTTATTTCTCTCAACATTAATGATATTTATCATTTTGAAGTCACTACATTGTCCCGGAATTGGGACCAGATGTTAAGTTCTCCTATGCATCTCACAAGGCTGTGGATGAATACAAGGAGGCCAAAGCTGTGAGTTTGCTACATTCTCATCCTTTCCTTTTTTGTCTCTTTTAGCTTTTTTCTTAGTAAAATTTTTTTAAGTCAACAGGGAAGTTCTGATTTTCATTTTTGTTTTGTTATTTTAGTTCATTATCCCTAAGCTATCAAATTTGTATCTTTTTGTGCTTCTTTGGGAAGAGTGACACCCTTAAAATTTGAAAGAATTGCCACATTATTTCTTTTTAAGAAATGCTTAGGCATGTATAATTTTCATGAGATTCATTTGACTATAAAAATAATGCAGAAGGGACTCTTCTTTTCTGTGGCAAATTTTTTTTTCTCTAATTTTTTTGTTTGGAGGCTCGATGGAGTAAGAATATGTAAACAAGTCCCATAGAATAAGCCGGGAAGATGTAGAATTAGCTAAAACCGAATTTTACATATATCATAATGAAATTGACACCCATTGATCCAGATTTCATGGGTTTACTTTTATGGTACCAGCTTTGCAGATGAAAGTTGTGATTTAAGAGGAATATTTATTTTAGCCCTATCACATGGCTTCCAAGTCAGAAAATGATTGCTTGTCATTTAGAATGTCCTCTTAGGAGTATTTTACTTGGGCAAATTGTTCATTTATTGTAAAAAGATGTTTTAAGGTTCTTTTTTCACTTTATTGATGGTGATGGAAAAATAAATTCTCTACCTAATTGTGTTTGTGGAGATGATAATTTTTATCTCATTTTTGTGGTGCAGCTCGGAATTGACACTGTCCCTGTTCTTATAGGCCCTGTGTCTTACTTGTTGCTATCAAAACCAGCAAAGGGTGTGGATAAATCCTTCTCTCTTCTTTCACTAATTGACAAGATCCTGCCAATTTACAAGTAAGGCACTAAGCTGTTTGCTTGACCTTGGTGAATCTGCAGATTATGGGGCCAAGCTATTCTGAAATCAGCGCAGGCATATTGTCTTAAGTGCTTACTAATAGTTGTTACTTGACAGGGAAGTTCTTTCTGAACTAAAAGCAGCTGGTGTAACATGGATTCAGTTTGATGAGCCCACCCTTGTGTTGGATCTTGAGTCGCACCAACTGCAAGCATTTACTCATGCCTACTCAGAACTAGAGTCATCTTTATCTGGCTTGAATGTTCTTATTGAAACTTACTTTGCTGATGTTCCTGTTGAGACATACAAAATACTTACTTCATTAAATGGTGTAGCTGGCTTTGGATTTGATTTAGTTCGTGGAACAAAAACACTTGACTTGATAAAGAGTGGATTTCCCTCTGATAAGTACTTGTTTGCTGGATTGGTTGATGGACGAAACATTTGGGCTAATGATCTTGCTTCTTCGCTTTGTACCTTACAGGCTCTTGAGGGTATTGTTGGCAAAGGTATTTAGACATAACTACATTCATTTCCACTTGGAATTTGAGTACATAATTTACTGAAAGTTAAGAACAATATTTGTTTTGTTCTCCTACAGACAAAGTTATAGTCTCTACATCATGCTCTCTTCTCCACACTGCCGTGGACCTTGTGAATGAAACTAAGTTAGACAATCAGCTCAAGTCCTGGCTTGCATTTGCAGCACAAAAAATAGTTGAAGTAAATGCCTTGGCCAAGGCATTTGTCGGACAAAAGGACGAGGTATATCTTTCTTACTAATTTTGGTGGGTTAATGCTAAAGATTATACACTGTTGCAAGTTTTAAGTGGTGTTGATCAACAACTATAGAACTTTATAGAAGATATATTTTTAGCCATGTATGAGTTTTCCACTTGTTTTACATTCCAGATGCTTGAATTACATCCCACAACCTCCTTCGCTGTAAAACAGCAAGCTTGCATCTTTCTTTACCTTTCTTCTTTTCTTGGTTATCAATCTAGTGGGCAGAGAAATGATGTTGCACTAAAACTTTGAAATATGTAGTTTATGATCTAAGTATTCATTGTGGTGCAGTCAGTTGAAATGCTCAGGCATCTTATTGTTTTGTCTTTTATGCAGGCATTTTTTGCTTCCAATGCTATGGCTCATGCTTCAAGAAAATCCTCTCCTAGAGTGACAAATGAAGCTGTGCAGAAGGCTGTATGTAGTTTTCAGAGAACAGTTGCTGTCATTCATTTTCGAAATGTCTAATGTGACCTTGTGTTTACTTGCATTGGTTTTTTCTTGCTTAGGCTGCTGCCTTGAGGGATTCTGAGCATCGCCGTGCGACAAATGTAAGTGCTAGACTGGATGCTCAGCAGAAGAAGTTGAACCTACCAATCCTTCCTACCACCACTATTGGATCTTTCCCTCAAACCATGGACCTTAGAAGAGTGCGTAGAGAGTACAAGGCTAAGAAGTGAGATACTTGCTCTTTTTTATGTTGTTATTCAAATCTTTATTTTTGTTGCATAATAAACCAGTTTTTCCCATATATTTGTAGGATCTCTGAAAATGATTATGTCACTGCCATCAAGGAGGAAATTAACAAAGTTGTCAAGCTCCAGGAAGAGCTTGACATTGATGTTTTGGTGCATGGAGAGCCAGAGGTAAGTTTTTTTTTATCATGATTAGTATGGTTAGGGATGCCTAAACTTCTCATGGGAATAAAGATCTTAATTTCTCATTGTCTTTTGCAAATGTACTTTTTCAATGTAGAGAAATGACATGGTTGAGTACTTTGGAGAGCAATTATCTGGTTTTGCCTTTACTGTGAATGGGTGGGTCCAGTCATATGGATCCCGTTGTGTCAAGCCTCCTATTATTTATGGTGATGTGAGCCGCCCCAAGGCTATGACTGTCTTTTGGTCTTCAACAGCTCAGAGTATGACTAAACGACCTATGAAAGGAATGCTGACTGGACCTGTTACGATTCTGAACTGGTCCTTTGTGAGAAACGACCAGCCAAGGTGAGTAATGCAAAACTGTTATAATGCAAAGTTAGATATTTTCCATTCTTTTAACTCCATATTGTTTCCTTTTTTAGGCATGAAACCTGCTACCAGATTGCCTTGGCCATTAAGGATGAGGTTCAAGATCTTGAGAAGGCTAGCATTACTGTTATCCAGATTGATGAGGCTGCTTTAAGAGAGGGTTTGCCTCTTAGGAAATCTGAGCAATCTTTCTATCTGGAATGGGCTGTTCACTCCTTCCGGATTACTAATTGTGATGTCAAAGACACTACTCAGGTTTCTAATTCCTAACCCCTTTTTAGTATGGCGTCAACAAAACTACTTGGTTTCTCAAACCTACAGCAATTTTATATATCAATAGTCTTTTAAAACATGTCAGATGCATGCATTTGAAGGGTAAGAACAATAAAATTCAGCAATGGTTGATGCTTCTAAAACAGTGAAAATTCTAAGAAATCAAAGAAAAGAATCTTTCTCTTTTCTTTTGAAAAAGGAAAATGCTTTGAAATGACACAAATTTGTACAACCTTATTAGCATTTGTTAATAGGATTCAATATGGAATGTTTCTGTATAAAATTGAATGCACTTATACTAAAAGCTTGGATTTGTTTTCTGAACATGATGTTGCAAATATATTGGACAGATTCACACTCACATGTGTTACTCAAACTTCAATGACATCATTCACTCAATTATAAACATGGATGCTGATGTGATCACCATTGAGAACTCGAGATCAGATGAAAAGCTTCTATCGGTCTTCCGTGATGGTGTCAAATATGGAGCCGGAATTGGTCCTGGTGTGTATGACATTCATTCTCCTAGGATCCCATCTACCGAAGAAGTTGCTGACCGGATCAACAAGATGCTTGCAGTCCTTGAGAGCAATATTCTGTGGGTCAATCCTGATTGCGGTCTCAAGACACGCAAATACTCTGAAGTCCAGCCTGCTCTTACCAACATGGTTGCAGCTGCCAAGCTCATCCGTACCCGGTTGGCAAGTGCTAAGTGAGTTTACGAGATGCCATGAGATTATCTCGCAAGCTTTTAGAATGGAAAAGATCTGCCAGAGCTTGAATAATGTTTCTGCTTTCTGTTGAAATGATTTACATTTTTTTTCTTTGCTTAGGAGTTAATTGATATGTATTCGTATCATCTTAATATATACATATCCTTTGATTTCCCCGAGGCATGAAGCAGAATCGCCATTATTCTCTAAAAGTTGTATCGTATTTTACATGTGTTTATAAAAAAAAAAAAAAGGTTAAAGTAACTTCATGATCATTCGTAGTTAATCCTTTCTCTTGAGCATCAATCTTCAATGGAATGATACGGAAACCAGTTGAAGTCCGCCCATAATATTCAGCTGAACAACAGGACAAAAAACTGGGAAGTTAAAAGAAGAAACAATTTATGCGAAGCATTGCTAGGCTTGAAAAACAAGGGAGTTTGATTAGCGAATTGCTTCAAGAGCATGAGAAGATCGTTGTATGCCAAGATTGGAGATTGACAGAAAGGTAAGAGGTAATGGAGTTTTTGGAATTGGAAATTCAGAAAAGCAAAATGGCAAAAGTTGTTGATGGAGGTTGAGAGCCCGCTTTGGCAATATGTTGAAAAGAAGACTAGTTTGAATTGGAAGAGATGTTTCGAAAGGACTTGCAGCAAAGGTGAAGAAACTTCAAGACTGGAATAAGAACTTGGCCCAAAGACAATAGGCTTGCAAATTCTCTTTATTATTATTTTTTTAAAAAGAGAGAATACTAAGCTCAATTGGCAAATACTATCACTGGATGAGTGGTTATCGTTAATATTTAAATTAGTACAATTTTATAGTCATACTTTTATTTTTTAAACGAATTTTAAAATAATTAAAAACTATTTTAAAATTCAAAAAATAATTTTACAAATATATTGCAATAAAAAAAATTTGTAGAGTTAAAATCTGAAAAAAATTTTAATTTTATTTATTTTCTTTCCTTGAAATGCTTACAACATAATATGTTGAATTTATTATAGGCTAGGGACTAAGGATGATAGAGATGAAATAGAAGAAGTAGGAAGGCAGGCAGAGCAGCCCTTTGATTTGAATAGTAAAAAACTTAGAGGAAAACACAATCACGAATCTTTCGTCTCTTACGACGTTTCTGTCCACCATTTGCTTTCTTTTCCTTTGCCTTTTTGCTCCTCTTGGTATCCATTGCCAACTCCCTCCTTCTGTCAAAATTCAAATCAACGCTTTCCACTCTTATTAGTCATATTAGGCTTTCTTTCTTTCTTTCTTTCTTTTTTTTTTTCTTTTCTTTTAATAGTCAAAAAACAATCAATCAATTTAAAAAGTCTCCACTAACCCCAAAAATAAAAGAAAAATGCAACATGTTAATATCCTCTCTCCCACCAGACATACCAAATTGGTAAACCTAGATTACCTCGTCCTTTTTACTATTTATTACTTCTAGCGAAAGGAAAAAGGAAAGCTTTTTACTATTTATTACTTCAAGCGAAAAGAAAAAGGAAAGCTTGGGGAATTAAATACCATGGCGAAGAATCGAATAACACTAATAGCAATTGATGAAAGTGGATTCGACATCGGGCAACAGGAGCCAATTTTTGGAATAGTAGGTGACCTCACCACTCTTTACTTTGTATGAAGGCAGGCCTTTAATTGTACAATTCCAAATGAACCCAAAGATTTTGTCAACACCACACTACTGTCTACTGAATTTTAATTCCATTGGTCAAAAAAAAAGAGGATTTTTCCGGATGGCATCAGATGCTTTTCCATCGGGACAATACTGGTCCAATTACAACTTATAAACTAACACCTATATATATTCCCATCTAATGGGGAAAATATTCTGAATCATAAGCATCCAGCATGAAGAATATTATATATATATATATATGAAATCTTATAATTTTGCAAAAAATTTCTTCGGCTTTACCCTAACTCCATGAAAATTGTTTTCCTAGCAAGAACCATTTTTCTTTGACAGAAAAACAACATCCGTAGCATCTTTCAAGCAGCCGAGTCCACAGCACCCACCATATATGATTGACCGGAAAATACTTGCTATCAATCTTAAGAGACTTGACTCATTTTCTCTATTTAGGAGCACCAAACCATTTTTGTTTCTTTTGCAAGAGATTTCCTCGTTCTAATACAGCAGAAAGCCATCAATCTTTCGGGTTTTTTTTTTCCTTGTTCTCATCTTCGTCGGAATGAGTAAAACCTTAAATGTAGGCGCCTTTGTTTTGGTGACACTAATGAGCATTCTTTTATTTCGTTCAAAATTTTTTAACCATGGCTCTGTCAAAACAAACAGCTTTACCACCCTAGTTTAAAGTAGTAGAGGTAAACGACAGATATCCCTTGAAATTTTTCCTCGAAAGTGGGAAAGAGAAGATCAACCCAAACTTAGAACTTTGAAAAATACGAGAAACAAACAAAAACTGAAACTTTGACAACCAGGTTTGTCCCATATTATATACTTGGGCCAAACAATATCACACAACAAAAAATTGTAAGCTCAACCATTTTTGTTTTTTATGAGATAACGAGCAGTACTGAAAATCGATTAGACAGCCATAGAAAATAAAGATACACCGAAATTTTGAAATATGGTAAAAATTTAGTCACCCATAAGTAATAACAAGGAATCTTGCAAATTGTTCTAGGTTCATGGAACCAAGAATAGAAAGAAACACCAAATGTAAGGGATAGACACTAAAAACCCAGGCTACTGAACAAAAAACAGAGCAAACAAGTAGGATACTAAGGTCCAGTCCACAAAACAATGCAAACAAGAAACAGACAACCACCCAGCAGATGCTAGTAACATAAAAACATAGATGTCCTATTGATAAATATAAAAATCTTAGCAAACTTATCTGCCCTGTTCCTTTTTTTCCCATTTTTGGATCTTGGTTATGGTTGGAGAGGTCCTTACTTGGCCATCATGACTTTAACGAACTCCTCATAGTTGATCTGCCCATCACCGTCAACATCGGCTTCACGGATCATCTCATCAACTTCCTCGTCTGTAAGCTTCTCACCAAGATTTGTCATTACATGGCGAAGCTCAGCAGCAGATATGAATCCATTCTGGTCCTTGTCAAACACCCTGAATGCCTCTTTAAGTTCCTCCTCAGAGTCAGTATCCTTCATCTTCCTTGCCATGAGGTTGAGGAATTCAGGAAAATCAATGGTCCCATTACCATCAGCATCAACTTCATTAATCATATCTTGGAGTTCTGCCTCAGTAGGGTTCTGCCCAAGAGATCGCATCACAGTCCCCAGCTCCTTGGTAGTGATGCAACCTGGAGCACGGGCAAGAATAAAAGCAACAAAATAAGACTACAATATTATATTGGTTAAGAAACAATCAACATAAATAAATAAATTTGGCTAGAAAAACAAGCAGACAATTACTGTAATACCTAAAGAAGACAAAAAGGCACAATAATATTTCGAATAAAAAGATAATTGATGACTTTCAAACTTTTCTAATGCCATAAATGTCTGCCAAGATACTTCACAAAGACGAATGCATGACCAACCAAGTACTGAAGAGGACAGTGAACAACTTTTCCAAGGTGCCAAAAAATAAAGACATTGATGCTTGGGCAGCAATGTATTCAGTCTAACTTATCAAGCTACAATAATCTCGCCAATGATAAGTTTCAGAATGCATAGATATCCACAATTATAACTGATACACCAAAGATGAAATTGCACATAAAAGCTACACATTTTCCAGTCATCAACTAATTCGATATCCTTTAAGTAATAAGTACCAAACACAATGTTTTATGTTTATGATTACAGATAACAAATTGAACAATTGAATCATCCACAGCAAGTCGTGAAATCTCGTGACCTAGCAATGCCACCCACATTTCGATCGTAGATGCATAACTATCAAGCTTACTCAGTACAACCATAAAATCTGATTTTCAGGATGGAACAATGAGTCCATGAGTTTACGACTTAAGGCATCTCCAATAAAATACTAATAATAGTCCTATGTTTCAATATAGGTTGAAAATGCAGGTTCAATCAAAGTCACGTCCAAAATCTAAGAAATATTCGCTAATTAAATTAAAAATTTACACAAAGCAAATGCAACCTTCAATCACGATTAAATCACAAATAAATCAAATCAGCAAATGGCAATCCAAATCTCAAACATAAATTATGCAACAAACCACCAAATAAAATAATGATATAGGCAGGTCATGTTTGCATCTAAAAAGATCTAACCTTAACAAGTCGAATAAATGAAATCAATTAGACGACTGAGAAAGGTCAACAATAATGATAATGAAAAAAAATTAAACCGATAAAATAAGAGCCACAACAATCAAAATCAAAGAAATGAAATCAAAAAAAGAAGATCAAGCAGTTCATAAATTCATACATCGGAACCCTAGATCCGGCACATCATTCAAATCACAAAAGAAAACGATCCCAAAATCAAATACAAAAAAAATTAAGCATAAAAAAAAAAAAACGATGTTTAGATCTGCGAATCTCAGCTGAATCGAACGAAGAATTACTAAAACATAATTAAAAATGAAAAACATTAAGAACAAAAAAGAGAGAAGTTAGAGAAGGGACCATCGCCATCCTTGTCAAAGAGGCTAAAAGCCTCCTTGAACTCAGAGATCTGGTCGTCGGTAAGCTGATCGGCCATATTTTTCTTCTTATCTTCAGATTTTCTTTTCTGAAAAAGGTGCTTGGGGAAAGTCTACAAAGTAATCGATAGGGGTGTGCAAGGTTGAATGTGAAAAATATAAAAGGGGCATAGCAGGGCAATATAAATGGCCCAATGTTCGGCCCAACACAAATTAAGGCATCTGATTCTCCCTAATCCGCACGCATTTGCTCCTTTTTTTTTTTTTTTTTTCCTTTCTTTCTTTTTTTGAATTTTATTTATTGAAAATATATTTTCCTTTATCTGCCTTAAATATTTTTCCTTTTGCTGCCATGAGAAGCCCTATTTATTTGATTTTTAAGTTTTCAATTATTGAGTTTTGAAAAAGAATTATGGAATAAAATAGAATTTCAATTAATTACATATTATAAATATAGTAATTTTTTTTATAAAACCTCTCAATAATCTTTAAAATTATTTATTTCTAAATTATTAAATTTTTTGAGTGACTAGGCTTAAAAGTAATTTTCTTCAACTATAATTTGTAGTTTCCTTCTATGTCTTAATTTGATACTTAATAAATAATAATATATGGTTTGAAAATACCAATGAAAGTTAATTCTAATAAGGTAGTATCAGTTAAAGGTGCATATCCATTGGTATTTCTAAAAGGAGAATTGTGGTCTGGTGTAGTTAGGAGATTATTCCGCGTAGTCGGTTATTGACTTATAGTCTATTGGCCACAAAATCCACAATTACAAGAGTTGAAATCTCTAACAAACGTACTTGAAAAAGGAAGAAATGCAAAAGAAAGTTTCTAGAGACACCGAGAGAGATCAATAATAGAATATATGAGATAAAGGAGAAAATTCTATGTGTTTTTTTTTTAATTTTTTTTAAGGTTGTAGCTAGGGCAAATTTATACTTTGAAATAAAATGTTTATAGACATTTCAAAAATAAAAAATAAAAAAATTCATAAATATCTTCAAAGAAGGGACGCAAATTAGAATGAAAATCCAAGTTTTAACATTTGAATTTGAAACTCAAATTTATTATATATTATTTTTTGAAGATTACATAAATCAATTTTAACAAAATTTTAAGAGAAAAAATTCACTTAAATTAATATAATTTTTACATTTTTTATCATTGTATCAAAATTATTAAATTTAAAATATTATTTTAATTTAAATGAATCATAAATTTAATCTTATTTCATAGATAAAAAAAATATAAAAATTACACACTAAAATAAATGAATCCTTACTTTCTTTTTTTAATTCTTAATTTGCCATTTACCTTCATATTTCTATTTATTTAATTCACATGAGCTAAATCCTGTTGAAACTGCAGGCTGTAACATGGTAAAAAAAACTTGTAAATCCAGAATAAATCCCAAAGCTTCCACACCTACCCTTTCACATGATTGGACAAATTTACTTGACATTGCGTGGAAGCACCAAAAATAGAGTAAAAAGAAAAAAGGAAATATGGGACAGTTCAACCGTCACGCGGGAAGCATTTCCATTTCCATTTCCATTTCCTCTGCCACTGTTTCACTTCCTCTTTATTAAAACTTGCTCTTGAAAAAACCCCATTCTTCACAATCTCTTCATTTTCTATTCCTCTCTCTGCAAAACTCTGGAAAAGAAAAAAAAAAAAAAGAATAGAAATGTACAAATCGAAGTTGCAGGAGCTGTGCCAGCAAAGGCAATGGGCATTGCCAAGGTATTCCTCTATGAAAGATGGCCCTGACCATAACCCTTCTTTCAAAGCGTCTGTTTTTTTAAACGGCACGTCGTTTCACTCCTCTGCCTCATGCAAATCCTGTAAAGAAGCCCAAAACGACGCCGCTAAGTCCGCTTTCCTTCACTTCGGTTTTTCTTCTTCTTCCCCTGCTGCTACCCCAAATCCTGCTCAAGAGGTAACATTATATTCCTCCCATTTCACTGCCTGGATTAAAAAAATGGGTATTTTCTTTATGCTATTGTTTCATTTTAATTTCTTTTACAGGTTGATTTGGGATTTTACAAGAATCTATTGCAAGAGTTAACTCAGAGAGAAGGATTGAGTACACCAGAGTATCTGACAACGAAATGTGGTGTGCCTCACAGGCCAACATTTTTTTCTAGTGTGGAAGTGGAAGGAGAGGCTTTTTATGGGAAAGGAGGGAAGTCCAAGAAGGAAGCTGAGATTAACGCTGCTAAAGTTGCTTACACCAATCTAATTGAGTGTAAGTCGATTGTTTTTTTAATTAATTTTTATTCCTTTATTTTTACTAGTATTATGGTACCAAACTACCCATGTTATCAATTTCCTTAATTTAATGTTCTTTTGAGACGCCAACAATAGAATGGTCTATTAGTTTGGATTCTTAATTTTAGCTGTAAGTTCAGTCCTTGATAATTAATTTTATGGAGTACCAAAAGAATGTTCACTTGAGACCAAAATTTTTAGTATGGTATCTGACCTTAATATGATTGGTCCCTGACAAGGGTTTAATTTGAATACCAGGTAGAAGTAAAAAATTAGTTCCTTTCTGAAAAAAAAAATGTTTTTCCTGTTTCAGGTTTACAGGTTAGGAGCTCTAAGTTATGCTCAACTAAAAACTTGGCAGGTGAGCCTCTTAAATCTATGTCTAAATCAGACTCGGCTACGACTATGGAAAATGAACATGCTGAAGAAAATAAATATGGCACCTTCTATTAATTTCTTTTATTCATAGTTAGCTCGGGCTCATACTTAATCCATCTTTTGCCTGGTAGATGAAGTGCAAGAAATGAAAGCAGGAGAGAAGGTGTTGGCCAATTCTACAACCAGTCCTGACAACTCTGCTTCTTGCTCTAAATCTGTGCCTGTCTCACCTAAAGAAGGCTCGTTATCTTCTAAAAATGTTATTAATGGCATTTAATCATTAATGTTCTTTTGAGATCAAACTTTCGTGGTACCTAACCTTAACATATTAGGTCCCTGACAAGGCTTTAATGTAAGTACCGGGTAGAGGCTAAGAAATTAGTTGATACTTTCTTTCTGTCTTCAACAAATCATTTTTTCTGTTTCAGGCTTACAAGGTGAACCTCTCAAATCCATGTCTAGCTCAGACTTGCCTACTGCCGTAGAAAATGAAGAAAATGCAGAAGAAATTAAATCTGGTACCTTACTCCAATGTTCTATGCCATTGATGTCTCTCGGTTATCCGTAGTTAGCTAGAATTTGTTCATTTGAGAACATTTGTCTGTTAATCATGGCTTCTTTTGCCCGGTAGATGGGGTGCAAGAAGTGAAAGCGGGAGGAAAAGTACCAGCCAAATATGCCTCAACCAGTTCTGACGACTCAGCTTCTTGCTCTAAAGCTGTGCCTGTCTCACTCAAAGAAGGCTCATTGTCTTCTACATCAACACATCTTGACATTTCAGCTCTCTCAATTTCAGACTCAAATAAGAAGGATTCAGGATTGAGAAGTTATTTACTTAACAACAGGTTTAGAGTCTATCCATGCTTTCCTGACATTGCATTTCCAAAAGGTATCACTGTACTGCCTATCAGTGAGGACAAATGGGTGGCTGTGAGCTTGGAATTCCCAAATGAAAAAGATGATTGATCCATCTGTTGGAGGTGCTTGTTAGTATGATCATTTAAGTGACTTTTTATATCTGTTCTTTAGTAAATGTAAAAAGGAACTCCATCTTTTTATCCTGTTGGAATGGTATTGTGTTAAAAAGGGCTTTGATGAAGATCATTTTACTTTAATATTCCTGAAACTTTAGCGTTTATTTGGCCCAGCTTGTGAAAAGAATTTATCTAATGTAAAGGTAGAAGTGGGTTTTCAGAATTTTAAAAATTTTAATTTATGCGAAAAGCATATTTGAGTTTTTAGGTAAAGTTATAACTTAAAACTTTTTCAACAATTGTCAATTTTAATAATAAGTTTTTAATGAAATTTTTTTATATTTTTACTCTACCCTTTAATAATTCACAAAATTATAAGGAGAATTATATTATTTCAAATTATTTTTTATTTTATTCATTTTTTATTAAATTTTTTTATTTTTATTATAATTAGAAAAAATATTTTTTTATTTTATTTATTTTTCACTTAAAAATTTATAACTTAAGTTAATAAAGTTGATTATTTTAATTTTTTTATTTATTAAAAGTATACAAAAATATTACCAAATAATTTTTCTATATTAAATTCATGCTATATTAGTTTCTCTAATCACGTCGTTTTTCTATGGTGGCTGTTATAGGTATCTTTAGATTTAGAAATTGAATTGATTTTTTTTTCTCCTTAGAGATTACCAACAAATAATTAAAAATATTTTTAATTTTTAAATCGACTTATCGTATATAATAATACAATATCAACTGCGTTACATTACTGTTTTACTCTACAAATCCTCGTTTTTCGTTTATAAATAAAGCGATTAAGAGAATATTTATCTATTCTAACTATTTTTCTTTATTTTTTATTTTATTCTCTTCTCCTTTTGATCTTTCATAGTCTGATTTCTTACATGTGCGTCGGAAGACGTGCAGGAAATACCCCTACTTTTATTCTTAACCGCTCTCTTCTTCTCTTGTGGTTTCAAGATCCGACCATTAGCTCGGCACAAACAGTGACCTCCGGGAGGCTTCTTGAACAGCCTGTTCCGGACCGGACCATCATTTTGTTTCTGTGGCACATCTGCAGGCCTTCGAGGTTGTGGATCAGGCTCTGAGACTTTAGAACTTCCTCAGATGGTTTTGCTTCTTCCCGTTTCTCGGCCAGAGTGAGAGGTTTGGGTGGACTTTAAGTTTACCATTCATGATTTTTGCACTGATTTTACTTTGGTCCCAACTTGATGGAATTGGAATTTCCTGGCGGAAACGGCTGAATTTGTCGCAATCAATTTGACGTTCTCCAGATATCTACAAGTTCCCCCCTGGGGAGTAGTCTGAGTTGTTCCCTTATAAAGCCTGTTGGATCATTAGACTATCGATCATAATTTTGTTTTCCTATCCATATATCTTATTAGCAGCCTTTTCTTTCTCCTTCGGTTTTATCTTTTCAGTTTTTGTCGATAGTATACCTTCAGGGTGATTATGTGAGTTTCTTGGTGTTGATTTTATACACAGAAGCAAAAGAATTTGATAATTGATAGGAATTTTCCTGGAAATGATTATCAACTATAAAATAAGTTCATTTAATGGTTTGAACAAGTTGAAATCTGGCCTGTAAATAAAGTTTACTCAAAAGCTTAAACTTTTAACATTTATAAAATTATAAAAACCTTATTAGTATTAAATTTTTTTATTTTCTTTTGAGCTAAATCAAGGAAAAAAAAAACTCCTCTAGATTAAATTTTTAGTTATGTATGCTGTATAACTATTTTTTAACATCTTTCGAAGATACAATTTTTTTCTGCTTCCGGCATAAAGGTAGGAAAAGAAGGAAAAGTTAGAACGGTCATTAAGAAATCAGAGGCAGATTCTTTTAGCCAAATCAACTAGAAATTTGAACTTGTCAAGCTCTTAATGTATTACTCTTATGGATTCTCAAATACAAGTGATGTTTGTAGCTTAGAAATTACATTCAGGACGAACTTCCCACAAGCTTAGTTCTCGTAATTCCCAGGAGACCTGATCACATTTCTAATATAAACTGCAAGTACCACAAACAATAAAACAGCCAAAACCAAGTTAATAAGTTTTCTTGGATTCCTTAGCCCCGTGGTCAAACCGTCAAGAACTTGCTTACATTTTAGCCAAACCATGTTAATCACTAGCTGGTATTTATCAGTGCCATCGAGTTTTTTAGTCTCTATATATTCTTTTTCTGCAGCATCCTGGACAGAATCTCCAAGCTTTTCAAGTTGTTCAGTAGTTGAAGTCTTTTCCCTTTGATCCCAACCTTTTTTCTCCTCCTCCATAGGCTTGTCAGATTCATTAGCAGCATTGCTTGTATCTTTCATTTCCTTTCCTTTATCTGGTTCTTTTTGTGAAACATTGTCAGCCTCCTTTGCTACCCCATCTGTCTTCTCAGCTGTTTGTTTTTCCATGATGGTCTTCGGAGGAACTTCTTGAACAGCCTTTTCTGGACCACTATTTTGTTTCTGTGGCACATCTGCAGGCCTTTGAGGAATTGGAGCAACTGGCTTTTGATCAGACTTGGGAACTTCAGCAGATGGTTTTGCTTGTTCCTGCTTCTCATCAGTCGCGATGGTCAATTTGGGGTGTTTAACATTGAGCATACCACCCCTGAAATTAGCTCTGATTCTATCACGGTCACAATTTGATGGAATAAGAATTTCCTTGGAGAAACGGCCGAATTTGTTGCCTTCAAGTGGACGTTCTCCAGATATCCTCAACTTCCCGTCTGTGGTTACTTGAACTTTGAGTTGCTCCTTGCTAAAGCCTGTTGAATGAATGAATGAATCATTTTTTGTTTTTCAAATTTGTTAATGCATGCATCAACTAAACCCATTGCTTTATGCAAAAATATTACATATCAAAATCAATAAAACTAAAGAAATCATAAAACTTTGGCCAAGAACAGACCTGGTAGATATGCAATCAAAGTGTCATCTGCAGCCTCGTGAACCCATTCAGTGTGAACCTCAAGATCTTCATAAACAGGATTTGGCTTCGAATCCATATTTTACTACTAGCCTTTTGTTTCTCTCCTTTGTTTTATATCTTTTGATCAAAACCTTGCGGATGAATATAAGAGTTCCTGGTTTGTTGGTATTATATACACATAAGTTTCCTGCTTTCTTCATATATTATTATTCTTTTTTCTCTTGCTTTTCTTTACTGCTTTTTTGCTAAGGTTTTCTCACATGCTTTGGCATCGAATTAATACTCACCCTCACGCAAAGGCAAACAGGCAAACAGGCAAACAGCAGGTTCTTTGCTGCTTCAAAAAGGTCTACTTTTATTTTATTTGAGTCATTAAAAATAGAAAAGAAAGGAAAGAAGATATGTTAACAAAGAAAGCACAGGGAAAGAATTGGAAGAGAAACTGCTAGACTTATTTGGATTAGAGGTTTTCGCAAGCCGATTTTGAACAATTTTAAAGTCATGTATATCTTGCGAAAGCTCGCTCATGCTCAAAGTTTGAATGGAATTGAGTTCAGCTTAAACTTTAGTTTAAAAAGTAGCATAAGCTTCATGCCTCATTTAAAAAATAGCATGGCCTTGTGAGATTATATATGCTTGTGGTTTAATTTTTTAGCATGCTTGCTTTGAGTTTGTTTTTTATATGCAACAGTGATATTTTTAACTTTACAATTAAGGTTATAATATTATAATATATTTTATTTTTAAAATTTTTTTAATATATATAAGAGGTATATATATCACTATGCTAAAAATTTCACAATAAAAAAAAATTCTTTTGGATAAAGAAAGAAAATAGTTGTTGCAATTAAGTGACAATCACAAATAATAAATGATTCATTGTAAAAGCTCATTTATTTCATGTAATTTTGTTTGGGAATGGGAATCACTGTGTGTATTTGTGGAATTAATTCATAAGTATATTTTAAATTACTATATTTAATTGCAACAAATAAAAAACTTAAAAAATTTTTAAATTAAAATTTTTTGAAGTTTTTTATGAATTAAATTTTTTTATTTGAAGACCCAAAAATCAAAGATGGGGCCCAAATATTTAGCATTGATAGTCAGCCCAGGCCTGACAAGGCATTAGTTTTTGAAAGTGTAGAGACTACTACGTGGCTTCCATTTATTGGTTGAACCTAGAGAAGCCGCATCTACGGTGCCGTTTTTCCAAATTTCAAGCATTTGGCCTGTGAGAACGAATAAATCTGGAGGCCTGCAAATTGACAAATCCATTTTGAGAAAAAAAAAAAAGGAAGTAAAGAGTTCAGAGTTGGCCGTTGGGAGAGTAGCAGTAACTCGGTGAGTCAATATATGATATAGAAATCGAAAAATGGCGGTGGAAACGAAATTTGCAGCGTTGTTTGAGAAGCTAAAGGTGGAAGATCCATGGCTCCCTCCTCGAACCTGGGAATCCATTCCTTCTCAAAGTGGTCCTACTCCTTTTCCCGCCTTTCAACCTCCCATTTCCTCTTCTTCATCTGTTTCCGTAAGCCTAATTCTCTCTCTCTCTCTTTATATATATATATATTTATTATGAGCAAATTTTTAGTTGTAATTTTGCTGTGTATATTTCATACATTTTGGGTTTCGTCGACAATCATGTGACTCAATTGCCTAAGTAAGCTCTTATGTTGATTTTTTTTCTGGAATTCTTTTAATTTTATTGCCTTTTTAAATTTTTCATTCGGCTTACTCTTTACTAGGAAGCAAACAACAACTAGCAAAAGGCAAGTAGCAAAAAGAATAATCTAATGCTTATTGTTTTGGATCAAGATTCTAATTCTCTGATTGCTTTTATAATTTGAATGAGCATACTGTGTCGGATTGTTTTAGTGGAAACAATTATTTGTAACTTGAACATGCAGTATGTGTACAAAGAACTAAGAAAAATGGAAATTTAACTGAAATAAACTATGCTGCGATTTGTGGTTATGGAATGTGCAGACTATGAATTTTTTGTTCCTTTAGGATGATCGCGTCTGCTGTAACCAAATTGTTCCTTATCAGCAAATATGATTTTAGAAGGTACATTTGATTCATTTGAAGAATGTGTAGTCTTTGAGACTATAATGATGGATGCTGGTTTGCGGTGGTTCTACTTACAAATATGATTAACCTTATGCATTACTTTTAAATTAAAGTCTTGAATTTTGTTTCTTTATAATAATCAGAGTGACATTTTTTTCACAGGAGGCAAGTTTGGTGAGGTTGGCATTGAATGCACTTCATGGTGTAGAATCATCTCTTGTTAGTATAGAAAAGCTTTCTGCTGCCTTTTGTTCTGATCCTGCTGATAGGACTTTCCATCAAACACCTAGTCTTTGGAACCGGTCTTTGAGCACTCATGCTCTGGGGAAGATTCTCAAATTGATAGGCTGCTGGGGTTTCTTAGTTTTCCTTCTGCATAAGTTTGTAGATTATTTCATGAATTTGAATCTCAATGGAAATTTATATTCGTTAGGAAAGGGCTGGGAAATTTCTCAAGCAGCAGACAATCAAAATCATGCCGGCCACAAAGTGCAAGAGGAAGAGGGTCCTCAATGCAGCCTTGTTAATCAAGCATTCTCTGTTGCTGTAGGAAAGGTTTTGGAAGGGTACATTTGTGCATTGGACACATTATATGCATCAGTAAATTTAAGACATTCGTCAAAGAGTATTGAAGTCTCTCCTTGTGTGTCTTCTGGCTGTCTCACAAGTGTAGTTTACTCTGAAATTACGCTATTAGAGGTATACCTGCACACAAAGGAATTGAGGACCCAGATTGAAGCTCTTGGGAATATATGTAACCTGCATAATTTAGCTCATTGCTTCTCAGAATCTTCTTTAGAGGAACTAACTTATAAAGCAACTACGCGATTTCATAACTTTTTCAGGGGAGGTGATCTGCTTAGTTACTTGTATACACAGCTAAAGGTTAGTTTAATTGATTGTTGTATTGTTGATGATTTTACTTAGAAAAGTCATTTCAGTCAATTTTATTCTTTATATAGGTCAAGCCTCATGGTATGATACTCTTTACCATGGTTGGTCGCAGCCCAATGTTAATTTTCAAACTCTTTTATTAGCTAAAGCTGATAGTGAATAAACTTTTTTTTTTTTTGTTGCTATCTAAAAGGGCCCATGTTGTGGTTGGATGCTGTTGGACACAATGAAAATTTTCTGCTATGAGCTCTAGAGACTAGAGACGCTGTATATGGTGCTTTATTGATTGACAATCAGAAGTCTTGGTTGCTTCAATTTATTTGAACATCCTTTCTTTTTTAAAGATACAAGTTTATTAAGAACCAAAACATCCTATTACTAAGAAGTACTTGTTTAACCCTTGTGGTTCCGCTAATTGACATTACTAAGAAGTACTTGTTTAACCCTTGTGGTTCTGCTAATTGACATTCTTTTAGCCAATTCTTCTTGCAGGTTGCTGATCCTACTCACTGTGCTTTACTCAAGTTTCTCTTTCTTCGGTCATGTGAACCGTATTGTGAGTTTATAAGGTCATGGATATTTAAAGCTGAGATTAACGATCCTTATAAGGAGTTTGTAGTAGAATACAGTGACACATTACAACATTGTTCCTTTGGGAAAGCTGGCATCTCAATTGACTTTCCAATGGCAAGTATTACGGTAATAAATTTTGATGTGGTTTAATTCATTATGTTCAAATATTTCACATTTTTTCTGTCAATTCTGGTCCTCTCAACTGTGACTATTTGTGTCAGGAGCGGGATGGAGCTGCTGTTCCATGTTTTCTGAAGGATGCTTTGATTCCGCTTGTCAGGGCTGGTCAGCAGCTTCAAGTTCTAATGAAATTGCTTGAATTGCGTAAATGTGTTGACCCTGGAGACCATACTTATTCAGATTTTCTTCCTTGCTGGAGTGGTTTTGCTGGCAGTAATCCGTTTTATGCTTCTTCAATCACTTTTGGCAAAGAAAATATAGAAACCTTGGTTCTCATGAGGAATGGTTACTATGAGAGGATGCAGGAGAAACTTGAAAACTTACTGACAGGGTTGGAATTCAGTTATCAACAGGTATCATGGTTTTGTTGCAGATATCTGTTTGATGTTGCTTTCTTATGCTGTGCTATTTAAAATTAGATGATAAGAAAACATGCAACTATAACTTGGGTTTGTTTAGTGTGCTCTTCTTTTTTTTTTTTTTAACCATGATTCACCTACTCTTATTTCCAGTTGTAACAATCTATATTATGCTGCTGACTGTCTAGGCCATTGTTCTAGCTCTCATAAAATATATAACCCTTTGGTCTTAACTAATCCTCAAGAATTTAATGCTCTATTCATTTTTTATTTTTGTGAAATACTTGTATCTCATTATACCAGCTCATATGCTATCTTAATAATTCATATTTCAGGTTGGCTACTAACCATGAATATCGTGATTGTTATAAATTTTGCATGTTAACATTTTATTGAGTGAAACATAGGTACTGCATTAGCTTCTTGTCAATAGGCTGTCTAGACAATAACTCTTCTCACACGTGAATGTGAACTGATTGATAATTACTCTAATAACCATGATGTTTCTTGTGACCAAAAGATGTATTTGCAACTTAATACCCCATTAGTTCATTCATGAAATTTCTGGGTGGTAGTGGGGTACACTATGCATCAGATAACTGAATGGCTAAAGGGAATTAAATGTGACAAGAGGGTGTGCTTAGCGAATACAACCCACCTAGTACCATCTCTTTATCAAAAGTTGACTTAACCAGAATATTTTATCCCAACTGGAAATAAAAAATTGTAAATTTATACTGTGCTTGCTCATTTAGCAACTTCATAGGCGGTTATAGCATGCACCAATAATTACTTGGGTTATTTACTGATCTTACGAAGGATATGGTCCTAAATAGAGCACAATAGCATCATTGAACCATTTATTGGGAAGAAAGGTTAGTGTTTATTGCCATTGTTCCAGGCAAACTTTTTTATTTGTATGTTAGGAACTTAAAACAACTCTGCTAATTGAGCATAGAGATTCCTAAGTTTCTTCTGTTCTTCTGACTCCCATATTGGACATAGGAGTAAATTATTTCTGGAATTTTTGGACTATGATAGGGTAAATCATGTGAATCATCCTTTATACCCAGGAACCTTTTTCTTTTCTGCACTTTTTTACCTTTACTCTCAATGATAAGAGCTCAAGTTGCAACACGTTAGAGAGGCCTTATTGACAATTGTTATGCTTTTTGAAATGCTGTTTTACATAGTTCTTTCTGTGCCTTACCCAAATGTTCATTGTCCAGGTCATTTCGCATTGTGCTGAACCTCTTTGCTTTGGCAATAGTGGTGGCACTCTAAATATTGCGGCTTCACTCACAGTGGACGACAAATTGGTTGTTAATTCAACAGAACGAAGTTGCTTAAATGTGTAATCTCTCTCACTCTGTGCATGTCTATAAATATCTTTTTTATTTATTTTATTTATTTTGTTTCTTATGTCTAGGTTAAATAATTGAAGGCTGTTCTTGCCCATGCAATGATACTTTTTCCCAAAGACTCAATAAGACCAGTGATGTAAGACAGCATGTAGGCTACGGGTTCCATAACACCTCTATAATTTATTATGTAGCAGGAAAAAAATTCTATTCCATAGGATTGATTAGGTGAGAGAGCATTTAGTCTTTGATTGTGTGAAAAAATTTTCAATTGCCTTAAAGAATTTTATTATTTTGTAGTGAAAAGGTTTAATCTTTATAGTGATTGAGTGGCTAACGTTCAAAGGTTTCCTATCTGGAATTTTAGGAATCGAGTGTTTGGAACCTAACATCTGGGGCTATTTGGGGTATAAGGTAGAAAAATAATAAGAAAAGTTAGGACCCAAAATATGGTTTAGGGGTATAACCATGAGCATAACTTAGGAAAACTTGGTTGGAAGTTATTTTGTCCTGGTATTGTGGGTATTGCAAAAGGTGCCCATATTGTCTCGTTGATTTTAGTCAAGGTGTGCAATGGGATTGTGTGGATGTTTTTAAGGGAAAAAAAATTAGGACCCGTTGCAGCTTTTAAGTGCATTTGAAAGCATAAATTCTCAGAAGATTAAAGACATTGGTTCTACCTAGGGGCTAGGGATAGAGCTCCTTGGTGCAATCTCAAAAGAGCATAACTAGAATAGAAAGCTTTCAATAATCTCTTTCCTATGAAAACTTGACATCCAATTTGGGAAACTGCCAAAGTATTTGAAAAATCTCCAAGATGAAAACATAAGTCCAATATCATGAGCCCGTATAAGACTCATTGTCATATACTACTGCCTAATACCCATCTTGTATTGCATCCAGAAGATTTTGTCAAAATGGCCATAACTCCTAAAGTCCAAGAGAACCTGAATTAAATAGTTTTTTTTTTTTTTATTGCACATTATTATGACAAAAGTAATCTTCTCCACCTGATAAAGTATTTAAACCACATCATATGGGAACAATGATTCTTTTGTTCCATGATATTTCCTCTTTACTTTTGGTTACTTAGTTTTTGTCTGTAATTTAGTGGATTTGATGGTGAAGTCCTTGTTACAACTTACAACTATTGAACAACCATGCAAGCTAGATATGATTTGAATAACATCAGGAAAGTATACAATATATTCAGGCATTTTAAGATTAGGGGAGCCTGACGTTGACTCCAGGCATTGTTCACTTGGATTGTTATATACCCCATCATGTGTTTCAGCTCCAAATCTTTTCTCATCATCAACACTTCCTTTGCATATGCTTTTAAACTATGCAGGCTAGATATGATTTGAATAACATCAGGGAAGTATACAATATATTCTGGCATGTTAAGATTAGGGGAGCCTGACGTTAACTCCAGGCATTGTTCACTATGATTGTCATATACCCTGTCACGTGTTTCAGGTCCAAATCTTTTCTCGTCATCAACACTTCCTTTGCGTATGCTTTTAATGTTTGATAGTTGCTGATTTCTTTGAATTTCAGGTCTCTTGACAATAATGATTTTGATGACTCTAGTACAAAAGATGGGTCCTCTCATGAAGTTGACATCTTTGAGCCATTTGAGTGTTCATCAACGAGTAGTTTTGAAGAACAAACTGAGTCTGAGCAGTTGATTGAACACTCTAATAATATTGTTTGGCCTAAACAAAATTATTTCTCTTCCGTAAGCTTCTCCATCAGTACCCCAATCGGTAATTCATTGCAACAAGCTTTGCAGAATGAAAAGTCTTGCCACATGGAAAGCAATTTGCAAGAATTTTCAGAAAGAACAGGTGGCCATGGCAATTTTGTAGGTTCTGAACCCAATGGGACAATAAATGACCACATATCTGCGCACCTTGAGCCAAACTGGTTGTGTACAGAAGCTGAATGTGCAAATATTTTACCTTGCAAAGGCTGGCCCGTTGACAGTGCGAGGAATAATGCTTTTTACATTGCAGGTGACTACAGAGATGATAAAAGGTTACGTCTATCTGACTCTGGCATAGAGAAGAGAAAAGGTACTGCACAATTCTTTGATAAATTTGTGCAACATTTTAATGAATCAATTGCTAGCAACAATACTTCAACGGTGGATGCCTTAAAGGAGGATCAACTTGAAAAGGACTCTACTTCACGGTTATTTCAATTGCAACATTTCAACCTTACTTATGATGGCAGCCTTCTCAGCAAAAACCCAATGTTGACAAAAAATGCTTTTTCCCGGCTGATGAGCAAATCTAGTGACTCAAGCAGCATAGACTACCAACAAAATTTACCTTGCTTTGATTTTTCTTCAGTGGATGACCCTTTTAAGGTTTATGTCAAAAGACTAACTGCTGGATTTACACATGAATTTTCTGGGAATACCAATTCTTCTGTGGCAAATGGTACGAGTAATCAGGATGATAAACAAGCCTACGGGGGAGATTTTCTCTTGGTTGACAATGCAAAAGGTTCTTATGCTGCTCCACTTTTGGAGTTAAAGAACCAAAAACAGGAAGTCATTTCAACAACTGTTTCTGGTGGAAGGTATTGGGAGAGTTTGCTTGGTAGTTCTAGAACCCCTAATAGTAATGGGGTTGGAGATGTCAAGCTGAATACATCTTCAACATTTGAGATACCCCTTGATTTTGTTATTGACAAATGCCTACTGCAGGAAATCTTGCTTCAGTATCCTTACTCATATGCCACCAGATGTGGAGGAAATATAACCATATTGTGTTTTGACTTTTCATTATTCTAATAATTCTTTCCTTATGTTGCTTTATTGGTGCTTGGTATCAGGGCGAAACCTGAAGTTCATTTATATGAAGTGACATATTTCTTTATGCTGCATTTATCATTGTCTTTGGTACTTGATTTCAGATGATTAATTGATTATAGATCTCTTTGTAGTGATATGTGCTAGCAAAAGTAAGCTGTCTATATAATATCCAAAGCCACAGACAAATTGGTTATATACTTTTGAGGTTATAAATATATGCAATTTTAAATTTTAGATTGCATTTATCATGGAAAATGGAAACCTTGCCTCCTTCCCCCCACCCCCCCCCCCAAAAAAAAAAAAAAAAAAAAGGAAAAGAGCTTTACTTTGTGTCAAAGTCCTATCTTAAGATGTCAGTTGTAGATTAACTCTAAGTGCTTCCTATTCATATTTCTATCTGATCAAAATTTTTATGTTGGATTATGCTTTTTCTTAATTATGTAAGATATAACTATGTCAGCAAGTTAACAATTAAGTTGCTTGAAGAAGGATTCGATTTGCAAGAACATTTGCTAGCACTGCGGCGATACCATTTCATGGAATTGGCAGACTGGGCAGATTTGTTTATTGTGTCCCTTTCACATCATGTATGTCCGTCTGTCTAATAGTCACTTAAATGCTTTATTATTTGAATATTGTATGATTTTTTTCAGCAAAAAGAAATGAATATTGATTACTTACAACAATCATTTCCTTTTACATGGAATGAATAGAAATGGTGTGTTACAGAGGTGGATCGGAGACTCTCTGAAATTCAAGGACTTCTTGAGTTGTCAGTTCAGAGGTCATCTTGTGAAAGAGACCATCATAAAGATAGGTTATTTGTGTATGCAAAAGGGCATGGCATGATGCCTCTTTCAACTTCTACAATTGGTACAATTTTATCATTATTGCAAGTCTTCTCTTTCATTTCTCGAAGATCAGCATTCTCAGATCATATTCCTTTCCTTTTCTTCCCCTTTCAAACTCCACCTTGGAAGAATTCATTTGGTTTATTTATCATCCTAATTCCGCTGGCTGTTAACAATGGCAGGTGTCCATTCCTTCGAATTTTTAGGTCTGGGATACCGAGTGGATTGGCCTGTCAGCATTATTTTGACTCCTGGTGCATTGAAAATATATGCTGATATATTCAATTTTCTGATACAACTGAAGCTTGCTGTTTTTTCATTGACTGACGTATGGTGCTCATTAAAGGTATAAGAGACATGAATAGTAAGATACAACATTCACACTTGCATATGATGCATGCAAACATATATGACATTTGGTAAAAATTTCCTTTTTCCCTCAAAAGTCAAACCAAGTTAGTGCTTAATTTTTTAAGTCAAACCCAGTTGTATTCATTCTTGTTTTAAATATAAATATGTAAATAAATAAATAAATAAATAAATATATATATATATTACTAATTGATAGTTCCCCGTTTAGACTTATCTTGATTCAAGTTTTGGTAAATTACCCAATATTAATCTATCTGCATATAGTTCTCAATGCTAAAACTGAAAATGAATGACTAAAGAATTTAATCTTAAGTTCCAAATTATGGTATGCAGTCCATATTTCCTCTCATCCACACTGTTCTCAGAAAATTAAATTTGCACTCATAATCTTTATGTTGTACTTTCTGGGAGTTATTTGCAACATGAATTAGATACTTGGGTTCTGGCAATCATGGAAATTCAAATGTAGTCACTCTTGATAAGGTACTTAAATGTTCATACAGGATGTAGTTCACTTGATCAGTAAAACATGTCATTCTACACTACATGAACGTGAAGTGGGCCATTTTAACATGTTAATGAAGTTGAGGTATAGTCACTACTTCTACCCTTTAGCACACACACACACACACATATATGTATTTGTATTTTTGTCCCTATTAACTCAAAGTGAAAGCATCTCACACTTATTGCCCTGTCTGCTTATGCAATTGTTTGGAGCACCATTTCATGTATACTTGGTAATATTGCTGGTTTGGAGGTTTAAAAAAATATAATGTGTTCCAAAGTTTTAGAGTTTCAAAGATTTCATTTGGTGCTGACAGTTTTTTGGCTAATTTTTGGTTTGACAATAAGCACTGAGCACCTTTGCCTTGGGTATTTAGCATGCACCAAGTGTGCAGCTACTGTTTTATTTCATCCTCCTCCTTTGACTACAGACAAGCATGGGTGAGTGGGGAGGATTGTCTGAAAGCTTTAGTTTAGGAAATGGGAATTTCAAAAATGGTATTCCAATCTTCAAAATATTTGTTAAAAATAATGTGAAGGTTCTTTAGGTGCGAGTGACCTTTTTTTTTTTTTTTCTCTTTTTTATCCCTTTTTTCCACAAAATTTGCTGCTAAATTCAAAATCTACAATTTAGTTTCTTAAGGAACTCAGACCCTTTCTTTATGCATAGACTATTGGGATGTACGGTGAAGTACCTAATGGTTCTCTAGAGAGTAGAAATTTGGCCTAAAAAAGGTGGGGAGCGACTGCAGACAAGCATGGGTGGATGGGGAGGATTGTGTGAAAGCTTTAGTTTAAGAAATGGGAATGTCATAATGGTGTTTCCATCTTCAGATTATTTGTTAAAAATAATGTGAAGGTTCTTTAGGTGTGAGTGACCTTTTTTTTTTCTCTTTTTTAATCCCTTTTTCCCTCAAAATTTTGGTGCTAAAGATAAAATCTACATATTAATTTCTTAAGGAACTCCGACACTTTCTTCTTGCATAGACTATTGGGATGGACAGTGAAGTATCTAATGGTTTTGTAGGTAGTAGAAAATTGGCCTAAAAAGGGGAAAATGAATTAAAATATTCTGCTTTTTGATGGTTATATCTAATAATGTACTCTATGGTATCTTACTGTCAAACTCTTGTCATGTGTGTCGTTGGGCCAAAAAAGCATGAAAAAGAAACCATTGTATAAAAGGTATCTGACTTTCTTTTTTTGAGTTGTAGATAGTTTTAGCGTTGAGGTTCACGAAGAATTAACTTCTTTTTTTTGTTTCTCTTTCTATGCCAGACATCAGGTCAATCATTTTGTATCTACATTACAGCAATATGTACAGTCACAACTATCACATGTATCGTGGTGCAAGTTTCTTGACTCCTTTAAGCACAAGGTTTAGGAAAATTCTTTTTCACATTGTGTGTTTATTTCTTATGCCAATCGTGGTTCAGTTTGCTATAGTCGTTTTTGTGCATTGCCTGCCTGAAGCCAAGTCTTTCACTTTTCTGTTTGGGTCAGAATTTCTTCGAGGGCCTTCTTTTTACTGACTTTACTGAGATTTGGTTTTAAATACATCATAGCAGAAAAAATATAATCAATATAGCCGACCCCATGCAATGGAAAAGGCATGGATTGTTTTTATTGTTTGGTAACCAACTAATTTTATTCCACCCCAGCACAAAGAACAATAGTTTGCGTTAACACCTATCTCAATTGAAGAAATGTCTAATAATAAGAAAACACCATATTACATTGATTTTTATTAAGTATCCATGTACTACCTCTCAGATCCAGCCAGATTATGTTTTGAATTTTACTGACCTTTGCCTTATCATCCAAAGCCTTCTTCCTGAAGATTTTACATTTTGCATTTTTTTTTATTTCCTCTTGTACGAGTACAGAGCCTAAAAACTAATTGATGCACCATTGTACCTCTTGATCCAAGACGGAACGACCTTATGAAGTTTTCATCCTACAAAAGTGCAACATTGCTTCCTATAGTTCTTTGTAGCTGATTTGTTAAGACACAAATAGTCAAGCTATTGAATCAATGTGACGTAACACACATCATTGATTGAGAAGTTTTAATGATAGCTTCCACCTTCCAAGCATCAAGTGTTTGCAATATCTTCTTAATGTCCAACCACAACCTAAAAGCCTATTTAGGAATATGATACTTGAACCGGACGACCTTATATCTAGAAGCCTGGGCAACCTTCAATCTTATAAAGTCCCATGAATTCTTATTTCTCTGAAGTGGATAGCCCAATCAGTTTATCTGAAGTGGATATCCCAGTCAGCTTACCTCTTCCACTTGTCCAGAAACTTTGGCATTTGATTATTCTTTATTTCTTTTCCTTGTAGTTGAATGTAAATGTTTGTGCAGAAGCAAATATGAACTTAACTCAGTTCCATCTCTTATTTTCTTTATCTCGTTGTCTTTTTTAACTTGGTTGGATTCCACAACAAATTTTCAGTATTGCTTGTTCAAATTCATGCTCTTAATTTTTTTGTTTTAATTTCTATGCCTATTATTAATTTATTTTCAAATTGACTTTTTCTTATTCAATTCTAAAGGAAAAAATTCTATATACTGTCGTCATATTAGTGAGACTTGTTCATTGTTCTACAGGTCAAGGATATGATGGATATTGAGTCGGTGCATATGGCATATCTAACTGATTCACGACATATGTAAGTTATACTAACATTCTGGTTTGAAGTTTGAGTTGTCAGTTTAAGTTTACCTTTTTGTTTTTAGAGAATTAATTTCTTATATAATAGTAACCATTTTGGGTTTTCAACCAAGAAATATTTCTGGAACTTGGAACATATCTATTGTGGCTACTCCAACTACCTGTCCCTCAATTTGCTTGAGCTGCTTGCTTGAATATTAGCCATGCTTTCAAATATTAATACCTTTCTGTGGAAAAACTAAGAAATAAAACAGTGTGAAAACTGAATGTATATTGAAAAACTGCTCATTAAGAATTATACAAGCACCTTAGGTTTATATACAACTAACTAGGGGTTAAACTAGGAAACTAAATCTTCCTAAAAACTGATCCCTATAATTGAGAGATTGTTTATCCTAATATTTTGTCCTTAATTTAGAGATATAAATTCTCAAATGTATACAGATTACAATCAGCTACACAGATTATAACCAGTTGTAACTAAATGTTTTCCCAAACTCCCCCTCAAGCTGATGAATATGTGTTTTCCATTCCCAGCTTGGAAATAATTTCTTGAAATGTTGCACTGTTGAGACCTTTAGTCAACACATCTGCAAGTTGACCCTTGGTTGATACATATGGTATGCAAATCAACCCACTGTCTAGTTTCTCCTTTATAAAGTGCCGATCTACTTCAATGCGTTTTGTTCTGTCATGTTGAATAAGATTGTGTGCAATGCTTATTGCAGACTTGTTATCACAGTAAAGTCTCATTGGTCCATCCCATTTGATCTTCAAGTCTTCTAGGATAATCTTTAACCATAGTAGTTCACAAATTCCTTGAGCCATTGCTCTAAACTTTGCTTCAGCACTTGATCTTGCCACCACATTTTGTCTTTTACTCCTCCAAGTTACAAGATTACCACCTAGAAAAGTGCAGTAGCCTGAGGTAGATCTTCTATCAGTTATCGAACTTGCATAATCCACATTTGTATATGCCTGTAGTAACAATCCCGAATTTCTTTTGAACAAGATACCTCTCCCAAGATTAGCCTTCAAATAGTGTAGTACATGGTAGACAGCCTGTAGGTGCACTTTTTTAGGACTATGCATAAATTGACTTATCACACTCACAGCATATGCTATGTTAGGTCTAGTATATGAGAGATAAATAAGTCTTCCAACTAATCTCCGGTACATCTTCATATCTACAACAGCATCTTTATTAGCTTCTCCAAGTTTATGATTAGGATCTATAAGGGTACATGCAGGTTTACATGCGAGCTTCCCAGTTTTCTTCAAAAGATCCATCACATATTTCTGTTGTGAGATGAAAATACCATGTCGTGAGTGAGCTATTTCAATTCTTAGGAAGTACTTCAATCTCCCTAGCTCTTTTATCTCAAATTCTCTAGCTAACTATTTTAGAGATTCTCTCTCTTTTTCATCATCTCCGGTTACAATTATATCATCAACATATACTAACCGAATTGTGACTTTTCTTGAATCTGAGTGTTTGATAAACAGTGTGTGACCCCCTTGACTTTGTTTATATCCCATTGCTAGCATCACCTTGGCAAATCTCCTGAACTAGGCCTTAGGAGACTATTTAAGGCCATATAAAGCCTTTTTCAGCTTGCATACTTTGTTTGCTTCTAGATGACCTCCAAATCCCGGTGGAACTTTCATATGTATTTCTTCTTCCAAATCACTATGTAAAAAGGCATTATTTACATCAAATTGTTGAAGCTGCCAATTGTAATTTGTAGCCAAGGATAACAAAACCCTAATTGTATTCTTCTTGGCAACTGGAGCAAAAGGATCCTGATAATGCACTCCATAAGTTTGAGTGTGGCTCTTAGCCACCAGCCTAGCCTTATACCTTTCAATAGTAACATATGTCTTGTATTTTACAATGAAAACCCATTTACACCCAACTGGATTTTTTCTTGTAAGCAACTCTACTAGTTCCCATGTCTTATTTTTCTCTAAGGCCTCAATTTCTATTTTCATGGCCTGCCTCCAATTCTCATTGGATAATGCCTCAGATAATGTAGTTGGAATAGAAATAATGTTTAGGCTCGCAAGAAAATTTTTGTGGGATGGTGAGAATTTCTCAAATGACACAAAATTAGAGATTGGGTATAGTGGATGTTTAGTACATTCTTTGGTTCATTTCCTAATGGCAATAGGCAGATCATAATCACTAATTTTAGGAGATTCATGTTCATTTTGAGAAATAGAGTCAGAGACTGTAATTACCTCATTTTCAAAGTTAGGATCAGGATTTTGGACTGGCATTGGTTTAGGATCTAGAACTTTTCTTCTTGAGTACACCTGTAATTCCTTTATAAAATCAAGAACAATATTATCTTTTGTCACATCTTCTGTGTTTGGAATGGGTTTAGATTCAAATTCAGTATTTGACTTAGGCTCAGTAGAAACAGGTTTCGACTCAGAAGAATTAATGGGTGAAAATGTTGAAGAAGAGGATAAATCAAGCAAAAAGAAGTCTTTGGCCTTATCTTCCATGAATGAAGCCTCCCCTTGAAGATAAAGTTGAGTAAAAAATAGTTAACTTTCTTCAAAAGTGACATCTGTAGACACATAGAATTTTTTGGTTGGAGGATGATAACACTTATACCTTTTTTGAGTTGATGAATATCCCACAAAAATGCACTTAATTGCTCTAGGATCCAGCTTCCCCCTATTGTGACTGTGAACATGAACAAATGATGTACAACCATGTATCCTAGGTGTGAGGTTGTTTGTGGTATTAAAGTTGGGATATAATTGTGAGAGTAGTTCCATAGGAGTTTTCAATCCCAAAACCTTTGAAGGTAACCTATTTATAATATTTGTGGCAATGAGAACGGCCTCCCCCTAGTAGGATTTGGGTACGTTTGCTTGAAAAAGCAAAGCCCGGGTTGTGGCTAGTAAATGACTATTTTTCCTCTCTGTCACTCCATTCTGCTGTGGAGTATTAACACAAGATGACTCATGGATAATCCCTTCCTTTTGAAAATAGGTAGATAAACTCCGGTTGAAATAGTCTCTTGCATTATCAGACCTAAATCTCTTGATTTTCACTCCAAATTGATTCTGGATCATGTTTTGGAAGCTTAAAAACACACTATTCACATCTGATTTGGATTTAAGTAAAAATATCCAAGAGACCCTAGTACAATCATCTATGAAAGAAACAAACCACCTTGCACCCGAAATATTAAGAATTGTAGAGGGACCTTATATGTCACTATGAATCAAGTAAAAAGGAGTAAAACTCCTTTTATTGCTAACTGGAAAAGACACACGTCTATGCTTTGCAAGTTCACAAACATCACAATGAAAGTTTTTGGCATTTAATCCTTTGAATAAAGAAGGAAACATGTTTTTCAAAATTCCAAAAGAAGGATGTCCAAGACGAAAATGATAAAGCCATATTTTGTCTTTATTGGGAGATTTTTCAGAAAGAAATGACAAAGGTAAACTATTCTTGATATTACTTGTGTTGTTTGATGTCTCAAGATAGTATAGTCCATCATTCTCCTTAGCAAGTCCAATCCTCTTTCCTAAACTTTGGTCCTGAAATTCACAATAAAAGGGATAAAAAGTCACTTTGCAGTTCATGTCTCTGGTAAGTTTTTGTATAGATATCAGATTAATTGACAATCCAAGAACATGAAGAACATTTTTAAGAACAAATGAGGGATTAATTTGAACATCCCCTAATCCTGTCACTGTAGTAAGTGAACCATCTGCAACAACAATTTTCTTATTACTAGGACACATGGTATATGTATTAAACTTCTGTGAGGAATGCATCATATGGTCTGTGACTCCTGAGTCAATGACCCAAGAACTCGTAATAGGTTTAACCGAGACATTTAATCCATGAGAACCGGAAGTTTTACCTGAACTAGAGACCTTACCCAAGGAACATACCCCAGTAGGCTTTTCAAGGGTTTTCAATAGGCTTCTCAGTTTCTCAATCTCTTCTCTATCAAACTCTCATTATTTCTGAAACATCTGTAGTATTTCGGTGATTTTCCCAATTGACACTTCCTCAAATTGGGTGGTAGTGATATCTTTCTTTGAACTGAAACAAGTCTTAAGATATAACGACTCTTAGCAATGAAGGCTAAAGAAGGGAAAATAAAATGGCTATGAAGGTCTTAATAGCGTTCGACAATAAAGGCCTTAATAGGGTTCGGCAATGAAGGCCTAAACAGGGTTCGGCAATGAAGGCCTAAAATAGAAGTCAGTAATGAAGGTTTAAAGCTCTGATACCATGTGGAAAAACTAAGAAATAAGACAGTGTGGAAATTGAATGTATATTGAAAAACTGCTCATTAAGAATTATGCAAGCACCTTAGGTTTATATACAATTAACTAGGGGTTAAACTAGGAAACTAAATCTTCCTAAAAACTGATTCCCTATAATTAAGGGATTGTCTATCCTAATATTCTGTCCTTAATTCTAGAGATATAAATTCTCAAATATATATAGATTACAATCAGCTACACAGATTACAATCAGCTACACAGATTACAATCAGCTATACAGATTACAACCAGTTGTAACTAAATGTTTTCCCACACTTTCCCTTTATGCATTCGATGTCAAAGAATTGTTTTGCTCACATTTACTCGTATTCAATTACATTTGTTCAGTTGCCACATTTAGTTTGAACCAAAGATATAGTAGGCAGCATAATTTTTTTAGCTTGCTATTATTTTGGGCTTGCTTGTCTATGTAACGATAACGATGATTCTTCATTAACAATGCATGTATACTTCTCAGATGTTTTCTCTCTGATGAAACACGATCTATAGCCAGCATCATAGAGAATATTTTACAGTGTGCCCTAGACTTCCGGTCTTGTCTTACTGGCGGTAGATGGAATGTGGGACTTGCTGAAGGCGATTTAATGGATAAACTTTCTAGGATCAATATATCCCAGGTAACCATCAAATTTTGCCTGCTGACATTTATTTGCATGCTGTTTCAATGCTTCAAAATCTGAGCTTTTAGTTTCTTTATTGCAAGCAAGGATTGCACTATGATGGAGTTATAGTATTCTGGGAATGAACTCCTTCATAGCATAACCATTGCCTATAAGTTGCAGTCATTTAAGCGCTCTTTGTTTCTGTACCACTACTAGTAGCAATGTGAATTTTGAGGAAGAAAACTACACTGAAAATGCTAATGGACGTTACATAATTGAATTCATTAAGCATCTTTAATTTGGTGGGTTGTGCTTAGTGGTGGTTCAAATACATCCTTTTTCTGGTAAATGGAATGCATGTCAACTTCCACATTTGAAATGGGCTGATAAGTTTTGTATTTGTTTCTGTACCTTGTTTGCAATGTATTGGTAACTAGGAGCAAAACAAGGATTAAACCTTTCTTTTTATAAAGTTTTGAAGTTGAGGCATTAGATTAGATTTTTTTTTTCTTTTTAATATGACAATGCTCAAGATTGAGGAAATCAAACCTGTAAAACTAATGATGATTTCAAGGAGATAGAAAGATTAATGAATGCTCTAGAGATTATTATCATTGGCAGGTAATACAAGGCAAAAGATCCACAAGAAGAAATACCAATCATTGAACAAGTAGAAAAGTTTTACAGCAAGTGCCAATGATTTCAGTTTCTTAGATTTGTGAGGAAACATTTTAGATGGGAGAGAATACCTAATTATTGCACTAATTATATGTATTTTTTGGCAGGTTCTTGCTATAAAACAAAGTTTCAACAAAAATCTTAAAGAACTGCATCTACTCTACCTCAAATCACCTAAACATGGAGAGTTTGGGCTTTCCTGTTTCTGGGGATATCTCAACTACAATAACTATTACTCTAATGAAAATGAAATGGGCTGTTATGCTTTCTCAATCTGAAGTCCTTTCCATGAAGATTGAAATCTGGCAGTGATTTGCTTTCTTGTGTGACATAAGAGTTCATTGAACGGAGTTCAAAGTAGAAGTAAACTACATCATGGTTTGGATTTGATAAGTTGTTGGACTCTTAGCAGCAGCCAATCTGCACCATATCATATTGCTCTGCTGTGGTGGGATGTTCATGCAAGGTGAGTCATCAACTCTATTTGGTTGGCTATGGTGAAGTTGTGACATGCGATTTGAGATTTATTGTTTTCGGGTCTGTGACTGTAGTGTAAAGCCTAACATTTTTTCTCTTGGCCTGAGGGCTAAGATATGAATTTGTTTTACAAAAAGGGAAAGTTTGCAATGTGTTTCTGAGTTGCAATAATTTTTAAAATATGTAGATTAATGTAGAAACAAATTTTTATGATGTTAACTATTCTCTTTCTTTTTCTTTTTATAAATTGAGATTTTTTTTTTTTTTGGTTATAAACAAAGCGAAAATTTAAAAATAAAAAAAAATTACAAACGTTTGATATTTAAATTATAAATATTATTTTTTATAAATGATCATATGAAATTAAATTGCGAATTTTTAAATTAAGGAGAGTGGAACTCAACTTTTTGAATCTCACGATAACATATCACGACTCTTGAGTCTTCCCCATATGGTTCCGTGAAACCTTAGTCCACCATTTTTATGGGGTATGAAAAACATTACCTAAGCTAGTCAATGCATGTACTGTTTTGTTTTGTTTTATATTGGAATTTTTTTTCCGTTTGTTTATGTGATTGACATGCATGTTTTGACTTAAATGCTTAACGTTAATTTCCAAATTTCTTTAACCTATTCATAGTCTAAGCTAATGCAATTTTATTGTGTTTATACTTTATACAATAAATGTAACCGCCGATTAGAAAGAGATACGTGGCAAAATAAAGTGAGTTGGCATAAAAAATGACATGGAAATGGATTAATTAATTAAACAATTACATATGACCTATTTAACTTATAATTGGCCAATTGTTATTTTTATTTGATAGTTAATTTTTGTTACGTTTTTAATTTATCTTTAAATTTATTTATTTTACTATTTACTTTATTGAAGAAGATATTATTTATATGAATTTTTCAATTTTTTTAATTTATAATTTGAAGTGTCAAATTTAATGACATGTTAATTGATTTAAAAATTAATTGCTTTCATTTTATAGTTAATTAAATAGATTGATATTTGTGGATCATTCGACGACCTTTAGGGCCAATTCATGGATGGCATGTGGCAAATTTGATCCAAGTCAGCCACTAACATTCTACTAAGATTATTAATTGGAGATTTAATCCAAGTCAGTCGGAGAAATATTAGTTAAGCCAATGGTCGGGTGATACACGGTGGAATTACGGGAACAAAGAGGCAATTGATGAAAAATTCCCAATATTTAGCACAAAATCAGGGGAGAAGATTAAGATTTAAGTAGCGGATTATGTCCAAATAACCTCCACTATCCATTCCTCGAGTCAAAGGCAGTGAAGGAAATTGCAAAAATTTTGAAGGCAAGAGAAAGCAATATAAAGAATGGAAGCCACCATCAACAAGAACAAACAATCATCACAACTCAGCAAAATAACTAAAAAAAAATTGAGAGGGAGAGAGAATGGATTTAATTATTCTAATACTTAATGTAAAGTTATGTTAAATACATATTAATGGAAGTATTTGTAAGTCTTAATCCATATTTGAGTTTTTTTTTTTTTTTTTTATGAAAACATCACTTTGGTGAAAATTTATCATTTTTTAAATGAAATATCATTTTCAAAAAATAAAATTTTTAATTTTCAATAAGAGTATTCAAATGTCTAAGTCATTTAATATATATATAAATTAATATTTAAAAAATAAAATATACAATTTACACCGTGAATTTTTGAATAATGTATCATTTTAAGTCAAATTCTAAGATTATTAATTTAACTTGCCTATAAAATATCTATCTAGTATAATTTTGTTATATACTTATTATTTGTTCAATAAAAGTGTTAAATTTTTTGGAAAAATTTTCATGTGGATATCATGTGATAAAAAATTATTGATAGCTCTTAAATACTTTTTATGCTTTAGGTAAATTAAAAAATATTTTAATTTATATTTAAAAAATATTTTAATAATATATATAATAAACACAAAATTTGATAATATTTATCAAACGTGTATACATAATATGATATGATAAGTTTGATTAAAGTTTAAATTAATATGATACATTTTTTTTTTTTATAACCCTTGAACCTAGAAACTCAGACAGATGACATATGCATTTAGCCACTAAAAAAAGACTAGATTAATATGACATATAATTTGATTGTTCAAGATATAAAATATATATTATTTAAAAGTTTAATATATAAATTATACATTTTATTTATTTAAATATCAATTTGTATATTTTTTTTAAATTCAGTTACTGTAAGTATAATTAACTCTAAAAATAACTTTTAACTTTAAGAACCCCACGCAAGAAAATTTAATCAATCCGTTTAATTATTTGATCATTTTGTCTTTGTATTTTTCATTTAATTATGACTTGACCGTCCAATAAATTAAGTAAAATTATGTCATTAAATTTTTTTTTTCATATTATTATAAATAAATCTATAAATTTTGCGATTTGAGATAGTTATATTAGTTATAGTTTTTGCAATATATTTATAATAATATGATAATTTTTAAATGATATATAATTATTTAATTTGTAATTTTATCATATTTTATTATAATATTATGCATTAAACGCATCTTAAAAAAATATTTATATAATAGTAATAGGTAATAGTAAATTATACTAACTTTTTTTATAAAAAATTATCCTGGCACTTTGTCATCCACAGCTGGCTGCAATAATAATATTTTTTTATAAAAAAATCATAATTTAAAAATAAAATTATAAAGATTAAGATTTAAATTTAAAACTATACCTGCTCTTAAAAATATTGCATAAACCAACCATTGGAGTTAATCTCCATGTTCTTTTTCTCGGAGTCTAAACTCCATATTCCAATAACCTGTTTCCCTCTTATGGTTTTTTTTTTTTGATATAGTTAAGAATATCCTTAAGCTTCTTTAAAAGAAAACCCCAAAGCTTTGTTTGGTCGAATTTCCTCGTTAAATTATGCACTTCTCAAATTTGTAAAATGACAAAATCTCACATTTCACCACAAAGCAATAACTATGTAACAATGAATTGACCGCCACCATATAAGAACGATGAAGCCAAAAAGATTAGGCAGAGAGAAAGAGAGGGCATATTTTAATAATGGAAAAAGAGATTCCTTTGAAGTGACTGTGATTTCATTCTTTCTTGGACAAATTGTTTTGTGTTACTTTTCAAAACCTGGGAGTAGCTATCCTACTGTCGGGGTTATCAGTTAGTACTATTAGTTTCAGCTCTGAGAAAATGGGTGAGCAGACACAAATTACAACAACCAAAAAAATTGAGCAAACTTTAGTTTTTGCAGTTAATGGACAGAGGTTTGAGCTCTCTCAAGCCGACCCTTCTACTACTTTGCTTGAGTTCTTGCGTTCCCAGACTTCTTTCAAAAGTGTCAAGCTTGGTTGTGGTGAAGGTCTCTCATTCTCTTTCTATTTCTTTATGAAAGTTACTTTTTTCTTATTGGGATTAATCAATTATGATTGTTGTTTCATTTCGGATCGGCTTTCCTTAATGTTATGATGGGTTTTCTTTTATATGGATGGATGTCGGGTTCTCAAACTTACTATTGCCTATAGACTTATGTATGTTTCAATATCATTGTTGTATTTGAATTACTTTTTCTTTGATGGGTAGTTGGATTTTCTTCTTCTGAATGTAAAAAAGTGTATATTTTTGTCATGGGTTTTTCATATCTCCATTGGGTGTAATTTACCTCTCACTTTGTTGTGCACTTCCAAATTTGATGAATTTTTCACTCTTTTGAAGCACTTTGTATAAACATGTGCTTGTTTCATTTAATGGTTTGTTTAAATTTTGGTTTCCCCATACAGGGAAATTGGTGGTTTGAGTCTTAACACTGTTAGATAACAATACAAAGCAGTGAAAATTTTAAAATATAGTCTAGATTTTTTTTTTTTTTAATTTTGTTTTGTTATTCATAAATTATCACTTAACAGAATATTTTAAGTTGAAAAATTGAAAATAATATGGGATGACTTGCTAATTACTGAATCTAGAATAGTTCAGCTTAAATTATTTTAAAAACTATTACTAATAGACAATTTTAACCATTAATGCTGTTGCCAAAAAAAAAAAAAACTCCTTTTTGTCATATTTTATCAAAATTTTCAGTTTTGGTACAGTTGCCATGTTTTCATCATCATTCATGATCCATTATTCTTATTTTCATATTTAATATATATTTGAGTATCGCAGGTTTTCAGGTTCTATTCATAAATTGAGTATTGTATTGGTAAAGTTGGAAATTAAATGGTTTTTTTTTTTTTTTTTTTTTACATATACTATATATGGTTATTAAAAAGTTTTAAAATTCAGTGCCTAAAAATTAAAGATGTAACAAACATTTTCTGTTATGTAAATTCAATAATTATTGCAGTGCCTAGATTTTCAGTGCTAAATTTTCTGTTTTGTCAAACAATATGTCAACTGTTTTGCATTATGGAATAGAATTTGTTCACAAATCAAACTAGTATGTTAGAGCTTGCCTATATATTTATTTACTTTTGCAGAATATTTTTGTATCTCTCTTCATCTTCTATTACAAAATGAATGATTTCCTGATACAGTTCTGTTGTTTGACAGGAGGCTGTGGTGCCTGTGTTGTCTTGCTGTCCAAGTATGACCCTAAGCATGACAAGGTTGAGGATTTTACTGTGAGTTCATGCCTCACACTTCTTTGCAGTGTAAATGGATGTTCAATCACAACAGCTGAGGGAGTTGGAAATAGCAAGGATGGGTTCCACCCTATTCAGGAAAGGTTTAGTGGTTTCCATGCTTCTCAATGTGGTTATTGTACTCCTGGAATGTGTGTTTCTCTTTATTCAGCACTCGTTAATGCTGATAAGACTGATAGGCCAGAACCACGTCCCGGATTCTCAAAGCTAACAGTCTCTGAAGCAGAAAAGTCTATTGCAGGAAATCTTTGTCGCTGTACGGGTTACCGGCCCATTGCTGATGCATGTAAAACTTTTGCTACAGATGTTGATATGGAGGATTTGGGATTTAACTCCTTTTGGAAAAAAGGAGATACTGATGAAGTAAAGCTGAGTAGATTACCTCCATACAATCAGAATAATGCAACTTGTATGTTTCATGAGTTTCTGAAGAAGGAAGCTAAGGTGGGTTTCAATATGGCATCTGAAGGATGTCACTGGTATAGTCCTATTAGTCTTGAGCAGCTTCAAAGCTTATTG